AACGCAGAAATGTGTTGGCAAATTGTTTACTTGACGTGTTTCGCTTTGATTTTTAAAAATTATTTTTAATAGACGCGGGTGATGTAACGTACGATGATTTAACGCGGTTTTAAAGTTGCTTATCATAAGAGTATGATGATATTCAGGTAATTGTTGTCGAAGCGACTGCGTTATCTTACCTTACATCGGTAAGTTAGATTGCGAAGAAGTGGAGGACGAGAATGTACAATCGGCGGGATCTCTTATTAGTCGCAGAAACCTGTTCCTGAGTAATTTAATGTCGATGTGTAGCGAGAAAAATCTCATTTGGAATAATCGCGCGTAATTATTAATCTCCCGTCGAATTTCTTTTTATTCGATAACCGCGCGCACTTTCGCTCACGGAACCGATTACAGCTTTCGCGTAATAGGAAGCGAAGTCTGTGTATACGTTATCCTATTTCTGAAGCGTTCCTCATGTTCTCTGAACTTCGGTACGATCGCTCGTCGCGCCCGCGCAACAGCCGGTTGCAAGTGAAGTGCGATGAGGAGGAAGTTTTCGATAGTTGCCAGGGGTTAATTTTAAAGGGGGTCATTGATTCCGCACGATATTCAAACGCCGGATGTGCTTCGTTTATTGGCGTAAAGACGGACAAACAGAGGTTAGCGCGAGGTGCAACGATCGATCCTTCCAGCACCGGCTGGAAGATCTCAGCGATTTCGATCGAAAGTGCCTTTAGAACGACTAAAATAACGGCCAAATTTATCTCATTTACATGTATATGTCGAAACTTTCGTAAATCAGTTAACAAAACAATCACATTTCCGCGCTTCGGTGATCCGGAATGCAGGGAGATTCGTCGGCTGTTTTCCCATTTTACCAATCCGGCGCTTTTTTTTCTTTTATTATCTGAAATTATTATGACGTTATGAATAATCTAATGACACACTATATCGGTGTGCATTGATAACATACATTATTGATCTCGTAAAAGTGAACTTTAGACGAGATAATATAAGCATCACAGGAATATGTTTTGCTCATTTCAGATTGGCTTTACATGAAAATGTTGTACTTCACTTATTGTTAGAAAATATTTTGGAGAACGTACTTGCATGCCTGTATGTCGACACTCTCCATTGACGTATACTTGATACATGGGACATGGCGATTCTGTCGCAATGAATCCATAGCAAAGAACTGATATTAATAAGAGACGTATGATCAGAAATCCGCTCATTAGCTCCATGACTTCCAAAGATGAACTTTCTCGGTAAAAATCGGATGTTATGGAAGGTGCAAAATACTCCACTCCTTCCTTACTGAAACTGCTGATGTACTTTGCTACGCGAGCTCTTTTTATTTAATTCGTCGCATGATATTGTCATAAAAAGGAATCGTGGGACTTAAAAAATAGATACGAAACACACGCGTCAGACTGCAAGATACAAAACACATGATAGGTAGTAAACATTTGAAAACATTGAAGCGATAAGATTAATTTGCATTATAAAGAGCGTTTTTATCGCGACATTGTGTATAAAGCTCATTTTATACACATTTTATATTCGCGATAGAATAGATGACGATTTATATAATTTTATTATTGCACAATACGTGTAAACGTATTGTACAGCAAATAATATCTTTCAATATTTTCAATAGTATTTAGAGATATAGATGCTTATATTGGGTTGTCCAAAAAGTCATTGCGTTTATTTCTGATAGATGGCTTTAGTTGTATATTTAATGTATTGAACGCATCATGAGCTGACACTTATAGCCTCCGTCAAAGAAAAAAGTGCGCGAATCGATCAACAATTATCCTTTCTATAAGGTTTTGGAAATGAAGAATCATTTCACGAGCATTTTCGCCAAGTTTTACTTTATTACTTCCGAAAAGGAAAGAACGCTGTGCAAGCTTGTGAGAAGTTGCGTAAAGTTTATCGTGACGAAGCCCTAAAAGACCGCCAGTGTCAATATTGGTTTGCTCGTTCCCGTTCTGGTGACTACAGCGTGAAAGATGCACCTCTCTCAGATCGGCCATCGGAGGTTGATGTTGATAAAATAAAGGCACTAGTTGTAGCTAATCGACGTTCTATCATTCGTGAGCTCGCTGAGGCACTAAAAATATCGATTAGAAGCGTTTACCTTTGAATTTGAAACAACTTGGTTACGTCAGTAAGCTCGATATTTGAATCCCACATAAACTGAAAGAAGTTCACCTCATAAAACGCATAGATATCTGCGATTAACTTCTAAAACGTGAACAATCCGACTCATTTCTGAAACATATGATTACTGGCGATGAAAAATGGATTGTCTACAACAATGTGAAACGAAAGCGATCGTGGAGCAAGCGCGATGAACCGATCCAAAGCACATAAAAAGCAGACATCCACCAGAGAAAAGTGATGCTCTTAATTTGATGGGATTGGAAGGGTGTGGTATTTTTCGAGCTCTTACCAAGGAACGATACGAACTTACGATAAACTCGGACTTGTACTGTCAACAGCTCGACAAATTGAACGAAGCAATAACAGAAAAGCGGCCAGAATTGATAAATCGCAAAGAAGTGGTCTTCCATTATGACAACGCTCGACCGTACACAAGTTTGACGATACGTGAAAAATTGTTGGAGTTTGGCTGGGATGTGTTGCCTCATCCACCATATTCGCCAGACCTTGCACCATCAGACTACCATTTGTTTCGATCCTTGCAAAATTCCTTGAGTGAGAAAACGTTCGCCTCAAATGACGCTATCGAAAAGTATTTGCTTGAGTTCTTCGCTACTACAGATAGGAAGTTTTTCGAGAATCGAATCCTGAAGCTTACCGAAAGATGGTAGAAAGTCATCGAACAAAAAGGGCAACATATTATTGATTAATGTTCATTTTTTGTATAAAATAAACGGTCTTGAAAAACACCGAAAAAAACGCAATGATTTTTTGAACAATCCAATACATACTCCTACATGCATACATCTATAAATGTTGTTCTGATTCTTCGTATATTTTTCCACATATCGAAAACTAAGTCTCGTATTTTTATCATGTGTATCAGGTTGTCTCCAAAGTCCGTTTTAATTTATATTGCCGTTTATAAAATTTTAAAAACCCGAATTATTTTACGTCACAAATCCACGGTACAGATTTTATTACATTTTCGACTTTTTTATCACAACTTTCCTCACGATTCTCTCGAAAAGAATTTCCAATTTTTTAATACATTTATTAAGACAGTTCGCAGCTGTGCGTATATGATTTTGTCAACAGGAAGGTTCTATTACGATCTCTTGTGTAACAGGAGTAAAATATGTGTGTGTGTGTGTGTGTGTGTGTGTATGTGTGTGTGTACGTTGATTTATTTCTAAAGTATCAAGAGGCACGGTACCTCTCTGAGACGCGTCCCGGCGGGACAAGGTCGCGCGACTTTGAAAACATGTTCATAAGTACGCAATTGCCACGACCGTTTCCATTATTGTTTACGCCGCGGCGGCGGACGGATCGGCGGATCGCCGCGCGTAATAATTCCCGAATTTTCACACTCGATCACAGTGTACGTGCGCGTGTAACGTGTAATATTCGTGCGTGTGTGTGCGTGCGTGACGATCCGGAGCATCTTGATCAATAGCAGTGTTTCATGGTCTTTAAAGGTAAACTTTTATTGATTACCTTGGTTAAGTTGAAGAAGCTAATTTGTAGTCTCGAGTCTTCGTACTCTTGATGCGGGGCGCATTTGTCGCTGTAATACTAATGAGGAAACTCGTTTTTTGTTACAGATCTGCTGGAGTTGCAGCCACACAATAGCTGCGGTTATCGGAACGCAGTTTCGACGGACCCCGATGCTGCACCGGAGGATCCGGTTCGGGCCGAGCAGAGTCAGCTTGAAGGTGAGGTTCACCGAACGTTTGTACATTTCTTGATTTATTGCGAAACCCGATCGGAAACCGAGCGATTGGAATAAGAGCCGTTGAATTACAATGGCAAAGAGTCAACGGTCAGCGCGCGCGCTTCCGCGAATTGAACTCAATCTAACCTAACTTTTAACCTAACGGTTTAACTAACGAAACTATATTTTTTGTTACAGATCCGCAGCAGAACGCGGCTGACTCTGTCTGCTGTGTATCGGTGAGTCAGAGAAGAAAAAACATTTTTATGGTGATGGGTATTTCTCTCGAGATCTCTCAATATCTCGAGAATCAATGCGATTTAATTATACTTTTTTCACATGTTGCTCGAAATAATCAGGAGATCGTGTCTTTCAATGACGTATTAGTACAACAGAATTTTTAAGATATAATATATATTTCTCTCTTTTATATTTACTCTGAATCATTAAAAGATATAAATATAAAAAAAGATACAGATATAAATGTTTTAGTTTGTCATTATATTGAATATTATATTGAATTATATTGAAATGAAAGATATGGAATTATTTGCTGCGATTCAATCAATATAACTCCTACTTCGAGCAGTGTGTAATGTTAAAATTTGATCAGAATTGTGCCATCACACGTGAAATTCACCATTATTTATCTGATTTGGCTTGATAAATTTTATGTTTGTTGAGTTTATCAATTTTCTATACATTACGTACATTCTACATTTTTCACGCGTGTCAGAAGCGATAATATATTTCATTTGAAATGACCGATAAATTCGGTACGCGCGTTTATTTACATTACAACTTAGTCCTTGCGAAACAGGACGCGTGTTTCTTTCGAATTACCATTCGCGAAACAAAATATTTTCGCTTTTTTCTCTCTTGTCTAAACGTCGTAATTTTCATTCGCGATTGATTTTACGCAAATCGCGTCTCACATATACATTCTCGGAACGTTGTAATTTATCGTGTTTACTTCTTTTTGGGATAAATTCTTCTTTCGCGTTAAAACCTTTTATTATCAATCATCGTGTGCATCCCTAACATGCGTTTAAAGTCTCGATTGTGAGAATCGTGTTTTCAGTAGTTTCTAAAGGTTAATTTTAAAGAGGGTCATTGATTCCATTCGATATTCGAGAGCCGGATGTGTCTGGTTTATTAGCGTATCTTAAATGGACAAACAGAGGTACAATGTTAGCACGAAGTGCAACGATTAATTCGCCGCACCGGCTGGAAGATCTCAGCGAAGATCTCGATCGAAAGTGCCTTTAAAATGGCTAAAATAACGGCCAAATCTTATCTTATTTACACGCATATGTCGGAACTTTCGTAAATCAATTAACAAAATAATCATATTTCCGTGTTTCGGTGATCCGCAATGCAGGAAGATTCGTCGGCAGTTTTCTATTTTCTCAATTGTCCGGCGTTTTAATTTCCTTCATTTATCTGAAATTATTGTAACGTCATGAATAATCTAATGACATACTATATCGATGTGCATTGATAACTTATATTATTAATCTCGTAAATGTGAACATTAGACGAGATAATATAAAGAGATAAAGTATCACAGGAATATGTTTTACTCATTTTAGATTGGCTTTACATGAAAATATTTTACTTTATTTATTGTTAGGAAATAATTTTAAGAACGTATCCGTATTACATATGTCCATATTCGAATCGACACTCTCCATTGATGTATACTGAATTCGGAGGACATATCGGTGTTGTCTTATCGTTGTCGTTGTCGCAAAGAATCGACATAAGATTCGATAATAAGAGACACATGATCAGAAGTCCGCTTATTTGCTTATTCTCCATGACTTCGAAAGATGAACTTTTAATCGAACTTTTTCAGTAAAAATCGGATATTATAGGAGATTATGCAAAATACTCCACTCCTTCCTTACTGAAACTGACGATGTATTTTGCTATGCGAGCTCTTTTTATTTAATTCGTCGCGTGATATTGTCATAAAAAGCAATCGTAAGGCTTAAAAAAATAGATATGAAACACACGACAGGCAATAAACATTTGAAAACATTGAAGCGATAAGATTTGTTTGCACTATGATAGAATGCGTTTATATTACGGCATCGTATATATAAAGCTCAATTTTACACACATTTTGTATTCGTGATAGAATAGATGACAATTTATTTACAATTTTACGTTTACGCTTGTCGTGCAATAAAGAATTACTATATTGCTATTTATAAAATTTTAAAAGCACGAATTATTCTACATCATAAATCTACGGCAGAGACTTTATTGCATTTTCGACTTTTTTATCACGACTTTTCTCACGATTCTCTTGAAAAGAATTTCCGATTTTTTTAATACGTTTATTAAGATGATTCGCAGCTGTGCGTATATGGTTTCTTCAACAGGAAAGATCTATTACGATTTCTTGCGTAATAGGAGTAAAATGTGTGTGTGTATGTATATGTTGATTTATTTCTGAAGTATTTTCGCGTTAAAATCTCGTAGTATCAATCGCCGTATGCGCGCCTAACATGCGTTCAAAGTCTCGATTGTTATTAGAACCGTATTTCCAGTAGTTTCTAAGGGTTAATTTTAAAGAGGGTCGTTGATTCCATTCGATCTTCAAGAGCCGGATGTGCCTGGTTTATTAGCGTATCTTAGATGGATAAACAGAGGTACGATATTAGCGCATGGTGCAATGATCGACTTGTAGCACCGGCTGGATAATCTCACCGACATCAAACGAAAATGTTCTTAAAGTGCCGAATAGGAACCGAATTTATTTGCGAACGCATGTTGGAGCATCTATCTATAAATCTAGAAACAAAGTAACCGTAATTAAACGTAGTTCTGATGATCACGGCATGGAGAATTAGAACACGGTGCTGAGCTTTGTTTCTATCATTTTACTCGGCCACCTCTTTGTTCTTTATTAGCTGAAATTATTGTAATGTTGTTTATTAAGAACAACGTTTTCTCATACGCTCCTTAACACTTATGATATACTATTTTCTTAGTATCTTAATTGATACAACACTTTGTCCTCATGTCAATTAATCTTCCGTCTAGATTACGGCTAATGTCGTTCATGCCTAATTAAATTTTACTCGCTAACGTTACTTCATTACATTATTTCTTGACAATTCTCGCGTCAATGTCGCGTAGAGTAAAGAACACTGAAGTAAGATATGGAGGTACTCGCCAACTGTAACGAGCAAGATTTTCTCTTTAATGCTGACTTTCCGAAGCGCGCTATTTCGATTATATTTTAATGGATTTTGTACCGTAGCAGCACTTTTCAAAGATGCCACAAACAGTCCACCGAGAGTGAGACTGAACGGTTTGGTGCCTCTTTGCAACAGAAACAATATCGTCTTTTGTATTTGCAACGGCGCTGTGTACCACCGGATATTATATCTGCGAAATGATGAGAAATTAAGATTCGAGGAAAATTCGTGATTAATTCGCGCCGTATATTCGCTTTGCGAAATGTAAACTGCTTTTCACCGCTAACTCCGCAAAGCGAGTACTCGTGGGCAATTTTGTCACGCGCATAGCATTACCCTTACACGGTCACGAATACATCATGGTTGCAATCCGTGATTTGCTGTGCAATATAGTTGGCTGTGAACATATACAGAAGAACGATGTTTACGTATATGAGATGTAAGTAAACCCCGTTCGTGTCATTCTCGAACGACACTATCTGAAAGACCTGAAATATCGTGCGGTTGCGATGAGACTCTTCGGAAATATCGGAATATAAATAGGATCGGAAGTTCTCATTTAGGAGCAAATGCGTTAGATAGATTCTAGCGAAAAGACATTCAGAGCGGGAAATACTATAGAAAGTAAGCCACGTGTGAGACTCACTCGAAAGAGATTGAGACTCAGGCACATCACACCGAGCGCGATTAAAATGAAGAACGATACCTCGAAATTGGTTATTAAATATTCGGCAGACCTTCGGGGGAACAAGACAAAATTATTTGTTTTGTTTGTAGTATACTATATATACACGCACTTATCACCGAATAATTACCGACATCATAGCTTTCCGATGAATGTCTACGGCATGAATAATCCTGTTCATCATAAGAATTGTAATTTCTCTCCTCGGATCGATGTATTGTTGAGCATTGATCTTCATCGCTTGCTCGATACGGTAGCTACAAAGAATCCGTTCGCTGTAATTGCATATAGCCTTTCTAAACTCACTTGTTGAAACAAGAAAGGCAAACGAGATCTTGTTTACAACTATATTGTATCATATCAATTTCTGCAGAAGGCAATTCTTTTCAATTCTAATTTAGAAATCATTTCGGGCCAAACGTATCGTTTCTGGATACTCGTACATCACAACGGTTGATGGTACAATGTCTGAAAATATCTATTCAGGAGTCAAGTGTGAAGTGAATTGGGAACGATCAGTGTGGGACGACTGGACGTTACGGAAGATGAACATTGGAACATTTCTTAATCTCGCGGTAAACATATGCTGTCGGCTCAGTTTATCCATCTCCGATGACTTGCTTCGCGAGTATCTCAGGTGCGATGCGTTTGACTCGAAATTTCCTGAGCCGGATTCCTACACCAAACTGGGCAGGCTTTATTGACACCTTCCGTAAATTCCGTTTCTTCACCTGGCGATTTTGAACATTGCGCAGACATGTTTGTAGTATCCTATTAGCATCGTTCCCGTCGCTACTTCCACTATTGCTCCTACAGAAATAGCTATGCTCGAGTGCAGCACGACCAAATAGGAATACATTTCTCGATCGATGAAGTACTCGATCATGATATGCGCCATAAAAAGTGGTCTCGATTCATTCATAGGCAGAAAGATGTCGACGATGCGAGGCCAAATCGGTATGCAAATAATTATACTTACTATTACGATGCCGACTACTAATAGCATTCAAAGAACGTCATATAGATCGCAAATTTATACAGAGAACAATAATATGTACATATATCCAACAATGATTTGCGGAAGTAATATATATCGAAAAGATAAAAAGTAGAAGTAGAAGGCGAAATAATCTCAGAACGCGATATCTTACGTGTAAATGTGGCCGTGTAACGTCTCGCAATGTTTCCGTATTTCTTTACAATATCTATTTCGTTCACGTCTTGGAGCTCGTCGCAAGTGTGTTGAATTAGCTCCAATGAGTTCTTCACCTGTTGCGTCAACAATAACACTCAAAATGTCGTGTTTTACATGGCGAGATTCGCGAGGGGCCATCGGGGCGTGCGGATTCATCATGCGGCAAGAATTCATTTATATGGGGCTATTCGAAAATTAATGATACAGTAAAGAGTTCAACGTACAATTCCGACATTAACCCGGAATGCATTGTACTTGACCAAGAGGGTACTGTAAAATATTACGGAACAGAGAACTTTCATGACGAAGTCAGGAGTGCATTCTGTGGTGATGAATGTTGTAAGCTGCAAGTAAGAAGCATGATCAAATAAAATACAATCGTCGTGGTGTGCGACACAATTTGAACACTTTGAACTTTGACGCTGAGAAACCGCATTTTTTAGAAAGAAATTTGTCGCGAGACGAAGAGCATCGACTTGCCTGAAATGTAACGTAGGTCATTATGATGCTGGAGACAAGGATCCTCTGAAGTCGGACGAGTCTCGTCCGCTGGTAAGGCCATAAACCAATCATGAGCAGAAGGATCCGATTGAGACCAAGATGTTGGCTCTTGATACAGATCATCTCGCGAGCATCGGGACGCGTCTGGCTGCGGGAAGATCCGCGAAATGTCGCGTGTCCTTTCCTTTCGATCGGTTTTCATCGAATATTCTTGCAACTTCCCTCTTGCAGTATATTTTTGCTCTTACCATGAAACTTGCCTAAGAACACGGAAGGTAAACGTTAAACAGCACAATCTGCCACTATCGCGATCGGCACACTCATAATTGAGTAATTTTTCTCTCGAGAGACAATCGATTCGTCGAGCGAAATTCAACGGTTCTTCATTTCGTGTAGAACAACAGTCGCGAAGCAATTTCTCGATCGAAGTCCGCGCAAACGCAGTCGGCCTTTTGCACCATTGTAGTCTTGTGCGCCTCATTGTAGCGCGTGCATTCGTGAGAGACGCACCTTCGACGGTCGACAGAAGCGCGTCGTTATTCAATGGGTCTTACCGTCGCACTACTTGCGGAATCATCGCCGGTAAGGTGGTACAAGAGCTCCTTTGAATCTTCAAAACCAACCGGCTATTTCGAAATTTTACGTTCCGTCCAACGACGCGTTAAAGTGGGTTCGTACACTTTAGATATTTTCTCGTTACGTTTTCTCGTGACTATCTGTCGTTTCGAGCAAAGTTAGTTCGCCATTCTTCTTTGTATCTATTTCTGTGTATTTAGGAAATATCCAATGTGAATGCTATCTTTGTTTCGCGAAAACTGCACACAATCGGGCGTCAATTGATCCTAAAGCGTCCTTGACAAAGAACAGTTTTTCCTTTATTGTTGCGTTACATTAGACAATGCTATTTGTAAACAGATGAATGACATGCAGTTAAGAAAAAGGAAAATTTCTTTTAATAATTTACTGAATTATGCTACTGCACAATAGATCCTTGTGTTATTTTTCATTGATTTGCGTGGAATATATAACGGTGAAATAAGATATCGACGCGCTCAACAACTGCAACGAAAGAATTCATTTTCAAACCATTTCTTATTTAAAAAATACTACGTTGAATATATTCTGGTATACGTTTCTCACCATAGCGAAGTTCTCTAAAGACATTATAAATAGTCCACCAACATTCAGGAAGAAGGGTTTATTACCTCTTTGTAATAGCAATATTATCAATTTCTGTATACTTAATGGTGTTATATACCAATAAACGTTATATCTACGAAAGAAAGACTAGATTATAAACCGATAATTAAAAACTAACACACACACACACACACACACACACACACCGGATGTATTCAAGTACAAATGTCACATGCATTTTATGAATTTCGAACGATTTCAAACATTAATAAAATATCCCATGTTTTTATGAGTTTGCGAAGAGACGATATATACGATCTTACACAGCATGAAATAAATTTCTGTTGTGATCTATGACTTCTTGTCCACAGAGATTAGCTTCGAACATATACAAAATAATGGCACTAGTGTATGCAAGATGCAACCAAAACTCCGCGATGTCGCCGCCAAACGACACAATCTGAAAAATCTTAATTACCAAATTAAATGGTGAGTTTTGCAGATATAATAGAAACTTATTATACGGAAAGAAAAATTTCAGTTTGGGTAACAGAATGTGGGACAGGCGAAAATTCAGTGTCAAAAACAATAATTTTGTTACCATGATCAAAAACTTGTTCGAATATTTGGTTCGTGTTAACCATTAAGCAGGCGCACTGATAGAATCGCACAAATGGGTGTATGGGATAAATGGTGACCCCACTTTCTTTTGTGAAACTTAAGTCAACTAAAGAGAAGAATTCAAAACAAAAACAATTTGATAGCAAAAAGCAGTTTGATAATTAAAGTTTCTTACTTTAACAAAAACAAGAAAACGGAAAAATTGTTTTTCCTCATCGAGCCGCGACCGTACGAGAATTACGAAGTAGAGAGTACTTACTCGGAAAAGATTAAGACTCAAACAACTCACAGAAAGTACCACCAAAACGAACAGTGTTATTTCAATATTCTTGATCATAAATTCAGCAAACCTTCAAGAGCAAGAAAATGTCACTTCTCACAAATGTTGTCACGTATCATCGAAAAAATACCAACTTCATTGCTTTTCGATGAATATTAATGGCGCAAATGATGTCTTTGCAAATAGTGTTCTTCTGGATTCGTCGATCATCGATCTTTATTGCCTGCTGGATACGATAACTACAAATAATTTCTCATTATCGTAATTGTATAACTTACTTAAACTCTCAAAACATAACAAATACGACTCTTTTTAAAATTCCAATGTATACATTTTAGTACCTGAATCGTTTCTCACCTAGCGACTAGAAACATTCCGCAAATATGTTTCATATTCGTCAAGATCATCGTCCCGGTGGCTACCGTCACTATTACGCCTATTAAAAAGGCTGCGAATGTGTGCAATGCAATTAGGTAGAAATATTTCTCTTGATCGATAAAATATTCAGTGAAGATTTGTATTTTGTGGCGTGGTAGAGAGTTATTCATTAAAAGAAAAGTATCGAAGATGCGTGGCCACGTTGGCTGGACAAGAATAACAAATACACTGCTAAACACTGAGAACGTTTATAAAAGATAGCCATTATTAATCGGTATTTTGCAAACGTCTCCAAAATATTGAATCGTTAAACTTTCCAAATTTATTTGTATTTCTGATCTAGTACATTGTCGAAAGCTTCTTATAAAAAAGAAAATTAAGTTCGGAACCATGTATATACATATATATAGATATCCTTCTTCTTACAATTTTCCCGACTTTAGACAATATTATCTTACCTGTAAGTATAATTGTTTTACGTTCAGCAATGCACGCGTATCGTTCAATGATAGCTATTTCGTTCTCGTCTTGCAGCTCATTACAAACGTGTTGCAGTTGATCCAATGAATGTATCATCTGTTGTGTCAACAATATTTTACGTTTCTTCTCGTGTTAAAGTTTTAAAGAAATTATTGCGCATACGATTTCATTTAATATGAAAGTTGCTTATTTGAATCAACACGAAGAATGCTCTACTTACATGTTTAGTATTAAAGTGGAATGTGTTATATAAAATCAAGTAAATTGCGAAAAGTAATATAGAACAGGAAATTTTGACGATGAAGTCAGGTGTACATTTCGCGGTTAAGAATGATGTGAGCTGCAAACGATAAATTTATCGAAAAAACGGTAATAGGAGAAAATGACACACCCTTCTGCAAGATGCAAGTCAGTTACTGTCACGTGTATAATAATGCTACAAATGGTATATTATATAATGTAATGAAAGTAAAATTTGTTTACCTGAAATAAAATAAAGCTCGACAAAATACTGAAAAACAGAATTTTCTGAAGATGCACAATACTCGATTGCTGATAAGGCCATAAGCCGACCAAGAGCAAAAGAATTCGATTAATGGCAATGTGTTGATGCAGATCGAAGCACGTCATCTCTTCGCAAGCATCGGCATGCGTTTGACCGCGGAAAAAACTGAAGAATTCGCTCATCCCCTCCTTTTAGCCGATCGATAAAATATACCTTACATTTTCCTTCTCTCCGCTGTACATTCCGACAAAAGATGTCTAATTTTACATAAACGCAGCGCATTTATGCAAAATTAGAGTAAATGGAATAAAATTGCACGAAATATCGCGGTATGTAAAATTTCCACCAAAATACCGCAAGATAATATCGTGAGATCGGGACATTTGCTGTTTAACAACTTTGATAGGCAAGAGCCGGGGACTCCAAGCGATCATTCCGAAAGAAATTCTATGGACTTTTTTTGTCATAAACAGTAATCACGAGTTAATTTCTCGATGGAGATCGTGCAAGTGTTGCTTTTTCTTTAGATCCGTTTCTTTGTATGTTTTATTGTATGCATCCATAACAGACACACGTGTAATTATACTCTTCAGTTTATCAGTTGCTCTTTCTTGTTTTGTGGCACCTGTTGAATTATTGCTTTTAAGGTATAAAATTATCAAATAATATAGCGCTTATGTTTTATCTATGAAATTAAATATATATTTAAAAAAGCTTATAATTGAATAATTTTTCTCACGAGAGACAATCGATTTGCCGAAGAAAATTCAATGGTCCTTTATTTCGTATTGAACAATAATCGCAAAGCAATTTCTCGATCGAAGTCCGCGCAAACGCAGTCGGCCTTTTGCACCGTTGTCGTTTTGCATACCTCATTGTAACGCGTGCATTCGTGAGATACACATTTTCGACGGCCGACAGAAGCGTCGTTGTTCAATCGGTCTTACCGTCGCACTATTTGCAGAATAATTGCCAGTAAGATACAAGAGCATCTTTGAATCTGTAAAACTAACCGGCTGTTTCGAAATTTTATGTTTCAACGACGAAAGTACAAGTGAGGTCGTACACTCTGCATGCTTTCGTGTTACATTTTCTCGTGACCATCTGTCCTTTCGAGCGAAGTTACTTCACCGTGATGTTCATCTCTGTATCTATGTCTGCAGAAACCGCATACAATCGGGCATCAATTGATTCTAAATCGCCTCTAATAAAGAAAAGTTTTTCTTTTATTGTTGCATTACGTAGATAATGCTATTTGTAAACAGGTGAATGATGTGCAGTTAAGGAAAAGGAAAATTTCTTTTAATAATCTATTGAATTATACTATTGGACAATAGATGCCTATATTATTTTTTTTTGGTTTGCATGGAGTACATAACAGTGAAATAAGATATCGACGCGCTTAACAACTGCAACAAAAGAATTCATTTTCAAATCATTTCTTGTTTCAAGAATGCTACGGTAGATATATTCTGTTACACATTTCTTACCATAGCGAAGTTCTCTAAAGATACTGTAAATAGTCCACCAACATTCAGGAAGAATGGTTTATTACCTCTTTGTAATAGTAATATTATCAACTTCTGTATATTCAGTGGTGTTGTATACCAGTGGGCATTATATCTACGAAAGAAAGATTAGATTATAAACCGGTCATTTTTTTTTATTTCACATGCATTTTATGGACATTAATAAAATATTTCATGTTTTTATGAGTTTGCGAAGCGGCGATATACATCTTACGTAACATAAAATATATTTTTGTTGTGATCTGTGACTTCTTGTCCGCAGAGGTTGGCTTCGAACATATACAAAATAATGGCACTGGTATATGCAAGATGCAACCAAAGCTCCACGATATCGCCGCCAAACGATGTAATCTGAAAAATCTTAATTACCAAATTAAGTGATGAGTTTCGCAAATATAATATAAACTTATTATACGGCAAGAAAGATTTCAGTTTGGGTAACAGAATGTGGGCGAAAACTCGGTGACAAGAAACGATAATTCTGTTATCATGATCAAAAACACTTGTTCGAACATTTAGTCGTGTTAACCCTTAAGTAGGCACACTGGCAAAGTCGCACAAGTAGATGTATAGGATGAGTAGTGACCTCACTTCCTTTTGTAAAATTTAAGTAAATTAAAATGGAAAATTCAAAAATAGAAACAGTGCAGTTTGATAATTGAAGTTTATTACTGAAAGAAAAAAAAGAAAACAAAAAAATTATCTTTAACAGCAAACAAATAAATTCTTTTTATATTAACAAAAGAATTAACATTTTCCTATACATATTGAGGATACATACTAACTACTTACAGTTAGTCTGCTTTGAGCCTATGCGTCTACTTAAGAGTTAGCTGTAAATAGAAGTAAAATCTCTTACAAGAATCTTCTTATTCATACAATAAAAGTTATATCTGGTCTCCGAGCAGTGAAAAATTTCGTTACATTAACAGGATAGTTTTATCCGTGTAGTTTTATTCCGGTAGATGCGTTATATTATAAAATAATTCACAGAAAATATTAAAAATATGCTACGTATGATTTAAGCTTAAGTAATCATATAAATTCGACACGGAACAATTGTTTTTTAGTGAGACTTCAAATTAGTAAAAGCTTCAAATTTGTTTGAAATATGCTGGCAGTGTATCAGCACATCCGATTATACTCGTCATTGAACCGCGATCGTACGAGAATTACAAAATACTCACTCGGAACAGATTAAGACTCAAACAACTCACAGAAAGTAGCACCAAAACGAACAGCATTATCTCAATATCCTTCAATATAAATTCAGCAAACCTTCAAAGGCAAGAAAATATCACTTCTCACAAATGTTGTTACATGTATCATCGAAAAAATACCAACTTCATTGCTTTTCGGTGAATATTAATGGCGCAAATGATGTCTTTGCAAATAGTGTTCTTCTGGATTCGTCGATCATCAATCTTTATTGCCTGCTGGATACGATAACTACAAATAATTACTACAAATAAGTATTTAGAAATACACAGTCAGCTCCGATTTTAATGAGACGCGTTTTTGCACGAGAAACAACTTTTTCCTGTGGCAAAATCGTCGCTCAGTTCCGCGAAGCGAGATATAAAGCGTTAAAGTAGATCATAATTCAGATTAGGAAAGCTGTTATATCGATGAACTTTGGCGACATGAACATGCCTCGTAACTAACATAAACTTCCCGAGTAATATGCAAAAAGTTTTAGTCCGTGCTCACTGTTTGTTAAAAAGTTATTAATAAATGAAGTTAGTGATAAGACTGCACCTAGCATGTATACACGCGTACACACACATCGAAGGGGGCGTGCGGGGGGGCCTTCGACCCCCCACCCGCACCCCCTCTCGAGGGCTAACAGGCGAAACTCGCTTCATATGGAAAGTCACATGTGAGTTTGCGACTTATTGTGACTTTCTACATGAAGCGAGTTTCACCCGTTGACCCTCGAGGGGGAGTGCGGGAGGGGCCGAAGGCGCCCCCCACGCCCCTTTCGGTGTGTGTATGTGTACACATGCTCGGTGCAAACTCTTATCACTAACTTCATTTGTTAATAACTTTTTAACGAACAGTGAGCACGGACTAAAACTTTTTGCATATTACTCGGGAAGTTTATGTTAGTTACGAAGCATGTTTATGTCGTGTAAAGAAATTGCTATTATTGGCGGGAATCATGCACGAATATACGCACTTCTATAGGCGACGAATGTATTACTGAACAACGATATCACAAATCGGTTTAGATATGTCAACATCAAGGTCACGGAACACTTGGAATTAGTTACAAGGCATGTTTATGTCGCCAAAGTTCATCGATATAACAGCTTTCCTAACCTGAATTATGATCTACTTTAACGCTTCATATCTCGCTTCGCGGAACTGAGCGACGATTTTGCCACAAGAAAAAGTTGTTTCTCGTGCAAAAGCGCGTCGAATGAGCCTAGTCTCATTAAAATCGGAGCTGACTGTGTACTTCTAAATATTTACCTAATTTCTCATTATCGTAATTGTATAACTTACTTAAACTCTCAAAACATAACAAATACGACTCTTTTTAAAATTCGAATGTATACATTTTAGTACCTGAATCGTTTCTCACCTAGCGACTAGAAACATTCCGCAAATATGTTTTACATTCGTCAAGATCATCGTCCCGGTGGCTACCGTCACTATTACGCCTATTAAAAAGGCTGTGAACGTGTGCAACGCAATTAAGTAGAAGTACCTTTCTTGATCGATGAAATATTCAGTGAAGATTTGTATTTTGTGGCGTGGTAGAGAGTTATTCGTTAAAAGAAAAGTGTCGAAGATGCGTGGCCACGTTGGCTGGACAAGAATAACAAATACACTGCTAAACACTGAGAACGTTCATAAAAGATAGCCATTATTAATCGGTATTTTGCAAACGTCTCCAAAATATTGAATCGTTAAACTTTCCAAATTTATTTGTATTTCTGATCTAGTACATTGTCGAAAGCTTCTTATAAAAAGGAAAATTAAGTTCGGAACCATGTATATACATATATATAGATATCCTTCTTCTTACAATTTTCCCGACTTTAGACAATATTATCTTACCTGTAAGTATAATTGTTTTACGTTCAGCAATGCACGCGTATCGTTCAATGATAGCTATTTCGTTCTCGTCTTGCAGCTCATTACAAACGTGTTGCAGTTGATCCAATGAATGTATCATCTGTTGTGTCAACAATATTTTACGTTTCTTCTCGTGATAAAGTTTTAAAGAAATTATTGCGCATACGATTTCATTTAATATGAAGGTTGCTTATTTGAATCAACACGAAGAAGGTTCTACTTACATGTTTAGTATTAAAGTGGAATGTGTTATATAAAATCAAGTAAATTGCGAAAAGTAATACAGAACAGGAAATTTTGACGATGAAGTCAGGTGTACATTTCGCGGTTAAGAATGATGTAAGCTGCAAACGATAAATTTATCGAAAAAACGGTAATAGGAGAAAATGACACAAGATGCAAGTCAGTTACTGTCACGTGTATAATAATGCTACAAATGGTATATTATATAATGTAATGAAAGTAAAATAATGTAATGAAAGTAAAGTTTATGTTTACCTGAAATAAAATAAAACTCGACAAAATACTGGAAAACAGAATTTTCTGAAGATGCACAATGTTCGATTGCTGATAAGGCCATAAGCCGACCAAGAGCAAAAGAATTCGATTAATGGCAAAGTGTTGATGCAGATCGAAGCACGTCATATCTTTGCAAACGTCGGGATGCGTTTGACCGCGGAAAAAACTGAAGAATTCGCTCATCCCCTCCTTTTAGCCGATCGATAAAATATACCTTATATTTTCCTTCTCTCCGCTGTACATTCCGACAAAAGATGTCTAATTTTACATAAACGCAGCGCATTTATGCAAAATTAGAGTAAATAGAGTTAAATTGCACGAAATATCGCGGTGTGTAAAATTACCACCAAAACACCGCAAAATAATATCGTGAGATCGGGATATTTGCTGCTTAACAACTTTGATAGGCAAGAGTCGGGGACTCTAAGCGATCGTTCCGACACTAGAAGAAAGTCTATGGACTCTTTTATTTTTCATACATAGTAATTACGAGTTAATTTCTTGATGGAGATGATGCAAGTATTGCTTTTTCTTCAGATTTGTTTTTTCATATGTTTTGTTGTATGCATCCGCAACAGACACACGTGTAACTATGGGGAGATTCTTCAGTTTATTAGTTGCTCTTTTTTACTATTGTGTCATCTGTTGAATCATGCTGTTAAGGTATAAAAGTATCAAGGGGTATAGAGCTTGTGTTTTATCTTTAAAATTAAATATATATTTAAAACGTTTGATGACACTAATCTGAATATATTAAAATGCAAATGTAGTCAACTGCTATATGCATTATGCTTAATGCTACGTGCTAAAAGCTATATGACATGTTTTGTTTTTTTAAATGCGACAGTAGAATTCAATAGAACACCGTTACAATAGAAGATCGTAGAATTGATTTTTATAAGCGTTAAATTGCAGTAAATTATAACAATTAAAGAAATTCCTTTTACAACGCTATACGATTCGCTAGAAGAATAGTTAGATTACAAAAGAATGACTGAATTATGGATTCATGTAGTTGAAAATGTTTAGAATTTATAAATTACTTTATACATTAATCTTTCTTTATAAGAAAATAAAATAGGGAGTGTATACTCGCTCATGATTGTGATGTAATAACACTAATTATCACGCGTTTAACCGTAGAAAAATAGAAGAAAGCTTGCTTATCCTCTCTTTATGGCTCTTCTATGAAATAGGCACCATTCACGCATTGTAGTGCGTGAGCTCATCATAAGATACACACGTTTGATCGTTGAAAGGAACGTAAGTCGGTCAGTCGGCCTTGTGATGCATTGTATATCATCGTGTGGATTCAATGACGAGAAAATATAAGAGGTATTATACATTGCCTAACGCATTTGCAATGTTTCTTGGTTGACACCGATTTAAAAATTAGAATTACGTAGAAAATGTTAAAGCACATTAATGTGGGCACGTTCCAATTATTTTCTATGCAACTATATTCACAAAAGATCGATGCCGAATTAAATTAAAGGAGTTTCAAATAGGAACACCAACTTTGTTGTTTTATTACTACTTCTTGTAATATATTAATGGATTACTCAGATTTTCATTGCCAAATTTCATTTTAGCCTTATTTTATGTTGCAAAATACAATACAAGATTCACTATCATCTGTACATCTGTTATATGATTTGTGCAAATCCTACCTCATTTGTAATTTATTCACTGAAATGTTAAAAATATCTTACGTTTGAACGGTTGACGATTTATGTGACGATTAATTTTGAATCACAAGTGTTTCATGCGTACTTACTATATTTCAATGTTATTAATCGCTGGTTTTTTTATATCGTGTCTGTGTAGAGTATAAGACAGTGAAGTAAGACATCGACATGCTCATCATCTGTAACGAGAAATTTACTTTCACATCATGTCGTTTCGCGATTTTGTTATATATTAAATATAACCTCTACTCTGTGTGACATATTTCTTACTGCAGCGAAATTTTGCAAAGACGCTGTGAATATCCCACCAAGTTTTGGGATGAGAGGTTTATTGCCCCTTTGTATCAGCAGCAATATCAGTCTTTGTATACGTAGTGGCGTTATGTACCAATGAACTTTGTAGCTGCGAAAGAAAGTTAAAACTAACAATCAAGAGTCGGTAAACATTAAGGAGTATGTTATGAATAAAAGTTTAGTGTTTATAGCTGTGCATTGCTAATTAATTTTCGGAGATTCAATTAATCTTTGGTCTTTTTTACAAGTTCTTAAAGCCTTTAATTTTTTTGATAGATCCTTAAAACAGTTATCCGTGTGCAGAAACGTGAGCGTTATTTGAAATTTTCTTACACAGTGAGAAACACGTAGTTATTGTGGTTCGTAATGTCTTGCATGGTATAATTGGATAAAAGTATGAATACGATGATTGACATTATATAAGTAACGTGTAACGAAAGCCTCATGATATCATTTTCAAAATATATAATCTGGAACACCTAAGACAATATGTTTGTGCGTGAAATGCGTTTTATCATTCGTGATGTAGTACATGACGTATGTTACATACATCACGTTACTACATCAATTAATCACATCATCAATTAACCGCAGAAATGAAGACATTCATTTTCTGTCGTTTTTTTTAATGATATATTGATTTCCATATTTTTCTCTTCTGTTGAAATATTTAAATATTAGTCGGATGTGACGTTGGAGTTATTTGCGTGATTAATTGATAAAATTGCTTTTTATTTATGAATCCTTCGACTGTGGTATCATGGAATGTGACACGTATAAGGATGCGTTTGAGAATCCGAATAACTCACTCGATACATATTGAGACTCAGACATATGACTAAAATAATTATTAAAACGAAGAATGAACTCTCAAAGTTGGATGTCAATGTTTCGGTGTACCTTCAAGGGTAAAAGTTTGTTATCACACACTTCACTTAAATATTAATAGTAGAATACCAACTCTATCGCTTTCCGATGAATATGCACGGCAAAAACTAAACCATGGAATTGATGTTTCATCTGGCTAACGTTCCGTTGGATATCGGTATTTATTGCTTGTTTGATACGATAACTATATAAATATTTCGTCATAATTACGTGACTTGATTCTCGCAAGTTTTAGAGATAACAGAAGTTTAGATAAAATGCAAGTATGTACATTTTCACATTGCTTTAACCATCTCTTACCTGGCAATCTGAAACATTCCGCAGAGATGTCTGCAGTATATGAAAAGCGTCGTTCCAACTCCGAGAATCGTAATCACACCTACATAAACAGCTGCAAATACATACAGCAAAATTAAATAGATATACTTTTCTGGATCGACAAAATATTCGATTACGACATGCTCCATGCGATGTGTCTCCTTTAGAAACAATAAGATATGAAGAATTCGAGGCCACATCAACTGCAGAATAAGAAAACATAGGAAGCTGAACACTAAGAACAATTAAAGAGACATTCGTCCTTAATTAATAACTCTGCAATCTTACGAAATGTTAATATTTTAAAATTAATCGATCTCTAATCGTTATTTCATCGTCGTATATTTGTGTATAAAATTTATCATTCTGCTGCTTGATCTTTCTATTACTCAAATTGTTAAACGCGTAAAAAGTTTCGTCGTTCTTACGTAGAATTATGGTCGTGAAACGTTTCGCATTGTACGCGTATTTTTTAATGATAGCGACTTCATTCTCGTCCTTTAACTCTTCGCAAATATATTGAAGTTGATCCAATAATTGTATCACCTATCATGCCAATAATATTATGTATATCTCTTTCCATTATCAAATTTTATAATCACTGTGTAATCATAATACACTGTGGTTTACTTATTCAAAATGTATGTTTGAATTAGGCGATATACTGCTTACAGTTTTAGCATTAATACAAAATGTACTATATAATACGAAGTAGGTTATAAAAATCAAGACGATAGAGAGGACCTCAACTGCAAAATCAAGCGTGTAATCTGTTATGATAAACATTGTAAGCTGCAAAAGATGACATTTATTAGAGAAAAATTTATTTATAAATGATATATATATATATATATATATATTAGGTACTTGAATAAGTTTCCGCCGTTTTTGTTCAAATTTATATAACTTAGTAAAATAGAAGAATAAACAATACATCATTCAAAGTATTTTTCGTCGTTAGCTATAATATTTTGCCACTTTTCAGGCAACGAATGAATTCCGCGATAGAAAAAATGGTCCTCTTTTGAGCTGATTCACTCATCGAGCCAATTTTTAATATTCTCACAAGAAGTGAAATGCTCTGAAAGACCATGTTGCATCGATCAAAACAGATGGTAGTCCGATGGCGTCCCATGCCTTTTGGCATATTCTCGACGTTTTTCTTTCAGTGATCAATTCAAATTGACTATTTGTTCTCGATAGCGATCAGTAGTGATGGTTTCATTCGGTTTCAGCAGCTCGTAGTATATCACATCTTTTAGATCTTATCAGAAATACTCAATATGACCTTTCTTCCATGAATATCCCGTTTTGCCGTTGATTTTGATGGCTGACCAGGCTTTACCTATGATTTTCTTCTTTTTGGATTATCGTAATGAATCCATTTTTCATCGCCAGTAACGATTCGATGCAAAAATGACTTTCTTTTCTGTCTTTGAAGTAATAATTCGCACATGGTTAAACGTTTTTCAACGTCTCTGTCTTTCAAAACATGTGTCACCCAGTAGTAGTCTTGTTTATGAATAAATCCTATTGCTTTTAAGCGTTTGCTTATAGTCGATTCATCAACATTTAATGATTCCTTAAGTGTTTGATGTGGATCTTCGTTCAGTAATGTTTCCAACTCTTTGTCTTCAAACTTTTTTGATGCACCAGAGTGTTCTTTGTCTTTCACGTCGTAGTCGCCATTTTTAAACCGTTGAAATCATTTTCTACAACTTCTTTCGGATAGAGCATTGTCACCATAATGTTCCACGAGCGAATGATAACTTTCAGCTGCACTTTTCTTTAAAATGAAATAATGGAGTAGGTCCTCCCCCAAATTGTTGTTTTGTCGGTACAAAATTCGACATTTTCAATGTAGTAGAAAAATTCGTTGTTTACACTGGAATCAAATAGCAATAGTGAATATTAAACCATGATTGTAGTACTTCTATATGGATATATTACCATTTTGAACTACATGCACACAGTATTGCTAACATCATCTATCAGTAAACGGCGAAAACTTATTCAAGTACCTAATATATGTTTGATTATTAGAATGTCAGTCTAACATTCACTTGTTTTTGTGCAAAAAGACGTAACAAAAGTGCAACATCCCATTTAGAATATCATTATCGTATTGCACTTCAATTTAATGTCATTCGTAATTTAAAGTGACATAGTTAAATTTAAAATGCGTTGAAACTGACAATTGATACATATAAGATAAAGCATGCATATATATATATATATGTGTGTGTAGTGTGATATATATATACATATATTGCATGATACAATTAATAATAATTTTATACCTGAAATACTATGATACTCGTTAAAATACCAAAACATAAAATCTTTTGTAGTTGAGCGACTTTCGTTTTCTGATAAGGCCATAAGCCAATCGTAACTAAAAGAGTCCGATTAATGCTAAAATATTCTTGTAGATCGAAAGAGATCATCTCTTCGCGAGCACTGAAAAGCTTATGACCGCGGAGATGTCCGTGAAGGTTCGTTCATCCCTTCTCTTGTCGTTGATCGATAAGATATATTATCGCTTTCTTCTTTTTCGTGTACATAAGTGTAGTGGAAATTACTACATTTTGCACGACGTGAAATTATACATAACATCACCGTGAGATCTGTACATATGCAATTTAACTTCGGTAGGAAAGAAATTGGCGACTAAATGATCCATTCAATGCTGAAAGAAATTTTATAAACATCTCTATTTTCCATAAAGTGATAATAATTTTCCGATCGATGGCCGCGCAAGCGTAGTCATCTCCCTTCTGCTCCTTCACGTGCTTCATTGTAGTGTTTGTATTTGTAGTATAGTAGAGTCTTACTTATAGAGTCGTTATCAATAATGAATAATAAAGTGAAGACGGATTTTATTAAATCGGATATTACCTTGCTTTTGTATCTCAGATATGGTTCGTAGATTCGGATGAAAAGAAATAAACAGACATTTATTATTAATTGAATAAATATTTTCTAACTTGTATCTCAACCGTCTAAATCGTGAAATAGGAAACAAGTGCTGTGTTATTAAAGACGTGTAAGATTATATGATTTTTTTAGTCTAGTATACAATTTATATTATTGAACAAAATCTTATGTGCACGTTTCTTTCGAGTCACGTGTTATTCAATTAAATTTGTCCAAATATATATTTCAAGATTGATTCTTCAATTGCAATCAATTAAATCTTAGAGATTCAATTTATTTCATCTGTTTATCTTTTTATTGTGGAAAGTGCTAAGTTTCTTTGAGAAGTATATTATTATTATTATTATTACAAAGAAGTATATTATTATTATTATTATTATTATTATTATTATATCATAATTAGTGACTCTTTGTTCTAAGTTAAAGTTTTAAGTTAAATAGATATGAGGCAGTTCTTTATATCTTGCTATTATAATCTGATATAGTATTAGATGATAGATCATTATTTTTTTGTTGTGTGGAATACAAAACGGTGAAGTAAGACATCGATGCACTCATTAGCTGTAATAAGAAATCTTTTGTGTTATATTATTCTAAGTAAGCAATGTTGAATTTGTCCTAATAAAAGATCTATTTTTTACCGAAGAAAAATGTTCTAAAGTTGCTATAAATATATTACCGAAACTTATGATAAAAGGTTTCGTGTTTCTTTGTAACAGCAGCAATATTATTTTTTGTACGTGTAACGGTGCTATGTACCAACAAATATTATACCTGCGGAAAGATAATTAAACTAGAAATCGGCAATTTTATTAATAATTAATAGTAATAAAAATGATACTTATAATAGATAATAATACTTATAATAATACTTAATAATATTGATGTTTTTTTACATGGAAATACTAATTAAAAATATAATTTTTTAAATTACACATTAATCTTTACTTTTATTATTTATTTTACATCGACTTTATATAAAAATATAAGTATAAGCGTCGTGTATAAAATCTCTTACGCAGTGTGGAATATATGATTATTGTGATCCATAATTTCTTGTCCAATGTAGTTAAATAAGAACATGAATAGAACAATACAAAGCGCATATGCAAGATGTAATAAAAATCCCATGATATTGTTTTCGAACGACAAGATCTGAAATATCTACATTATGACTGTGGTGAATTTTTCAGAAATATGTTTTAGATCTATTTGTCTTATATAAACAAATTTTATGGAATGAAATTTATATCGTAAAATATGAAAAAATATATTTTATATTAAATCTCTTATTTCAATTGTGTATATGTATATGTGTATATGTAGATCTACTAAATAGAATTTAGTATGACAAGAATTTGATAATTCTTATTATATATTTAGTGGTAGTATTTCATTTTTTATCAAACTTTTTGCAAGTTGACCGTTATGGTATGAAAATCCTCGCCTAGACTTTTATGTTTATAAACACATACACACACACACACATACATGTATGAAACATTTATAACACGACTTACTCGATAAAGACAGAGACTCAAGCATATTACAAAAGACACTATTAGGAGGAACAAAAGTACTTCAAAATTGGATTGAATAACCATGATGAATCTTTAAATAAAAGAACGTTCTTATTGCACGTACAGACACTATAGAATAAATACCAACTTCATAGCTTTGCGATGCGCATCCACGGCATAGATGATGTCTTTATGAATTATTATCTCTTTCTTCAGATCAATATTTTGTTGAAAATTGATACCTATCGCATACTTGATACGGTAACTATAAATAATCGTTTTTCAGTTATTATGTCTTGTCAATCCTAGTTCTTTTCTTTCTTAGTGACGAGCAAGATTACATTTCAAATTTAGTTTCTTTATTGGTGACGAGCAAGATTACATTTCAAATTTGAATGATAAAGAGAATAGAGAAAAAGAAATGGTTCAGCGATGACAAATTTGAAAATTCAAATCTGAATAGTGTGTTATCATTCTTTCATTTAATTTCTTACCTGGCGATTCTAAATATTCCGCAAACGAAATATAAGTACCCTAAGTACATTGTTCCAGCTGCTGTTGCCGTTAATGCTCCAATAGAAAAAGCTGCATTCATGTGCAACCAAAGTAAATAGCGATATTTTATCTTATCAATAAAGTACTCGGTCATAACATGTACGGAGTGAGACCGTGATCCATTTAAGTTCGAAGAAACATTGAGATCTCGAATCCATAATAATTGGATAAAAATAATATAGAATATGGAAATCACTGAGAATATTAAAATGGAAGAAAATAATTACACGAGAGCACTACTCTTTAATTTTCCGGATTATCACATTATCTCGAAATTATTGATTTCGTATCATCAATAATTATATTGTCTTGTTTACGAATCATATCTCTATTCAAAGTTATCGCATTCTGCTAATAATTGAGGTTAATAATTGTTTTAAATTCTGTTAATAATTGAGGCAAAGTATAGAGTTGTAATAATATATCATTGCGTTAATCTACTCTATTTGCCACATATATCTTATTATATTTCTGTATGTAAAAATTTTGTTAATAAGCATCGTACATTTTTATTTCAGGACTGAATAATATCGTGATTAAATTTCAATTAAATTTCATTTAAATTCTGCTACAATGTATATGAAAATCGAATGAATTAAGTCTTACATGTGAGTACGATCGTCCAATATCTTCCTTTGTATCCGTATTTTTCAATTATAACGATTTCGTTCTCATTCCGCAGTTCATTGATAATCTGTTGAAGTTCGTCCAATAAATACTTCATCTGTTTTGTTAATAATGTTTTGTTTCTTGTTACAAAATTGTGAATGGTTCTTATATTAGAAAGTTTATTAGTCACAGACATTTAGTAAAACAATTATAATAAATATTCAACTCACAAATGTAATTTTACTCCAAAACGTGAAATATGTAATTACATAGGCAATGAAAATAAATACGTTTATTAAAACTTTGATGACAAGATTGGCTGTGCATTTCGCTGTCATGAACGTTGTAAGCTGCAAGCGTTAAGTTTAAGATAGTTTATTGCTAAATATAGTTTTGAAAAAGAAACATCTCTGTTACAATAACAAATTACAATTTCGTGAAAAATAATTAGAGTTGTCCTTCTTTCTTTCTTTCTCTGTACATATAATAATAGAAATTTATAATTATGAAATATAGAGCAGTATATCTATACATATGTTACATTATAAGTGTAATATAAAATCACATTCGAATTATATGGCGGTAAACTTTAAATGCAAAGAACACTCATGCAGTTGTTTATTATGCGTACGTAATGATACAATTCAAATGATTTTCGTACCTGAAATATAATAAAACTGAATAGAATGCTGAAAATGAGGATTTGCTGAAGTCGCACAACTTTCGACTTCTGATGAGGCCACAAACCGACTAAGAGCAAGAGAATCCGATTGATGGTAAAATATTGATACAGATCGGGGTAGATCATTTTTTCACGGGCGTTGATATGCGATCTACTGATCAGCGGAGAAGTTTGCGAAGAGTCTGCTACTCTCTTTTTTGCCAAGCAATAAAATATAATGTCGTCTTTTTTTCTTCCCGTATATTTACATGAAAATTCTCTCAAATCATCTGTCAATGCTACATAGTGGCGAAGATAGTATGCGAAATAGCATTGTTACTGAAAACCATCGAAATACCGCGAAATAATGCCGTGAGACAGGCACGTTCGTAATTTAATAAATTTGTCAAGGAAGGGATCGGCAATTTAGTTATCGACTTGATGCTGCATAAAATTACATGGACGTTTATTTTCCATAAACTAATGTCGTGACAATTTCTCGATCGAAGGCCGCGCAAGCGTGGTTGCTTCTTTCTCGACTTTATTTGTCCTGCGTGCTCTATTGTATTGTGTACGTTCCTAAGAGACACACATTTATTCATTGTAAGAAATGTCAGTTGGTCGGTCGAACTTGTCTCTCTATGTCACCTATGTGAAATCATTGTGGGCGAAGTATAACGTTCTGCACATTGTACCGTACGTATAACTTTCGTTTCCTTTGGAAAAACACAACAGACTTGATGATATCACACATTTTTGTCGCGTTAAAGAGAGTATGAATATATTTGAGGATATTTTATACATTTTCCTCTCTCTTTCTCGAATTGATATCGATTGATAAGCTATTCTTTCAACAAAACATTTTCGTCATTCGACAACTCGAAGGAAAGCTCTCTCCATTTTGCTATGATTCTACATAATTAACCGTTACTCCAGTCATCAGCTGTTGCGTTGTTTATGCTATTGCAATTTCTATTACTATATAAACTTCAATGCAAAAAATAGATATTTATTAATTATATAATAATGAATTTTGTGACTGTATTGTTTAGAGAGTGGACTAGAGCAAAGAAGTTGCAAAGAATTTCAGATGATTCGTGCAATTTGTGAGATTAGATCAAATAAAGGGTGTCCCAAAATTCACGCAAGAAGTAATTTTGATAGAAAACACAGGTTTATAATTAAAAATTGTAAATTTTTTATTGATTCATAAAATATACAGTATAGGATTATGTATGGAATAGCATATCGGGTAAACGGCCACAGCGAAGAGAGTTCGTTGAATGGATTATGGAACAACAACAAGTGGCTGCTGATTTTTCGGACAAAATCATTTTCAGTGATGAGGCTCATTTTCATCTTGATGGCTTGGTTAATCGACAAAATTGTCGCATTTGGGGTTCAGAAAATCCACGAGTGATTGTTGAGAAACAAATGCATCTACAACGTGTCACTGTTTGGTGCGGATTTTGAGCTGGAGGCATCATTGGACCATTCTTCTTCAAAAATGTGGCTGGTCAGGCAATAACGGTTAATGGTGCTCGCTATTGCGACATGATAATCCAGTTTTTTGTGCTTAAATTGCAAGATATAGATGTGGACGATGTGGTTTCAACAAGACAGTGCCACATGCCATACATCCCGAGAAACAATTCAATTACTACATGAGTCATTTTCTGGTCGTGTAATTTCCTGTTTTGGTGATCAGATTTGGCCGCCCAGATCATGCGATTTAACGCCGTTGGACTTTTTTCTTTGGGGTTTTTTGAAGTATAAGGTTTATACCAACAAGCCCACGACCACACCCATGCCTCGAAAGAGGAAATTGAGCGCTGTATCAACGAAATTCAACCACATTTATGCAAAACGATCATGGAAAATTTCAACAAAAGAGTGCATATGTGCTAGCAAAGCCGTGGAGGCCATTTACCCGATATGCTATTCCATACATAACTCTATACTGTATACTTTATGAATCAATAAAAAATTTACAATTTTTAATTATAAACCTGTGTTTTCTATCAAAATTACTTCTTGCGTGAATTTTGAGACACCCTTTATATGAGCTCTGATTTATATTTAATTCATTTAATTATGAAAAATTGTGATAAATTTTTGATAAATTTATAAATCTCAGTAATTTAATAATTTAGTAATTTTTTATATCATAAACAGCGAGAGAGAAAACAGGAATATTATTGCTGGATTTTTTTTAAGAGAAACAGGAATATTATTGCTGGAGATGTTGCATACAGTTGAATAATCTCGATATCGCCATCGATAATGTTGAGTACTCAACCAGAGATAAAACAATGACTTATTTTTTTCATTACGCTTACCTACATTATCCTTCTATTTATATTGTTAATTGTCCGATTTTTACGTCATTGTTGTGTAGAATAAATGACTGTGAAGTAAGACATTGATGCACTTGTTAACTGCAACGATAAGTTTTCCTTTTTGTACTGTTTCGTTTCGAATACACGAAGTTAGATATATCTAAGCTAAGAAATGTTTCTCACCGAGGCGAAATATTCTAACGATCCCACGAATATTTTAGCGATACGCAGATAAAAGGGCTTACTGCCTCTCTGCAGCAGCAGCAGTATTATCTTCTGTATGTGCGGCGGTGTTACGTACCAGCGAATATTGTATCTACGAAATAATGACTGAGCTTGAAATCGATAATCGAGAAGAAAATAAGATGCGTGAAAATAATGATATTCATATAATCTTACACGGTGACGAATAAATCTTCATTGTGATCTGTGACTTGTTGCGCGATGTAGTTGGACATGAATATATATGTAAGAGTGGCGCTCACGTATGCGGAGTGAATAACAATTTTCATGAGATTGTATTCAAACGATATAATCTGAAAAATCTGGATAATTGTTATTATAATGGATCTTTTAGAGAAATATCTTACCAAAACAAATATTTGTTTGAAGTAGACGAGTTGAATTATAAAAAAAGAAATATGCATCTACACATACACGCACACACACACACACACACACATATACAGGATGTTTGAAAGCTTATCATACAGGTGAAAGTTGGAGATAGATTGGGTATAGCCGAGAAGAAAAGTCATGTACCATAATGTCAAATTGGCAATAGTTATCGAGTTATTAATTGAAACATGTGAGCCAATGAGCGCGTAGAGAGCGCTGGGCGGTCACCTCTTGTCGCTTACGGTTGCCCCTCGCCGCACGCGCTCGCCTATCGACGCTCGTTGACTCTGCCTATACTAAATGTCTACGTGCTTACCGCGGTCGCCCAGCGCTCTCTACGCGCTCATTGGTTCACATGTTTCAATTAATAACTCGATAACTATTGCCAATTTGACATTATGGTACATGACTTTTCTTCTCGGCTACGCCCAATCTATCTCCAACTTTCGTCTGTATGATAAGCTTTCAAACACCCTGTATATATATTTGTATATAAAATATGTGTGTGTGTGTGTGTGCTTTTATATATATATATATAAAATAAATATGCATATTTATAATAATTTGTTTAGGAACGCGACGAAACTTACTCGGTATAGATTTAGGCTTAAACCACTGACTAATATTATTACTAAGAAAAAGAAAGATCCCTCGAACTCCTTCATCATTGAAGTGGAGAGCCTTTAAGAACATGAGTAATTTTATATTATACGCATTACATGGTATAAGCATTGTACAAGTATTATCGAATGAGTACCAACATCATAGCTTTACGATGAATGTCGACAGCGTAAACGATGTTTTTATAAATCATAATCACGTTCTTCAAATTTATATTATATTGCACGTTGATCTCCATTGTCTGCTCGATACGATAACTGCAAGTAATTTTCTTATGGTAATTATTTCTTTCGTCCGGATTATTTAAAGATGATAAACGAAGATCCGCTCTATTCGAAAAGAAATTCACGCGCCCGTATAAGTTTCTTTTTACCTGGCAATTTTGAGCATTCCGCAGATGTGTTTGAGGAATATTAATATCGTTGTTCCGGTAGCCACGGTCCCAAGTAACATTATAAGAAACGTTGCATCCATGTGCAGAAGTATTAAGTAGAAATATTTTTCTTGGTCGAAAAAGTACTCAGTCACAATAAACAACGCTTGATGCCTTCCAGACTCGTTTTTAGACAGAAAAATGTTAAAGCCGGGAAACCACATTATTTGAACTATGATAAAAAATGCTGCGGCACAAACTGATAACATTGAAAGAATATCCTCATATAAATCGTCATTTTATAATTTTACAAGACATTGTATATTGCCAAATGTTTTAGATTTGTTTATTTCATTTCACTTCATAAGGTGTGTGATAAGAGTTATCGAATGAAATTATTACATGTAATTTTAGCCGCATGACGTTGCGCGTTGCTCCCGTAATCTTTTATAATAGCAATTTCATTCTCGTCTTTCAGCTCGTTACAAACGTGCTGAAGTTGCTCCAATAAATACTTTATCTGTTGAGGGCATACATGTGTATCATTTCTACTTGATATTTGAAGAAGATTTTGATATGTAAATATTGATTTATCGAATATTGAATATTATCAGTGACATGTGCAGTACGTTTGATTCATGTGTGTTTAACATATGTGCAGTTACGTTTAACTCACGCTATGCTTGTTAACCACGAATGAGTTGTATATAATCATAGTGGCGATGGTAACTGTTGTGGAGGAGAAAACTGTGATGACAAAATCGGATGTGCATTCCGTAGTCAGCAACGCCGTGAACTACGAGTGATAAATTCATTGAGAAATGTATTAAAAAAACTGACAGCTTCGTTCGACCAGAGAATTGTAAGTCTGAAATAGTTAGTCGCCTTTTTACATACGATATCGTACAACGAGAAGTCCATTAACTGTGACATCGCAAAAAAAAATTTATTTCCTGTTACACAAAGTTCTTTGATTAAAATGAACATAGTCACGATAAGGACAATGAGAGTCAAAAACGCTCTGGTGTTGGTTAATTGACTTATATAACGCTGTAATATATATCTGTTTTTAAACTACATATAAGTTCAGTTTTCGTAACGTTAACGAAATGTTTCGCTCAGCATTTAAATTATTCTTAACGGTAACATGTAGATAAACGCGATATATGATAAATTAAAGTTTTTATAGCAGTCGGAGACCTACAAAAATAAAATACGCACGATGTGTAAGAATTAATATATATAAGAGTAATTATAAAATAATATATAAGAGAGAGAGAGAGAGAGAGAGTGAGAGAGAGAGAGAGAGAGAGAGAGAGAGGAGGAGAGAGAGGAGGGAGGGAGGGAGGGAGGGAGGGAGGGAGGGAGGGAGGGAGGGAGGGAGGGAGGGAGGGAGGGAGGGAGGGAGGGAGGGAGGGAGAGAGAGAGAGAGAGAGAGAGAGAGAGAGAGAGAGAGAGAGAGAGAGAGAGAGAGAGAGAGAGAGAGAATATTCACTATACCTGAAATACGGTAAAGTTCACTATGATACTGAAGGATACAATTATTTGGACTAGAGTAAATTTCGATTGGTTATAGGGCCATATGCCAAGTGAAAGTAAAAGAATCCGACTGACGCTGAAATTCTCGAGCAGATCGAAAGAGTTCATGTCTCCGCGAGCACCCAAATACGTTTGATGACGCAGATGTCAGTCAACTTTCACTCACTTCCTCTTCTCAGCCGGTCGATTAAATGCACCATCGTATTTCCGTTCCATGATATATCTAAATGCAAATTGTGTAATAACGTAAAAAGTCATGCGAATTACCATCGTGAGACATTTGTGTTTTAACACTTGTGTCGGGGAATGGGTGACTAAGCGATCGATGAGACACTTAAGGAAATTCGACAGATGTTTACTTCCCATAGAGTGACGTTCACCAGGTGAAACTCCCCTCAACGAGTTTTGCGCAAGCACTGTTACCCCCTCGTAGTGCCGCATTCATTATTCCAATATGTGTCCTTGTGAAATGCATATGTTTGAATTTTTGATAGGTGAATCGGTTTACCGGTCAGTATTCCGATACCGACCGGTAAACCGGATATATTAGCGACGAAATTTGGTAAAGTAGATTGCAACTGACAACTTTGTCGAGCCGTATTCGTAGCCGAAGACGCTTCTTCATATTTTTGAATCTTACGTTTTAATGTCTAGACATTAAAATTCTGAATCTGTCTTCAACTTATCTTATTTGCCATTAAGTAACAAAGCTACCGTTAAATCCATCACTTATATTATTATTTCTTTAAAGCATCGCAATTACAAAATATAGTAATTTTTTCTAACAAAGGAATGACGTATAACTAGAGTACCATGTCATGAGTGTAGTAACGTGAAACCGAACAGAACGTTCGAGTTTGGTATTTTGAAACATTGACATAATATTATATCTCTCAAGGACTGACGGATCCTTCTGTATGATCATTTCTGGGTAGAGTATATTACAGTGAAATAAGATATGGATATGTTAACCATCTGCAACAAGAAACATTTTTCTTCATGTTATTTGTGCAAAAAATACGCGCTGATTGTAGATGTCTTTACACACAGTGAAATTCCTACCGAGGCAAAACTCTGCAAAGATCCTATGAATATATTACCGAGGTTGAGGGTAAATGACTTATTGCCTCTTTGCAGAAGAAACAGTATCATCTTTTGCGTGTGTAAAGATGCTAAGTACCAACGAACGTTGTATCTGCGAAATGACGAGAAATTAATATAAAAAGTTAACAATCGCGCGCGCGGTGCATTTAACCGTCGCATTTTTTTACTATTCCCAAATTTGTATTTTGGACGACGACAAAAAGATGTGCTAATAATATTACAACGTGTATGAGACATGCGAGCTTTGACAAATTCCGGTCTCACTATATTAGTCCGTTATAGTAGTCAACGGCTTTTATTAATGATAATTTCATGCGATATATAAGATAAGCTCTTACGTTGTTATGAACACGTGGTTATTATGATCCATAATTTCTTGTGATATATAGCTGGCTATAAACATATACACGACAACGATAATTAGGTAACTTAAATGAAATAATAACTCTCCCATGTCGCCACCGAATGATAGAATCTGCAAAATCTAAGACAATGTCATGTACTCATTATATAATATTCACAATTAGCAACATACACAGGTATGTGCATTATTTTGTACAAAGATGAAAGAATTTGAGCACATTATTAAAAATGAAGATTCAGCGTAAAGAGTGGGAGAATAAACAAACCGTGTGCAAATATAATATTTCTTCTTTTCTCAAAATTCGATACTTTGTAATTAGCATGATTCTAAATATAAGTTGTTGACTGAGCTTTTATATGAGAGTCACTCGAATTATATAAGTATATTTATATCAATTATTTGCTCGATACTATATATGGAACCAGATTCGCGTTTAGTCATGCTCGGAAAGACTAAAAAACTCACTAGAAATAAATTAAGACTCAAAGAAATCACGCCAGTCACTATTAAAAATGAGAACAATCCCTTGAAGCTCGTTATCATAAATTCGGAAAACCTTCAAAAACAGAAAAGAATGTTATTGTATATATTTTATTATATTGTATGGATTATATATTTTATCGAATATGTACCCACTTCATAGCTTTTCGATGAATGTCCACGGCATAAATTATTTCCTTATGAATCATTATCTCGTTTTTTGGACCGATTCTTCGGAGAATATCATATGATAATGCTTGCTCGATGCGGTAACTGCAAATAATTTTATTCATTAGAATTACGCGCATAACTCTTTCAAAATTTACAATTATTTATTTCATAATAAGTAATTCTAAATTTATAAATATATTAAATCTGCGATGACGATGACAATATGTCAAATCGCAACTTATTATGTTTCAATTAAAATCTCATTATATTCGCAGGCTTATATTTTTATAATTACCTGGCGATTTTGAAAATCCCACAAGCGTATTGTACATACGCTACAAATAACGTTCCCGTTGCGATTACTATAGTGCATCCTATGAAATAGGATGCATCCATGTGCAATAAGATAAAATAGAAATATTTTTCGGCATCGATAAAATACTCAGTCATGATTTGTGTCGTGCGATATACTGTCGATTTATTCGTAGACAGAACGACATCAAGTATGTATGACCAAATTGGTAAGGAAAAAATAACGAATGTGCCGCTGATAGAGGCCCCTTGAATAATGTTTAAAGAAATAGCCTTATAGATTGCTGTTTTGTTTCTTGTAAAATATCGGACATACTAGTATATTTTTTATAAGTTTGTAGATTGTTCATTTAGTCCGAATTATTAAATTTCTCTACGAATAGATATTTATTACAAATAGTATAACGTAGTCTCTTACCCGTAAGCGCAATCGTGTATAATTTCGCGTTGTTTCCATATTTCTTTATGATTGCAATTTCTTTCTCGTCTTTTAAGTCATTGCATATCCGTTGAAGTTGCTCCATTAGATGTTTTACCTACCGTGTCAACGAAGCAACATACACCGTTTCGCACCATAGAGTTCGAAAAATTGCTGACTATAGGAAACTATGAGAAACGCAATCAGGTCTCAGGTAATTATTGCGTAATTAAACTTACAGATTGACCGTTTGTTAAGAAGGAGTTGTAGTGGACCATGTGCATAATGAAGAATAACGTGGAGGAAAGAATTTTAATAGTAATATTCAGAGTGCACTCCGCGGTCACGAACGTTGTAAGCTGCAAGCAATAGATTGATCGAGAGATTTTCATTAAAAACTAATGATTGGCATGACCAAATTTATCAGTTGCTCCCTCGCATGCTACAAAATATAAATTGGTATATTTATATATCAGGTGTAGTAAAAAGAAATCCATTATATTTCCAATAGATGGCTTTAGTTATCTGTATCTCGCGTTGTATAAGTCCGATCGGGTTCCACTAGATGGCGTTAGAAAGATGAGATTTCGTACTAAAAAAACTTTTGTGACAGTTTTGTGATTAGTTGACTCAGTTTTGTTTGAGCGCGCGTCAAAGATGGACACTAGCAAAGAGAAAATACGCTATATTTTACAGTTTTTCTTCGATAAAGGCGAAAACGCAAGCCAGGCGGCTGAAAATGTGAATACTGTTTATGGTCCTGATACTATAACAGCCAATCACGCGCAATTTTGGTTTCGTCGATTCCGTTCCGGTAATTTCGATGTCAAAGATGCACCACGCACTGAAAGGCCAATTATCGAAAATATCGATAAAATCATGGACATTGTCGAGTCCGACCGTCATGTAAGCACTGTTTCGATTGCCCAAGAGCTAAAGATTGCACAAAAAACCGTTTGGAACCATTTGAATAAGGCTGGATACAAAAAGAAGCTCGATGTATGGGTGCCACACGAGGTAACGAAAAAAAACCTCATGGACCGAATTTCCATCTGCGAATCGCTGCTGAATCGCAACAAACTCGACCCATTTCTGAAGCGGTTGGTCACTGGTGATGAAAAGTGGATCATTTACGACAATGTCAAGCGAAAACGGTCGTGGTCGAATCGCGGTGAGCCGGCGGAAACGGTGGCCAAGCCAGGATTGACGGCCAGGAAGGTTTTGCTGTGTGTTTGGTGGGATTGGCAGGGAATTATCTACTATGAGCTGCTCCCCTACGGCAAAACTCTTAACTCGGAACTGTACTGTCAACAATTGGACCGTCTGAAGGAAGCAATCGCCCAGAAGCGGCCAGCTTTGGCCAATAGGAGAGGAATTGTGTTCCATCAGGACAATACCAGGCCACACACATCGATAGTGACTCGCCAGAAGCTCCGGGAGCTTGGTTGGGAGGTTCTTATGCATCCACCTTATAGTCCGGACCTGGCACCAAGTGATTACCATCTGTTCCTGTCCATGGCGAACAATTTTGCTGGTGAAAAATTCGCTTCAAGAGAGGCTTGTGAAAATCGACTGTCTCAATTTTTTGCCAATAGGGACGAGGGCTTCTATGAGAGAGGCATAATGAAATTACCTTCAAAATGGCAACAAGTTATCGAACAAAACGGCGCATATTTGATCTAAATCGGATCATTCTAACTATGTTAATTAAAGCCTTCAATTTCATGCAAAAATAATGGATTTCTTTTTACTACACCTGATATAATCGTAATGCAATAATCAGAAGTTTTTTATTTATTACGCTGTTAATAAATAAAACTACTACTGCAACACTAAAAACTATAACACACATTGAATAGTTAAATTAACTACATTTGCGAAATAACAAATGTCGCTTATCATTGCAAGAAAATCATTAGTGTTAGCGTACCTGAAATGCAATAAAGCTTATTAGAATAGTATAAATCAAAAGTAGCTGACATTGGTGGACGAGTTTTGATCGCTGATACGGCCATAAACCGATGGCCAGTAAGAGAATTCGATTGATATTAAAACTTTCGTATAGGTCAAAAGACTTCATCTCTCCGCGAATGTCAAGACGTATTTGAGCATGAAGATGTAGATGCAATTTCGTACATCTCCTCTCTTTAGCTGATCGCAATAAAATATACGACCGTTTTTCCTTTCTCTGCTATATTATAAGGTAAATGATTTAATGTCGTGTAACGTAAAAAGCCATGGAAAATATCTCCTTGAGATCGAGATATTCGCAATTTAACATTTATACCGTGAAATAGTAAGGCGATTGACCGATCGATGAGACGTCTATACAAAATACTACTGGTGTTCATTTTCTATAGCCAACGTTTACCCAGTGAAATTGCTCCTAATGAATTTTGCGCAAGCGTTGTCATCCTCTTGTAGTGCCGCACATGTTAGTTTAGCGCGTGCCTTCGTAAAATACACACATCTGAATCTTGAAAGAGCGATCGTTCATCCAGTCGGTTTTGTACTCCGATATATTTATAAAATCATCTATGATAAAATATTGTAGATTGTAATCACAAACGCCCTCGAGCCTGTTTTATTTGATAAAGTTATTCTTCCTGATTTTCCTGGACTTTACATATTTCAATGCCTAAATATCTCTCAATCTTATTGTAATCATCATTGTATAATAACTGTTATTATCATTTTCTAAAGAAGTGCAATCAAAATATGTTCTGTATAAATTCGTTTAAACAAAAGGAAATGGCACGAAGAGATGGATTAACTTAATAACGTGATAATGACTTCTAAGACTTCTAAGTTACAGCCGGTCTTCCGGTAAGGCATCGTCCTGTTTCAAGCTTCAGCTATCTCTCGTGAACTCGCAATCGATAAAAAATATATATATACGTCATATCATGGAATTTTTTTCGTTTCCTCTTCTCTTTTGGATCTTTTTACATTTTCATCATTTTGTCCGTAAGAATTAAATAGGTTGATCAATATCCTGTCTGCATCATAAACAACTCTCTTTTTCTCTCTCCTTTCTCCTCTTGTTTGTCTTGCCATTTATTAAGTCAATCGGAAAGTTCCATCCGTTTTTTTGTAAAACGTTTGGCTTTATTTAAGAAACAAAATGAAAAAGTACATCAAAATATTGTCCATCGTTAGCGATGACTTTTTTCCATTTTTCGGTCAGCAAGCGAATTCCGCGGCGAAAGAATGACTCATCTTTCTATCCAGTACCCATTTTTCGACGTTCTCATAAGAATTGAAGTATTTGTCAGCAAGTACGTGTGCCATCGGCCGAAACAAGATGGTAGTCAGAAGGGGTACAGTCTGGTGAATAAGCCGCATGGGATAATACTTCCCAGCGAAGTGCTTCTAACGTTTCCTTGACAGATTTTGTGACATGAGGCCGAGCGTTGTCATGAAGCAAAATTACTTTATGCTGTCTCGTTTCATATTCTAGTCGTTTTTCGTGCAATGCTCGACTCGAACGGATCATTTGTTCTCTGTAGAGATCCCCTGTGACTGTTTGACCACTTTTCAACAGCTCATGGTATAGCACACAATGCAAAAGGATGTGTTCATGTGCAGCATAATCAAATAGAAATATTTTTCTTGATCGACAAAATATTCTGTCGTGACTTGCAGTGCGCTGCGCGATTGCGAAAACCAAATACGTACGCGTGGCCACATTGGCTGAACATTAACAGCAACTACGTAGCACATCGCAAGCACTAAGGATATTAAATAAAGTTATCATAAACGTCGCTGAGCTTTTCATTTTCCGGAATATTATATTGTCGCAAGACTTAACGTTATTCTCTAGACATTTCTTTTTGTTAGAAATTTCCTTTGAACAAAGAAAGTCAACAGATATTTTCTTACATAAAGGTGTAATCGTATAACGTTTTGCGCTGCATCCATATTTTTTTATAATAACGATTTTATTCTCGTCTTTCAGTTCGTTGCAATTCCTTAGAAGTTCTTCCAATTAATATTTTACCTGCAGAAAAGGATGAATGAATACAGCTACTCGTTGCAATATTGCGACGGGATTATGTCAGATAAGTAAAAATTCATTTATCAGGAACATTTCAAGTAGGTTGAATACACTATAAGGGTTTAACTTATATTTGGAATGTTGATGTGAAACGCGTTGTATTTAATGAGATAAATAATGGAGATAAATGTAATAGAGAAAACATTGATAACAAGCTGCGGAGTACATTCTGCAGTTATGAAAGTTGTTAGCTGCAAATAATAAATTTACTAAAAAAATTACACTAAAGAAACGATTTTCCTACTCAGATCGAAAAATGCAAGGCTAAACAGTCAACAGCGTCATTAGACATCTCGCAACGTAGAGCGAAAAGCTAATAATTAAATATATTATATTTATACAATTAACGTTGTATAATTATATTCACACTGAAATATAGATAAACGATTTTTACAACTAGCAACGCGAACATACTTGGATTACGATGGAACTCGTTAGAATACCGAAAATCAAGATTATCTGAAACTGAACGAGTTTTGATTGCCGATAAGGCCATAAGCCAAATGCGAGCAAAAGGATCCAGTTGACGTTGAAATGTTGAGTCCGTATGCAAATCACGACTCTGCGAGCACCGCGATACGTTTGACGATGACGAAATCGAGGCTTCGCTTATCCCCACTTTATGACCGTTCGATCTTTCGATTTTGCCATGTTTTTAACTATACTTCTATTTTAACTACGTGACAACGTAACAATTTAAATTAGCATAAATGTACACGGAGAAAAATATCAGAAATATCCGATTGTTAATTTTGTTATCCGGTCAAATATCCGATTAAATACACCGGATATTTGATCGGATAACGAAATTAACAATCGGATATTTCGAATATTTTTCTTAGTGTAATTTAAAGCGGCGCGGAATATCACCGTGTGTTTGGAATACTTGCGATTTAGCATATTCGCCGGCGAAAAGTTCGGTGATTACGCGATCGATTGAATACAAACGTAATTTCAACGAACGTTTATTTCTTATCGAGAAAATATCAGCAAGGGTCGATGAAGGACTGCGCAGGTGCTTCTACCACCACTTCGCAGTTGAGCGTTTTCCACGTGCTTCATTCTAGTGCGTATTCGTAGATCACTGTTGACTCTTCAAAAACGATTTTTCTTCATTCCGCTGTCGAATCGGCATATAAACCATCGATTTATCTCCGGTAAAATATACGACACGTTACATTTTACTGAAAATATTATTATTTTATGTTCCTCGTCATGTTAGCACCTCTAAATTCCTGTAACTTTATCTGCATATCGGCAAAATTTTCGTTTATATTTTAATTGCCTTATTGTTAATGCTGAATTTCAAGTAGACTTCAGTTGACTTAACTTTTGAGCAACTCAAGCCTAAATTTCTTTTGATGCTATTTAATACACTACATGATATTAGCTGGTAGTTGATTATTCGCGGTAATTCTTACGTCATTGTTGTGTGGAATAAAGAATAGTGAAGTAAGATATGGAGGCACTCGCCAACTGTAAGCAAATTGCCTTTCTTCACTATGCTCGTCCATAGAGTTATGTATGTTCAATATATTTCGATATAAAGTATTATTATTCAGACCGTAGAGGCACTTTCTAAGGATGCCACGAATAATCCACCGAGGCTCAAGGTAAAAGTTTTGCTGCCTCTTTGCAACAGAAATAGTATCATCTTCTGTATGTGTAATGGAGCCATGTACCATGGTATATTATATCTACGGAAAAACAAACAATTTCATAATTGTTAAAAAAATGAGAAAATTACCTATAAATAATTATTAGCACTTGTTCATACGAGATATTTGTTTTACGTTATATTTCTTGTGCAAAGTGCCGCAAATCACGTCATAAAGCGAAAATCCGCGTCAGATTATTGTAATAATTGCTTGCAATATTGAACTTCTTACACGGTCTCGAATACGTGGTTATTATGATCTGTAATTTCCTGCGCAGTATAGCTCACCAAAAATATGTACAAAAGTATGGCATTTACAATGGCAAGACGTAACAAAAGTTCCTGGATATCGTTTTCAAACGATACAATCTGAAAAATCTAATGCACAAGTTTGATTGGTAAGCTATAATAGAAGAGTGATTCGTACATTAAATTTCAATTGTTTTATAAAACTCATGATTTTGCAACAAGCATAATTAGAAATTCGCTTGCTTTATTCGCGATTTCTTTGAGCTTAATTATTACACGTTAACTTGCTTATTTAGAGATGTAATTAAGAATAGAAACGTGGCTTACCCGAAAAAGATTAAGACTCAGGCAAATTACACCAAACGCTAATAAAAGAAAGAACATTCCCTCAAATGTGGATGTAATAGATTTTGAGGACCTTCAAGGACAAGAATGTGTGTTATTACGCATACGATGTATCTACTGTGGAACGAATACCTCAAAGCTTTACGATGGATATCCACGGCATAAATTATCTCCTTACAGATCATTATCTCATTTTTCACTTCAGTATCTTGTGAAGATTCGGTGCCCATTGCTTGCTCGATACGATAACTATAAATAATTTTCTAAGTGTTATTACATAGTGCACTCGGACTTGCTACAAATGATGAGCGAAATTGTACTTACGAGTCAAATTGTCGTATTCGCTTCCTTACCTGGCGATTTTAAGCATCCCGCAGACATGTCGAAGATATCCTACGAACATCGTACCAATCCCTAGAGTCACGAACGTCCCTAGACAAAGGGTTACGTTCGTGTGCAGCAGAAATATATAGAAATGCTTTTCTCGATCGACAAAATATTCAGTCGTGATCGGCATTGTTTGTTGTAGCTGAGTCTCATTAATAAGTAGAAAAACACCAAGTATGCGTGACCACATGGGCTGAGCATTGATAAGAAATATGTAGCAAAATGCAAGCACTAAGAATCACAAATGATATTAAAAAGATAATTATAAAAAATCGTTGTTTTTTAATATTCTAAAACATCTAAAACATTAAATGTTAAAACTTAAAAATATTTTACGTCATTCTTTAGATATTGTCTAGTTGTACATCTTTACAGAAAATTAATTATGCAGCCACCAGATTTCCCTTGTCATGCAAGTTTTACTTATTCTTTTAATAAGAATTACAGAAATTTTGCGGCTATATTTATCACATTCTTCAATTTATGTTAACTTCTCGTCAGATATATGTACTTTTATATTTTGATAAAAACATAATACAGCTGATCAGACAGAGGCGAAGAAGCAAAGTATTCAATTATATAAATTTTAAGCGGATTTTTCATTCGGCAATAGAATGCAGTAACGAACTTCTTACCTAGAAGTATAACAGTATAACGTTCCACACCACATGCATAATTTTTTATAATAGCGATTTCTTTCTCGCTCTTTAGCTCGTTACAAATTTGCTGAAGTTGCTCCAACAAAAATCTCATCTGTCAAATTAAAACGAATTTACGTTATACCTTTTTGCGGAGTTTGCGCAGCATTCAAAAACTTACTTATTAGAAATACTTTTAGTATAGAATGAATACACACACACACACACATCAAAACACACACTCAACTTACATTTTGGATTTTGAAGAGAAACGCATTGTATTTAACAAGGAAAATAATGCAAATAAAAGCGAAGGAAAAGACATTGATCACAAGTTCCGTAGTGCATTCTCTTGTTATGAACGTTGTAAGCTGCAAGTGATACATTTATTGAAGAAACATTAAAAAGCTAATTTCTCTATTCGGTTAAATAATTGCATACCTAAAATAATCATTTGCGTTCTAGGATGTGACAACGACGATAAGAAATTTAAAATTACATTACACAGAGAGAGAAGTTGTTTACAATAAAATATATTATCACTTTATGTATGCGCTGGTATATTTGATATTACAGAATTGTATTTTGAGTTTTTTTCTTAACATAAATTAAAACGTAATATAATATGAAGACAAATATTTATATAAATATAATTAAAAAAGTAATTTAAAAGAATATTATATTTGATAAAGTTAAATAATATAAATTATACCGATAAATGATTTTTTACATGCCTGGAATACTACGGAACTCGTCAGAATAACAGAGACTAAAATTATTTGAATACGGACGAGTTTCGTGCGTTGGTAAGGCCATAAGCCAATCGCGAGCAAAAGTATCCGATTGACGTTAAAATGTTGAGTCTGGATACAGATCATTTCTCAGCTAGCACCGCGACGTGTTTAACAGTAAAAATGTCGACGAAGCTTTGTCTATCCCCACTTTTTGAGCGATATATTGAATATTTGATAGTCGTGTAATTTTCCTGGCGTGTATTCGAACGTAAACGTTTTAATATAACTTAAATACAACGTAGACGGCATTACGAAGTATTATTATCGTGAGATTGGAACATTCGCACTTGAGCGTTTCTATGGAGATATTGCGGGGGTGGTTACGCAATCAATTGAACACGAAGGGAATTTCAACGGGTGTTTATTTCTCATCGAGGAAATAATGGCGAAAGAATACTCATTGATGCACTGAAGACAGCGCAGGCGCAGTAGCCACCTCATAGCAATACGTTTCTACGTGCTTCATTCTCGTGCGTGCATTCGTAAATTATAGTTGATACCTCGGTATCACTCCTTCCTTAAAAACCGGCATACTGGCTATCGATTCGTCGGTAGAGCGACTGATGACGTTTTTTTACTGAAAATACCTCAGTGTTACGTTCGCCTTCGTGTTAGCTTCTTAGCATCTATCATATCCCTGTAACTTTATTCGTTGGTTCGCAGGGTATCGATCTAATGTTTTAGCTGGCTTTTCACTAGTGTTTAACTAAGCTTTCTTTGAACACTTATTTACTGCACTATTATGTTATAATTGATAATCCTTACGTCACGTCATTGTCGCGTGGAGTAAAGAATGGTGAAGTAAGATACGGAGGCACTCGCCAACTGAAAAAGAAATTATCTTTCTTCGCGACGCTCATACGTAATATGTTATGTCCAATGTGTTGTAATATATGAAATATTATTATTCAGACCATGGAGGCACTTTCTAAAGATGCTACGAACAATCCGCCGAGATTCAGAGTGAACGCCTTGGTGCCTTTTTGTAACAGGAACAGGATCATCTTCTGTATGTGTAGTGGAGCTATGTACCAACGGATATTATATCTATAGGAGAGAATTAGCGAATGATAATTGAAGGAAGATGCGAGAGAATAATTTTTATCGCACGCTATGCGTATATTCGCCGTAAGCGTTTATTCTTTCCACGAGATATAATCGCAAAGCGATTCACTGACTGCAAAGTATTGTATGCAAAATATTATAAATGCAATAATTATCTTACGTTGCTTCAAATACGTGTTCATTGTGATCCGTAACTTCTTGCGCGATATAGTTCATTAGGAATATATACATAAGAATAGTAATTACAAACGCGATACGTAACATAAATTCCTCGATATTGTCTTCAAACGTCACGATCTGAAAAACCTAAAACACGTATCTAAACCGAGTCATATTAGAAAAAAGAGAAACTAGATGTTGAAAAAAATGCAAAATTAGAAACTGAAAACAATATAGTGTATATTAAATTTGCATAATATTTTTATTACTATATATAATAGGAGATATAGAATTTTTATTATTTTTGTGGTTATTCAGTAGTGTTCCTTTTACCTGCAAATCCTAAAAACTTGAATTGTGATATTGCTAATTTAGAAATATGTGTGGAGATCAAAAAAGAAACTCACACGGAAAAGGTTGAGACTCAAGCAACTCACACCAAACAGTAATAACAAAAAGAACATGCCCTCGAACATAGATAAAGCGACTTTGGAGGACCTTCGAGAGCAGGAAAATATATTATTGTACATACCATATGTCTATCATTGAATAATTACCTCATAGCTTGGCGATGAAGATCCACAGCGCAAATTATTTTTTTACAGATCATTATTTCATTCTTCGGATTAATATTTTTTAAAACATTAATATCCATTGCTTGCTCGATACGATAACTACAAAAAATTTTTTGGTTGCTATTACTTGAAACATATTAAAAATGACTAGTGAAATTCTACTCACGATTGTTACGATCGTATTTATCACTTCATTAATGAACGAAGGGTGTGGCGACTTACCTGGCGACTCTGAATATTCCGCAAATATGCTTGAAATATCCTACGAACATTGTTCCGGTCGCTAGAACTATAAGCGTCCCTGCAAAGAGAGTCGCGTTCGTGTGCAAAAGAATGAAATAGAAGTACTTTTCTTGATCGAGAAAATACTCATTCATGATCAGCAGCATTCGTCGTGGTCGTGTGTCATTTATAAGCAAGAAAATACCAAGCATGCGCGGCCACATTGGCAGGAGATTAATTGAAACTAGGTAGAATATTGAAAGCACTAGGAATATTCAAATAGACAGACTTAAAGATTGCTACAAACTTGCACTGTTTTCAAATCAAAAACATCTATGAAAGATTTATAAATAACATATATGAATTATTATTTTCTAAGTACTTCCCAATCATACGTCCGTTCAATAATTATTAATTATACATTAGACATTTAAAAAGGATGTAAACATGTAGTATTTTATATTCACTTATTTTTTACTATTTTTATATTTGCTTTTATTGTATATTTCATGTAACTTTTATGTTTTTGTTAAAATAGAATGACGAAGTACTTGGTCGTTAATTTTTCATTTATTACTTATTATTTATATCGCTGATTAGCAAAAATTAATTGAAGTTAAACATCAAGACGTTATAATGATAACATTATAATGATAAAAATGGTCTTACGTAAAATTACAATGGTATAACGTTTCACGACGATTGCATAATTCTCTACGATGGCGATTTCTTTTTCGTTCTTTAGCTCGCTGCAGATTTGCTCAAGCTGATCTATTAAATATTTTACCTGCAAACATGAAAACAAATTGACATAATCTCTTGTTGCAATCTTTCACAACAATTATGATATATAAGAATTCATTTGTCAATTTAAATAGACATCCAAATGTCTATTTTCTCTGAAAGGTATACATTAGATACTCGACTTACATTTTTAATTTTAAGAATGAACGCATTGTATTTAATTAGGTGTATCATAAAAAGGAACGTGATGGATAAAATATTGATGACAAGATCCACAGTACATTCTGCAGTTAGGAACGTTGCGAGCTATAAATGACAAAATTCACATTGAACGGAAGACATTGAAGAATTAGTCTATTAATTTAAAAAATTGCGTATCTTCTCTCAACTAAGAAGTAAGAAATGAAAAAACAGTCAATCGCGCTTTTAAACGCGATAAAATCCGACAGAAAATCATGCAATTATATTTTTTCGCATTTGGCAATAATCAAATGTATTATCGTCGTACATTTACTTGCGTAATATTATATAATCACATGAAACAAATGAGAGAAAAATTACTACAGCTAATGTACGGTGATGTACGTACCTGTAATACAATGAAGCTTATCAGAATACTAGAAATCAAGATTATTTGAACTCGAGCGAGCTTCGTTTGCTGATAAGGCCATAAGCCGATCGCTAATAAAAGGAGCCGGTTGACGTTGAAATGTTGATACAGATCGAAACAGATCATCTCTCTGCATGTACTACGGTACTTTTGACGGGGAGCGAATTGTCGAAGTTCCCGTTTAACTTCACTTTTCGACCGTTCGGTACAATTTTCTATAGAGCCTTGTCATTTATACAATTACATCTCCATTTTAACCGTACGCCAATGTAAATAGCTCAATTTGGCATCAGCTTAACGCAGAGTGACATGAAATATCGCTGTGAGATTAAAATATTCCGCGAAGCGAAGTACTCTGTGGGTCATGCGATCGATTGAACACAGACAGATAATTTCAACGAACGTTTATTTCTCATTAAAAAGATACCAGCAAGACTACTTGTTGATCGAAGGGCCGCGCAGGTGCAGTTGCCATCACGCAGCGAAGCGCCTCCCATATCCCTTACCTCGGTACATGTTCCTGTCAGTCACGTCGAAACCTTTGGCTAGGTTAGTTCTTCTGCTTTAGAATCCGACCCACTAGTTGTTGCTTCTCGGTGAAGTCTTTACATACCTTGCTGAAGACATCGTGGTTTTGTATTCTTCCTTACGTTTCTACGACGTCTGCCTCCCTGTAATTCTACTTGCGACCTGGATTACGCAAAATAACGAAACGTGAGTAAAGTTTCCGATTTCGTCCTGCCGTAAGTAACCGTTGCTGTTACTCGTCTCAATCGAGGATGGTCCTTCAGCCTAACGCATTAACGTCTTACCTATAAACTTTCCAACGGTACAACTCACAAATTCAACTACTATAATTTCACATATAAGACAATTGCCATGTGATACATGTGTGCATGTATATCTGTTTTCTACATGCCCTCGTATTTTCTTGGCAAATGCGTCCAGGTCACGCGCGTGAGGTCTATTTTCAGATGTCAGATTACATACAGATTATATACATGGAAAATATTATTTGTGCTTACCTAAGCTTCTTTCGCTAACGTTCATCCCATTTTGTGCTAGATCTTGCGTTTGTCCCACGTAGAGTAAAGAAAGGTGAAGTAAGATACCGAGGTGCTGACCATCTGCGACGACATGCGTTTCTTGTTTCAATTAGTCCATCCGAAGAAGCTGAAAATATTTTTAGTACAATTTTTCTTACCGTGGCGGCGTTTTCTAACGATCCCACGATCACCCCACCGATATTCAGAGTAAAGACTTTGGTACTTCTTTGCAATAAGAATAATATCATTTTCTGTATGTTCAAAGGCGCCACGTACCACCGAACGTCATATCTGCAAAAACGACAACGTAACGATATAATCAAGGAGGAGGGATAAAGGGGAAAATCATAAATTTCCATCACGCGCGTATTCGTTCTATGAACTAGCTTTAGTACGTTCTGTGGTGGACTTATTTCAAGTGACTGAAAATATTTCACGCCGACCACATCGGGTGGGTCATCCATCCGAGACCCACGTTGTCATGTTATAAGCATATTTAAATTTTATTTGCGAAATAATGTATGTTTCACAGTGATTGTAAAATATCTCACGATTATGTTTTGTTTTAGAGTCAAAATATTAAATCGTCTGAACGGAATGTTTAGCGTAGACTATATAGCCCACATGGCATAGAACGTGTTGATCGAATTCGTTAAATCAAACACCTCGGCAAGATTTATCTTCGCTCAGCAATGAGAAATTTATATCGGAGAGAATTCGTGTCTGTGGAAAAATGTGAATCTCGATTTTTCTCGGGAAAAGTCAGGGATCAACGGCAAAGAAAGAATACACACGTGCGGGAGTCGCGCGCTCATTTACATAGTGGCGAATACGTGGTTATTGTGATCCATGATCTCCTGCGCGACATAATTGCCTATGATCATGTACATTAAGTGGATAACGATGAACGCCAGAGGTATTAATAACATCCCGACGTTACTGTGCACTGCTGTCATCGTCTGAAAAATCTGCGAAGTACGAGCATCTTATTAATATTGTTAATCGCGTTGCATCGATATCGATCGAGTTAGTCTCCATAGGAAAGTAACGTTAAAAATGAGAAATGGTTCTTACTCGGAATAAATTAAGACTTCCGCAGATCACACCGGCGATTATTAAGAGGAAAAACGATACCTTGAATTTGGATATTGACATATCGGAGAACCTTCGGACAAAAAGAAAAAAGACGCATTATCACGCGCGTTATATTGCATTTTTGTTCGAAATACCAACTGCATGGCTTTGCGGTGGATGTCTATGGCGTAAATGAGACCTTTGTACATCCTATTGTTATTTCCCACGTTGCCGCTTTGTACGGTCCCGATTGCCATCGCGTGCTCGATACGGTAGCTGCGAATTATTCGTTATTCTGCTCTTATAATTACGGGAATTCTCACGGGTAAGGTGTCAACTTTATTTGTAATCACGTAAAGTTTTCCTGCGCTTATCCAGAGTGTCGAGCGTCACATAAATACGAATTTCTTTCCTCACCTGGAGATTCGAAACATTCCGCAGGCATGCTGCAGAAATGCTATGAGTATCGCACCCGTTGATATCATCGCGAGTCCACCCACTATAAAAGCTGTGATTGCATGCAGCAAGATCAGATAAAAATATTTCTTTTGATTGACGAAGTATTCGAATTCCAACGAGGGTTGCGGTCGAGTCTCATTTAAGGGTCGCATGATATCGAGAATAAGCGGACAAAATAAGTACGCGATTATAGACGTAGTGGTACACGTAGCAATTACTGAAATAAAAAGAGCAGACAAGATCGATAAATTGGATATATTAACAATCTAATTGTAAATTCGCTGTATAAACTCAAACAAAGCTCGTAAGTTATGTTTCTTAAGAAAAACGAAGCGAGTTGCCTTACTCATAATTGCAGCCGTGTACCGCTTCGAGAGCTGCCCATATTTCCTCATGATATTAATCTCATTCTCATCTCGTAGCTCGTTGTAGATGCGCTGAAGTAATTCCAGTAGATGTCTCATCTGCCGGTTTAACGGTGATTTATTTTATTTCTCACTTGTGTGGGTACAAAACGGATCATGTTACTTTTTTCGCACATATACTTACAGTTTCTATATTAACTCTGAATGAGCTGTACTTGATGACGAAAGTAATGTAAAATAACGTAGTAGAGGAAACATTGATGAGGAGTTCCGACGTATATTCCGAGGTCACGATCGACGTTAACTGCGAGCACAATAATTTTACTCGAATGCTTGCATTGCGATAACACTGATTTTTTCTACCTGATTAGAAAGAGAAATCACAAATCGTCTTTGTCGTCGTTTAAGTTAAATGGAAACGATACAAAAGATAATGCAGAGGGTTGATTTTTCCGCGATCATAATATACTAACGAAAAAGAGTCAGAAAACGTTACTCACCGCTTTTGATAAGCGTTGGATATATTATAGAAAAGTGAAAAATAAGAGACGTCTATTTTTTATAAGTGTTTTTATAAATCTCCTCCGTACGTTTAAAGATAGTTTACAATATTTTGAATTTAATTCTATATATCTTTGAGATCGCAATATATATATAGAGAGACCGTATGTCATTGTTAGCTTCTTTACGAAAAGCTTTCTTTTAAGCTTTCTTTGCGAGGACGTTAATGTACCTGAGATAAAATAAAGGTTGTTAAAATGCTGAAGAGCAAGATCAATTGTAACTGGACCAGCTTGGATTGCTGGTAAGGCCATAAGCCGACAGCGAGCAATAGAAGCCGGTTGAGGTCGATGTGCAATAATTCGACACAGATCATCTTTCCGCGATCATCGAGACACTTATGAAAACGGAGAGCCCGGCAAAATTTCGCTTATCCCCTCCTCACGATTGCTTCATTGAATATTTTATTTCTGCATCCTCCGACTGAAATCCTAACATGAACCAAGCAATTTGATGCAAACGTTGCGCGAGAAGAAATAGGAGAGAAAATACCATCGTGAGAAAATGATACTAGAGACTTAGCACGCTTTTTACGGAAAGGGTTGTGTAATTGAGCGATCGATACAGTACTGAAAGAAGTTTGGCAGATGTTTATTTCCCATACAATACATACACACATTGTTTGGAGGGGTGATTCTGTCACGAGCGACGCAGGCGAGAGCGTTTCCTCTTCGAATGCAACACCACGTGCTTCAGTCTGTCGCGTGCGCGTTTGTAAGTCACGTTTGATGCTTTTGGAGAAATATCAGTTCGCCAACTTCGAAAACCAACATACCACCGAAATACCACCAACTCGTTGCCGGTTAGGCGCCCAGATTAAAGTAATTGAATTGATTAAACTAATTAAAAAATAAAAATCTCTTAGTGAAAATGTCTGAATCTTATATTCACTCTCACGTTTTTTCTCTCAGCAGTTATTTTCATTCCTGCGACTCTATCGGTAAGATGCTTTTTGTATTTAATCAATCCTTGTTGATATTTAATTAAGATTTCTTTTAATGCTAATTCATTAGTCTATCAGTTGACAATCTTTAGGCACTGGTGCGTAAAGTAAAGAACGGTGAAGTAAGATACGGCTGATCAACCGATGAATGAAAAATATCATCTTTCATTCGGGTCTTCGACGGTCCTTCTTAAACGACGAACAGCCGCGATCTGTTCATATTCTAATGCAAATACATTCTTTTATGCTAGCAGCATTTTCCAAAAATACGAACAAATCACCGACCAACTGAACCGAGTCCAACTGAATAGCTTGGTGCCTCCTTGTAAGAGAAACAGTATCATCTTCTGTACTTGAATAGATGCTATCTGTACCACTGCACGTTGTAACTACAGAATTACGAGAAATTTTAGTCAGAAAGGATTGTCGGGAAATTTTTCTCACCATTATTATCGTACAGTTATTTCACTCGTTTTCTGCGCTATAATTAGCCTCTGTAAATAACTTAGCGGGACGAAATTTTAAGTGTATCGTAAAAATATTGTTTTATATTTGTATGAATAAATTATGATACGAAAGAGAAAGGTAAAACGTAACTAATGAGTACGGATAATATAACATATTTAATAAACTATTTCCTCTTTATTAGAAATCTTCTTTATTAAAAATATTAAGATGATAGTAATCTTTGATTTCTTCTATTGCTTGCTGATAAGTCTCTCAATGATTCTATCATAAATATTTTGTTATGTTGATTCTCCCCAAAGGATACTCGCGTTTGTCACGGTATCATATGTGGTGACTCTATTTACATAATTATAAATATGTCACTGTTATAATCTGTGATCTCTTGCACGCTGTGGTTACAAAAAATATGTACATAAGAACGATAAGTACGAATGTGAGGGGTAATAATATAATAATACTTCCTCTCTGTCGTCTTCATAGGACACAACCTGGAAAATCCGGGCCACCATTACACGATAAATCTTTCAGATGTGTTTAAAAAATGTCATTTTACGTATACAAGCTATATTACGAAAGAAAAAATGGAAGAATGAGCAACACATATAAAAATGTTCTGTTGTTAAACATTTTTAATTTTGAGATGAGTATAATTTGAAATACGACTTTTCGATCATTCTCGTTACTTGTTGATAAATCTTTCAGTATCTTTATTTATAAGTAGCTTGATATTTTGCTAAAGACATCACCGTTCTGTATTCTTTCTTATGCAACCTGGATAACACAAAATAACAAAACATGTGTAAAGTTTCTGATTTCGTTCTGCCGTAGGCAACCGTTGTTGTTACTAGCTTCGATTCAAGACTGCTTTCAGCCTTACGCATTAACGCTTTATCTAACTTTTAATCGATTTGAGTCACAAATCCTACTACAATTCCATTAAGACATTTGCCGTATAATATGAAATATGCCGTATATTTTCTACATGCTCTTCTATTTTCCTGGCATCTACAAATGCGTCCACACATATAATCTATCTTCAGATGTCAGATTATATTTACGAGAATATCGTTTATGCTTACCAAAGCTTCTTCCTAACATTCGTCCCATTTTATGTTAGATTTCGCGTTTGTTCCACGTGGAGTAAAAAAAGGTGAAGTATGATACTATAGTGCTGAATATCTGCAACGATATGTGTTTCTTGTTTCAATTAGTCTAAAGAAGCTAGCAACAAGCCAAAGAGATTTTTACTATAATTTTCCTTACCGTGGCGGCGGTTTCTAACGAACCCACGATTACCCCGCCAATATTCAGACTAAAACCTTTAGTATTTCTTTGCAATAGAAATAGTATCATTTTCTGTACGTTCAAAGGTGCCATGTACCAGCGGAGGCCGTATCTACAAAACGACGAGATAACGATATAATCACGGAGGGCGGAGAAAGGTGAATTTGTAAATAGTTTTCATTACGCGCATATTTGTTCTACGACCTAAATTTAATACGTTTTGTGGTGGACTTATTTCACGTGATGCCGAGTATGTCGGTTCATATTATGAGTTAAATTTTGTTTATATAATAATGTATATGTTTCACAATTAAAAAAATATTTCATCATTATGTATTATATAATACCATAAAATATTAGACGGCCTAACCAGAACGTTTAGCATGGAGTATCGGTAGCCCACATGGCACAAAACGTATTGATCAAATTGTTAAGTCAAAGATCTCAGCGAGATTTAACTTCTGTGTATCCAGTGATGAGTAACTTATATTGGAGAAAACTATCCGTATCCGTGAAAACGTATGAATCTCGATTTTTCTCGGGAAAAGTTGGAAATCACGCGGCAAAAAAAAATACACACATATAGTAGTCGCACGTTTATTTACATAGTGTTGAACACGTGGCTATTGTGATCCATAATGTCCTGCGCGACATAGTTGCCTACGATCATATAGATTATGTGGATAGCGAAGGATGTAAGAGGTATTAATAACATTCCGACGTTAGTGCATCCGACTGTTACCGCTTGAAAAATCTGTGAAATACGAGCATCTTATTAATCTTGTTGATCGCGTTGCATCGATATCGATCGAGTTAGTCTCCATAGAAAAGTAACGTTAAAAATGAGAAATGATTCTTACTCGTAATAAATTAAGACTTCCGCAGATCACACCGGCGATTATTAAGAGCAAAAATGATACCTTAAATTTCGATATTGACATATCGGAGACCCTTCGGACAGAAAGAAAAAGGACGCGTTATCGCGCGCTACAATGCATTTTTGATTGAAATACCAACTGCATGGCTTTGCGATGGATATCTACGGCGTAAATTAGACCCTTGTACATCGTATTGTCATTTCCTGCGTTGCCACTTTGTACGGTCCTGATTGCCATCGCATGCTCAATACGGTAACTATAAATTATTCGTTATGATGTTCTTATAATTACATGAATTTTCACAGGTCACGTATCAGTTTTATTTACAATTGCGTAAAGCTTTCTTGCGCTTATTGAGAATGCTGTACGTCGTATAAATACAAATTTCTTTCCTCACCTGGAGATTCGAAACATTCCGCAGGCATGCTGCAGAAATGCTATTAGTATCGTACCCGTTGCTACCATCGCGAGTCCACCCACTATAAAAGCTGTGATTGCGTGCAGCAAGATCAGATAAAAATATTTTTTTTGATTGACGACGTATTTGAATTCCAACGGGGACTGTGGTCGAGTATCATTTAAAGGCCACAGAATGTCGAGAATGAGCGGACAAAATGAATATACGACTATAGAAATAACTGCACATATAGAAAATGCTGAAATAGAAAGAGAAGAGATAGACTCCAAGACAGATAAATTGAATACATTAAAAATCTAATCGCAAATTCGATGCAATAAACTCAAACGAAGCTCGTAAGTTATGTTTGTCAAGAAAGAGAAGAGAGTTGCCTTACTGATAATAGCAGTCGTGTACCGCTTCGAGAGCTGCCCGTATTTCCTTATGATATTAATCTCATTTTCATCTCGTAGCTCGTTGTAGATGCGCTGAAGTAGTTCCAGTAGATGCCTCATCTGCCGATTTAACGGTGATCTACTTTATTCCTCACTTGTGCGGGTACAAAACAGATCACTTTTGTCGCATATGTACTTACAGTTTCTATATTAATTCTGAATGAGCTGTACTTGATGACGAAAGTAATGTAAAATAACGTAGTAGAGGAAACATTGATGAGGAGATCCGGAGTATATTCCGAAGTCACGATCGACATTAACTGCGAACAATAATTTTACTCAAATGTTTGCATTGCAATAACACTGATTTTTTCCATCTAATTAGAAAGAGAAATTACAAATCACCCATGTTGTCGTTTAAGTTAATTGAAAACGACAAAAGGTTGATTTATTGCGCGATCATAACATACTAACAAAAAAGAGATAGAATTCGTCACTCACTGTTTTTGGTAACCCTTGGATATATTATAGAAATGTAAAAAATAAGAAACGTCTGTCTCTCATAAATGTTTTCATAAGTTTCCTCGCATGTTAAGAGATCGTTTGCGATATTTCGAATTTAATTCTATACATCTTTGAAATCGTAAAATATGCAGAGAGAACGTTTGTCATTATTAGCTTCTTTACGAAAAGCTTTCCTATAAGCTTTCCTTGCAAGGACGTTAACGTACCTGAGATAAAATAAATGTCGCCAAAATGCTGAAGAGCAAGATCAATTGTAACTGAACCAGCTTGGATTGCTGGTAAGGCCATAAGCCAACAGCGAGTAATAGAAGCCGGTTGAGGTCGATGTGGAATGATTCGACACAAATCATCTCTCCGCGATCATCGAGACACTTACAGAAGCGAAGAGCCCGGCAAAATTTCGCTCATCCCTTCCTCACGATTGCTTCATTGAATATTTTATTTCTGCACTCACTGACTGAAATTCTAACATAAACCAATTTGATGCAAACGGTGCGTGAAAAGAAATAGAAAAGAAAACACTATCGTGAGAAAACGACAATAGAGGCTTAACACGCTTTTCGCAAAAAGGTGTGCGTAATTAAGCGATCGATACAGTACTGAAAGAAGCTTGGCAGATGTTTATTTCCCGTACAATCATATACACACTGGTTGGTGGGGTGTTGTTTTGTCATGGACGGCGCAAGCGTGAGCGTTTTCACAGCGAATGTAGCACTACGTGCTTCAGTCTGTCGCGTGCGCGTTTGTAAGTCACATTTGATCCTTTCGGAGAAATATCTGTTCATCAACTTCAGAAAGCAACATACCACCGAGATACTACCGACTCATTGCTGGTTAGACGCCCAGATTAAGTAATCGTATCTCTCGATGTGTGGTGAAAACGTCTGCCTCTTACATTCACTCTCACGTCTTCTCAGCACTTATTTTCATTCTCGCGACTCTATCCGAAGATCGGTAAGATACACTTTGTATTTAACCAATCTGTGTCAATAGTTAATTAACATATTTTTTAATGCTAATTCATTAGACTATCTTGTAGTTGACGGTTTTTGGCTACTGATGCGTAAAGTAAAGAACGGCGAAATAAAAGATGCTTTTTAGGTGTAATAAAAAATATCATCTTTCATTCGATCTCGTCCTTGAACAATGAAGAGCCGCGATCTATTGATACTCTGATGCAAATACATCCTTTTATCCTAGTACTTTTCAAGGATATCACACAGAAATCACCGACAGTCAGAGGGAATGGCTTGGTGTATCCTTGTAAGAGAAACAGTATTATATTCTGATTACTTGAACAAGTACCACTGCACACTGCAACTACAAAATCACGAGGAATTCTACTATTCTATTATGCGCTACTATAATTTCACTAAGCAATTGTCATATGATATGTGTGTGTATGTGTATATGCTTTCTACATGCTCTCCTATTTTCTTGACATTTACAAGTGCGTGCATACGTGTAATCTATCTTCAGACGTTAGATTATAAATATGCGAACATCGTTTGTGCTTACCTAAGTTCCTTCCGCTAACATTCATCCTATTTCGTATTATATCTCGCGTTTGTCCAACGTGGAGTAAAGAAAGGTGAAGTAAGATAACGAGGTGCTGAATATCTGCAACGATATGCATTTCTTATTTCAATTAATTGATCTAAAGAAGCCAGTATCGAAAAAAAGACATTCCTAATATATTTTTTCTCACCGTGACGGTGTTTTCTAACGAACCTACGATTATCCCGCCAATATTCAGACTAAAAATTTTGGTATTTCTTTGCAATAAAAATAGTATCATCTTCTGTATGTTCAAAGGTGCTACGTACCAGCGGACGTCATATCTGCGAAAAAACGACGTAGTGATGTAATTACAGAGGGAGGGGGAGGGGGAGAGTGAATTCGTAAATAATTTCCATTATGCGCGTATTTGTTCTACGAATTAGTTTTTAAACTTTTTGTGGTGGACACATGATGCCAAGTATATCGGTCTTATTATGAGTCAAATTTTTCTTATATAATAATATGTTTCACAATAATTCTAACAATATTTTATAATTATGTTTTATATTATAAAAATCAGATAGCTTAAACAGAATGTTATATGGCACGGACTATCGGTAGCCTACATAGCACAGAATGTATTGATCAAACTGTTAAATCAAAGATTTCAGTAAGGTCTAACTTCTGTATATTCAGTGATAAGAAATTTATATCGGAGAAACTCGTGTCCTGAAAAGATGTGAATCTCAATTTTTCTCGGGAAAAATCGGAAATCACACATCGAAGAAAAAATACACACGTGTGGCAGTCGCGCTTTTATTTACATAGTGTCGAATACGTGGTTATTGTGATCCATGATATCTTGCGCGATAGAGTTGCTCACAATCATATAGATCAGGTGGGTAACAATGAACACAAGAGGTATTAATAACATCCCGACATTACTGTATCCGACTGTCATCGCTTGAAAAATCTGTGAAGTGCGAACATCTTATAAATTTTGTTGATTGTCTTCAATTGATATCGATCGAGTTTGTCTCCACAACAAAGTAACATTGAAAATGAGAAATGTTTCTTACTCGAAATAAATTAAGACTTCCGCAGATCATGCCGGAGATTATTAAGAGGAAAAACGATACTTTGAATTTGGATATTGTCATATCGGAGAACCTTCGGACAAAAAGAAAAAGAACGCGTTATCATGCGCGTTATATTGCATTTTTTATCGAAATACCAACTGCATTGCTTTGCGATGGATATCTACGGCGTAAATTAGACCCTTGTACATCATATTGTTATTTCCCGCTTTGCCGTTTTGTACGGTTCCGATTGCCATTGCGTGCTCGATACGGTAGCTGCGAATTATTTATTATTCTACTCTTATAATTATTCACTTCTCTTAAATTCTTCTACTTAAACTCTCACAGGACAGGTGTCAGCTTTATTATTAACTTTACACAATTTGCAATTGCGTAAAGTTCTCCTGCACTTATCGAGAATGTCGTGCGTTACACAAATATGAATTTCTTTCCTCACCTGGAGATTCGAAACATTCCGCAGGCATGCTTCAGAAATGCTATGAGTATCGCACCCGTAGATACCATGGCGAGCCCACCGACTATAAAAGCTGTTATTGCGTGTAGCATGATCAGATAGAAATATTTTTTTTGATTAACAAAGTATTTGAATTCCACCGAGGGCTGTGGTCGAGTCTCATTTAAGGGTCGCAGGATATCAAGAATGAGCGGACAAAATAAGTACGTGATTATGGAAATAATGACAAACGTAACAATTGCTGAAATAAAAAGAGACAGTTAAATTGGATACATTAAAAATCTAATCTTGAATTCGCTGTACAAACTCAAACAAAGCTCGTAAATTATGTTCGTCAAGAAAGACGAGGCAAGTTGCCTTACTCATAAGTGCAGCCGTGTACCGCCTCGACAGTTGCCCATATTTCTTTATGATATTAATCTCATTCTCATCTCGTAACTCGTTGTAGATGCGCTGAAGTAGTTCCAATAGATGCCTCATCTGTTGATTTAACGATGATCTATTTTATTTCTCACTTATGTAGGTACAAAACGGACCATGTTACTTTTTTTGCACATATACTTACAGTTTCTATATTAATTCTGAATGAGCTGTACTTGATGACAAAAGTAATATAAAATAACGTGGTAGAGGAAACATTTATGAGGAGATCCGAAGTGTATTCCGAGGTCACGATCGACGTTAGCTACGAGCAATAATTTTACTCAAATGTTTGCATTGCAATAATTCTGGATTTTTTATGTAATTGGGAAGAGAAATCACAAACCGTCTTTGTAATCGTTTAAGTTAAATGGAACGATTCAAAAAGTGATGCAGGGTGTTGATTTGTTACTAATAAAACGTCATAACGTATTAACAAAAAAGAGTCTGGAAATGTCACTCACCGCTTTCGGTAAGACTTGGATATATTGTAGAAAAATGAAAAATACGACACATCTATTTTTTTTACAAGTGTTTTATAAGTTTTCTTGTATGTTTATAGGTCGTTTACAATATTTTTAATTTTCTAATTTCTATATTTCTAATTTCTATATATCTTTGAGATCGCAAAATATATAAAGAGGACATTTGTCATTGTTAGCTTCTTTATGAAGAGCTGCCCTTTGACCTTTCCTTGCGAGAACGTTAACGTACCTGAGATAAAATAAAAGTTGTTAAAATGCTGAAGAGCAAGATCAATTGTAATTGAACTATTTTAGTTTGCTCATAAGGCCATAAGCCAACAGCGAGCAATAGAAGCCGGTTGAGGTTGATGTGCAATGATTCGACACAGATCATCTCTCTGCGATCATCGAGAATCGAGACACTATTGGTCGCTAAGGGTCCAGCAAACTTTCGCTCATCCCTTCATCGCGGTTGCCTCATTGAATATTTTATTTCTGCACCCTCTGACTGAAATTCTAACATGAACCATGCAATTTGATGTAAACGGTGCGTGAAAAGAAATAGAAGAGAAAACAGCATCGTGAGAAAACGATACTAAAGGCTTACTACGCTTTTTGCGGTAAGAGCTGCATAATTGGACGATCGATATGATACCGAAAGAAGTTTGACAGATGTTTATTTCCCATAGAATACATATATACATTGGTGGGAGGGGTTGTTGTTTTGTCATGTACGACGCAGGCGTGAAGGTTTCCTCGGCGAACACCACGTGCTTCAGTCTGTCGCTTGCGCGTTTGTAAGTCACATTTGATCCTTTCGGAGAAATATCTGTTCATCAACTTCAGAAAGCAACATACCACCGAGATACTATCGACTCATTGCTGGTTAGACGCCCAGATTAAGTAATCGTATCTCTCGATGTGTGGTGAAAACGTCTGCATCTTACATTCACTCTCACGTCTTCTCAGCACTTATTTTCATTCTCGCGACTCTATTCGCAGATCGGTAAGATATACTTTGTATTTAACCCATCTGTGTCAATAGTTAATTAACATATTTTTTAATGCTAATTCATTAGAGTATCTTGTAGTTGACGGTTCTTGGCTACTGATGCGTAAAGTAAAGAACGGCGAAATAAAAGATGATTTTAGGTGTAATAAAAAATATCATCTTTCATTCGCACTCGTCCTTGAACAATGAAGAGCCGCGATCTATTGATACTCTGATGCAAATACATCCTTTTATCCTAGCACTTTTCAAGGATATCACACATAAATCACCGACAGCCAGAGGGAATGGCTTGGTATATCCTTGTAAAAGAAACAGTATTATATTCTGTACTTGAACAAGTACCACTGCACGCTGCAACTACAAAATCACGAGGAATTCTACTATTCTATTATGTGCTACTATAATTTCACTAAGCAATTGTCATATGATATGTGTGTGCATGTGTATATGCTTTCTACATGCTCTCCTATTTTCTTGACATTTACAAATGCGTGCATACGTGTAATCTATCTTCAGACGTTAGATTATATTGGGTGAGTGCAAAAGTTCGTGCGGAGTTTCAATAGATGGAGTTATAAGCGTCGTAAAGTGTTGTCATTAATACTTCCATCTACATATTATATAACGTTGGAAAGGTGACGTCTTCAGCTGTTATTAAAAAAAAAATCATTTGTTTTCATACAAACTGCTTCGAGAAATATTACTTTAAAAATGAGTATCGATAAGGTGCATTTACGGCATGTTATGCTTTACGAGTTTCGGAAGGGAATAAACATTGCCGCAGCCGTAAAAAACATTCAGGATGTTTATCAGGATGAAGCACCAGCTAAACGAACTGTGGAAAAATGGTTTGCTAAATTTCGGCGCGGAGAATTTAACCTTGAAGACGAGCCACGCTCTGGTCGACCTTTTGACATTGATGACGATGTTTTGCGTACTTTAGTGCTCAATAATCCGCGAATTTCAACAGAAGAAGTTGCTACAGCACTAAACGTTGACCGATCAACCGCTTTTCGGCGTTTAAAAAAGATGGGATTCGATTTGAAGCTCGATATATGGGTGCCCCATTTGCTGACCGAGAAGAACAAAATCAAGCGAATTTCTGCAGCCGTTTCTTTACTCGGCGGCTCAATAACGAGTCGTTTTTGGATCGACTAGTGACGGGCGATGAGAAATGGGTCCTCTACAGCAATGTTCAGCGCAAACGGACATGGAAACAATCAAGTGAGCATGGTGACGCAATGCCAAAGGCCAGTTTGCACCCGATGAAGGTGATGCTCTCTGTTTGGTGGGATTGCAAGGGCATAATCTATTTCGAGCTTCTCCCCGCTGGCGAAACGATTGATTCGGACAAGTACTGTCGCCAATTAACCAATCTGAATCGAGAAATAAAAGAGAAACGTCCGATTTTGTCAAATCGCAAGGGAGTCGTCTTTCATCACGACAACGCCAGACCACACGTTTCGAAAAAGACGCTGCGCAAACTGAAGAGCCTGAAATGGGATGTCTTAACGCATCCACCGTATTCTTCTGATATCGCACCATCTGACTATCACTTGTTCCGGTCATTGCAAAATTATTTAAATGGAAAAAACTTTGACTCTTTGGAGGCCTTAAAAAACGGCGTCTCTTCGTCCTTCGAATCTAAACCGCGCAGTTTTTATGATCGAGGCATCCGTATGCTGCCAGAACGTTGGGAAAAGATTATAGAAAACGATGGAGAATATATCATTGATTGAATAAAGATTTTTGTTTGCCTAATCACTGTGTGACTTTTACTCACAAACTCCGCACGAACTTTTGCACTCACCCAATAAATATGCGAACATCGTTTGTGCTTACCTAAGCTCCTTCCGCTAACATTCATCCTATTTCGTATTATATCTCGCGTTTGTCCCATGTGGAGTAAAGAAAGGTGAAGTAAGATAACGAGGTGCTGAATATCTGCACCGATATGCGTTTCTTGTTTCAATTAATTCATCTAAAGAAGCCAGTATCGAAAAAAAGACATTCCTAATATATTTTTTCTTACCGTGACGGCGTTTTCTAACGAACCTACGATTATCCCGCCAATATTCAGACTAAAAACTTTGGTACTTCTTTGCAATAAGAATAGTATCATCTTCTGTACGTTCAAAGGTGCTACGTACCAGCGGACGTCGTATCTGCGAAAAAACGACATAGTGATGTAATTACAGAAGGAGGGGGATGGGGAGAGTGAATTCGTAAATAATTTCCATTATGCGCGTATTTGTTCTACGAATTAGTTTTTATACCTTTTGTGGTGGACACATGACGCCAAGTATATCGGTCTTATTATGAGCCAAATTTTTCTTATATAATAATATATGTTTCACAATAATTCTAACAATATTTTATGATTATGTTTTATATTATAAATATCAGATGGTTTAAGCAGAATGTTATACAGCACGGACTATCGGTAGCCTATAGCATAGCACAGAATGTATTGATCAAAGTGTTAAAAAAGTCAAAGATTTCAGTGAGGGCTAACTTCTGTATATTCAGTGATAAGAAATTTATCGGAAAAAACTCGTGTCCTGGAAAGGTATGAATCTCGATTTTTCTCGGGAAAAATCGGAAATCACACATCGAAGAAAAAATACACACGTGCAGCAGTCGCGCTTTTATTTACATAGTGTCGAATACGTGGTTATTGTGATCCATGATATCTTGCGCGATAGAGTTGCCCACGATCATATAGATCAGATGAGCAACAAAGAATACAAGAGGTATTAATAACATCCCGACATTACTGTATCCGACTGTCATCGCTTGAAAAATCTGTGAAGTGCGAACATCTTATCAATTTTGTTGAATGTCTTCAATCGATATCGATCGAGTTTGTCTCCACAACAAAGTAACATTGAAAATGAGAAATGTTTCTTACTCGGAATAAATTAAGACTTCCGCAGATCACACCGGCGATTATTAAGAAGAAAAACGATACTTTGAATTTGGATATTGTCATATCGGAGAACCTTCGGACAAAAGAAAGAGAACGCGTTATCACGCGCGTTATATTGCATTTTTTATCGAAATACCAACTGCATTGCTTTGCGATGGATATCTACGGCGTAAATTAGATCCTTGTACATCATATTGTTATTTTCCGCTTTGCCGCTTTGTACGGTTCCGATTGCCATTGCGTGCTCGATACGGTAGCTGCGAATTATTTATTATTCCACTCTTATAATTACTCACTTCTCTTAAATTCTTTTACTTAAATTGTCACAGGACAGGTGTCTGCTTTATTATTAACTTTACACAATTTGCAATTGCGTAAAGTTCTCCTGCACTTATCGAGAATGTCGTGCGTTACACAAATATGAATTTCTTTCCTCACCTGGAGATTCGAAACATTCCGCAGGCATGCTGCAGAAATGCTATGAGTATCGCACCCGTAGATATCATCGCGAGCCCACCCACTATAAAAGCTGTTATTGCGTGTAGCATGATCAGATAGAAATATTTTTTTTTATTAACAAAGTATTTGATTTCCACCGAGGGTTGTGGTCGAGTCTCATTTAAGGGCCGCAGGATATCAAGAATGAGCGGACAAAATAAATACGTGATTATGGGAATAATGGTAAACGTAGCAATTGCTGAAATAAAAAGAGACGGATAAATTGGATACATTAAAAATCTAATCTTAAATTCGCTGTACAATCTCAAACAAAGCTCATAAGATATGTTTCTCAAAAAAGACGAAGCGAATTGCCTTACTCATAATTGCAGCCGTGTACCGCCTCGACAGCTGCCCATATTTCTTTATGATATTAATCTCATTCTCATCTCGTAGCTCGTTGTAGATGCGCTGAAGTAGTTCCAATAGATGCCTCATCTGTTGATTTAACGGTGATCTATTTTATTTCTCACTTGTGTAGGTACAAAACGGATCATGTTACTTTTTTTGCACATATACTTACAGTTTCTATATTAACTCTGAATGAGCTATACTTGATGACAAAAGTAATATAAAATAACGTGGTGGAGGAAACATTTATGAGGAGATCCGAAGTGTATTCCGAGGTCACGATTGACGTTAGCTGCAAGCAATAATTTTCTCAAATGTTTGCATTGCAATAATTCTGGTTTTTTTATGTAATTGGAAAGAGAAGTCACAAATCGTTTTTGTAATCGTTTAAGTTAAATGAAAACGATTCAAAAGGTGATGCAGGGTGTTGATTTGTTATTAACAAAACATCATAACTAACAAAAAAGAGTCTGGAAATGTCACTCACCGCTTTTGGTAAATCTTTGGTATATGTTGTAGAAAAATGAAATATAAGACACGTCTATTATTTTTACAAGTGTTTTATAAGTTTCCTTGCACGTTTATAGGTCGTTTACAATATTTCTAATTTTATTCTATATATCATTGAGATCGCAATACATATGGAGAGATCATTTGTCATTGTTAGCTTCATTACGAAAAGCTTTCCTTTGAGCTTTCCTTGCGAAAACGTCAACTTACCTGAGATAAAATAAAAGTTGTTAAAATGCTGAAGGACAAGACCAATTGTAACTGAACTATCTTGGTTTGCTGATAAGGCCATAAGCCAACAGCGAGCAATAGAAGCCGGTTGAGGTTGATGTGCAATGATTCGACACAGATCATCTCTCTACGATCATCGAGACACTATTAGTCGCGAAAGGTTCGGCAAACTTTTGTTCACCCCTTCCTCGCGACTGCTTCATTGAATATTTTATTTCTGCACCCTCTGACTGAAATTCTAACATGAACCATGCAATTTGATGCGAACGGTGCGTGAAAAGAAATACAAGATAAAATAGCATCGTGAGAACAATATCGTGAGAAACGGTACTAGAGGTTTACTACGCTTGTTGCAGTAAGAGCTGCGTAATTGGACGATCGATATGATACCGAAAGAAGTTTGACACATGTTTATTTCCCATAGAATACATATATACATTGGTGGGAGGGATTGTTGTTTTGTCATGTACGAGGTAGGCGTGAAGGTTTCCACGGCGAATGCAGTACCACGTGCTTCAGTCTGTCGCGTGCGGGTTTTGTAAGTCACGTTTGATCCTTTCAGAGAAATGTCAGTTCACCAACTTCGAAAAGCAACATACCATCGAGATACCATCAACTCGTTGCCGATTAGGCGTCCAGATTAAAGTAATCATACATGTATTTCTCAGTGAAAACGTCTTCATCTAACATTTATTCTCACGTCTTCTAAGCACTTATTTTCATTCCCGGGATTCTATCTACAGGTCGGTAAGATACACATTACATTTCACCAATCCTTGTCAATATTTAATTGAGATTTCTTTTAATGCTAATTCATTAGACTATTTTATAGCTGACGATTCTTGCTCACTGTCGCGTAAAGTAAAAAATGGGGAAGTAAGATAGAGATGGTATGGAGATGCTTTTTATGTGTAATGAAAAATATTATTCTTCATTTGCGGTCTCACTCGAACGGCGAAGGGCCGCGATCTGTTGATACTTTGATGCGAATACATCCTTTTATCTTAGCGCTTTCCAAGGATACCACACACCGAAATTACTGACAATCAGAGGGAATGGCTTGGTGCCTCCTTGTAAGAGAAACAGTATTATATTCTGTACTTGAATAGGTGCTACGTACCCGTGCATGCTGTAACTACAAAATCACGAAAAGTTCTACTATGTGGTACTATAATTTTACTAAGCAATTGCAATTAGATATGCATATGTGTGCATATGTATATGTTTTCTACATGCTCTCCTATTTTCTTGACATTTACAGATGCATGTATACGTGTAATCTATCTTCAGACGTCAGATTATAAATATGCGAACATCGTTTGTGCTTACCTAAGCTCCTTTCGCTAACATTCATCCTATTTTGTATTATATCTCGCGTTTGTTCCACGTAGAGTAAAAAAAGGTGAAATAAGATACTATAGTGCTGAATATCTGCAACGATATGTGTTTCTTGTTTCAATTAGTCTAAAGAAGCCAGCAATGAGCCAAAGAGATTTTTACTATAGTTTTTCTTACCGTGGCGGCATTTTCTAACGAACCCACGATAATCCCGCCAATATTCAAACTAAAAACTCTGGTACTTCTTTGCAATAAAAATAGTATCATCTTCTGTACGTTCAAAGGTGCCACATACCAGCGAACATCGTATCTACAAAACAACGATGTAACGATATAATCACGAAGGGGGCAAGAAAGTGGATTTGTAAATAATTTTCATTACGCGCGTATTTGTTCTACGAACTAGTTTTAATATGTTTTGTAATTGCCTTATTTCACGTGACGCCAAATATGTCGATCATGTTATGAAACAAATTTTGCTTGTATAATAATGTGCGTTTTACAATAATTATAAAAATATTTCATGATTAGGTTCTATATTATAGCCAAAATATTAGACGGTTTAAGTAGAATATTTAGCATGGACTATCTGTAGCCCACATGGCATAAAACGTGTTGATCAAAGTGTTAAGTCAAAGATCTCGGCGAAATCTACCTTCTGTATATTCAGCGATGAGAAATTTATATCGAAGAAAACTCGTGTCCGTGAAAAGGTGTGAATCTCGATTTTTCTCGGCAAAAATCGGAAATCACGCATCGAAGAAAAAATACACACGTGCAGCAGTTGCGCTTTTATTTACATAGTGTCGAACACGTGGCTATTGTGATCCATGATATCTTGCGCGACAGAGTTGCTCACGATCATATAGATCATGTGGATAACAAAGAACACAAGAGGTATTGATAACATCCCGACGTTAGTGTATCCGACTGTTACCGCCTGAAAAATCTGTAAAGTACAAGCATCTTATCAATTTTGTTGATTTCCTTGGATCGATATTGATCGAATTTATTTCTACATAAAGGTGAAGTTAAAAATAAAAAATAGTTCTTACTCGCAATAAATTAAGACTTCCGCAGGCCACACCGGTTACTATTAAGAGGAAAAACGACACCTTGAATTTTGATATTGACAAATCGGAGAACCTTCGGATAAAAAGAAGAAGGATGCGTTACTATGCGCGTTACAATGCATTTTTGATTGAAATACCAACTGCATAGCTTTACGATGGATATCTACAGCGTAAATTAGACCCTCGTACATCATATTACCATTCCCCGCGTTGCTGCTTTGTGCAGTCTCGATTGCCATCGCGTGCTCGATACGGTAGCTACAAATTATTTGTTATTTTACTCTTATAATTACGCGAATTCTCTCAGATCAGATGTGAGCTTTATTTGCAATTGCATATAGTTTTCCTGCACTTATCGAGAATGTCGTGCGTTACATAAATATAAATTTCTTTCCTCACCTGGAAATTCGAAACATTCCGCAAGCATGCTGTATAAATGCTATGAGTATCGCACCCGTAGATACCATCGCGAGCCCACCCACTATAAAAGCTGTTATTGCGTGTAGCATAATCAGATAGAAATATTTTTTTTGATTAACAAAGTATTTGAATTCCAACGAGGGCTGTGGTCGAGTCTCATTTAAGGGCCGCAGGATATCAAGAATGAGCGGACAAAATGAGTACGTAATTATGGGAATAAGAATAAACACAGAAAATACTGAAATAAAAAAGTAAAACGAACTCCAAGACTTTAGAATTGGATACATTAATAATCTAATCGTAAATTACCCGTATAAACTCAAACAAAGCTCGTAAGTTATGTTTCTCAAAAAAGACGAAGCGAGTTGCCTTACTTATAAGTGCAGCCGTGTACCGCCTCGAGAGCTGCCCATATTTTTTTATGATATTAATCTCATTCTCATCTCGTAGCTCGTTATAGATACGCTGAAGTAGTTCCAATAGATGCTTCATCTGCCGATTTAAAGGTGATCTATTTTATTTCTCACTTATGTGTACAAAACGGATCGTATTACTTTTTTCGGACATGTACTTACAGTTTCTATATTAACTCTGAATGAACTATATTTGATGACGAAAGTAATGTAAAATAATGTGGTAGAGGAAACATTGATGAGGAGATCTGAGGTGTATTCCGAGGTCACGATCGACGTTAACTGCGAGCAAATACTTTTACTCAAACATTTGTGTTTGGCAGTAAGGCTGATTTTTTTATTTAATTAGAAAGAGAAATCACAAATCGCCTTTGTCGTCGTTTAAGTTAAATGAAAACGATTTGAAAGGTGATGCAGACGGTTGATTTGTTGATTTATTACAAAATGTCATAACGTACTAACAAAAAAAAAGTCAGGAAACGTCACTCACTGTTTCCGGTAAGCCTTGAATATATCATAGAAAAGTGAAAAATAAAACACTATTTTTTTACAAGAGTTTTTATAAGTTTTCTCGCACGTTTAGAGATCGTTTACAATATTTCTAGTTTTGTTCTATGTACGTATCTTTGAGATTGCAAAATATATAGAAAGTACGTTTGTCATTGTTAACTTTTTTATGAAAAACTTTCCTTGAAGCTTTCCTAGCGAGGATCTGAGATAAATTAACGTACCTGAGATAAAATAAAAGTCGCCAAAATGCTGAAGAACAAAATCAATTGTAACTGAACCAGCTTGGATTGCTGGTAAGGCCATAAGCCAACAGCGAGCAATAGAAGCCGGTTGAGGTCGATGTGGAATGATTCGACACAGATCATCTCTTCGCGATCATCAAAACAGTTTTGACCGCGAGGGGTCCGACAAACTTTCGCTCATCTTTTCCTCGCGATTGCTTCATTGAATATTCTATAGTTCTGCACCCTCCGGCTGAAATTCTAACATGAACCATGTAATTTGATGTAATCATGAAGGTGCGTGAAAAGAAATAGAAGAGAGAACACCATCGTGAGAAAGCGATAATAGAGGTTTAGCACGTTTCTCGTGGGTAAAGTTGTGTAATTGAGCGATCGATATGTTACCGAAGGAAGTTGGCAGATGTTTATTTCCCATACCAAAAATATATATACACATTGTTTGGGGGGTGTTGTTTTGCCATGAACAGCGCAAGCGTGAACGTTTCCTCGGCGAATGCAACACCACGTGCTTTAGTCCGTCGCGTGTGCGTGTCCGTCGCGTGTGCGTTTGTGTAAATAATATACTGCAAAGTTGCATTCGTGCAAGCAGTGTTAGACGTCAGCTTTCAGAATATCATCGTTTGTGTATATTTCGATATAATAAGTAATAGTCAATAATAGTACATAATATTTCAGTATTATTTTTTATTAGAAATGATTTTGCTTTCGATGATCGAACTAACTCGTATATTCTGATATTCATGTTTGATTATCCTGTTTATCTTTGATATAGGTTATCTTTTATATCTGAACTCGGGTATTTAAAGATTTTCAAAGGAAATGAATTTTGACAAATAGAAAAGTTTAAATATAATAAAAGATATGATACAAAGAGGGAGAACAATATTATATATATTGTATTATGTCGCATCACGAAACTCAAAATTATTGAAAGTGGTGTTTACCATTATTATTTCTAGATTCCTATTTGTTGTTAAATAATTGTTGATTTTTTTATAAAGAGAGAAGTAATTACAACAAGATTATTTGTGCATATTGTTTAACAGCATGTTCCATAATTTAGCGTTCTTACAGCAAAAACACTCAGAACAAATTACTAAACGATTGACATTGAAGATAATTTACGTTGAAAATAATATATCCAGAATCATTTTTAGATTTAATTAAAGAAAATCAGTGTAACTTCCCGCGTCGATTATTCTACTGCACTATATATTTTGCCGTGTTGAATAAAGGACAGTGAAGTAACTCATCGACGCGCTCAACAACTGAAATGAAATGTGTTTGTTCTATTCGAAATATACCGTATATGGCGAGGCTCTAAAAAATATACGATATGTCTTTTACCTTGGCAGCGCTTTCTAAGGATCCTATGAACATTCCACCGATAATTACGTAAAAAGGTTTGCTGCCCCTTTGCAACATGAACAAAATCATCTTTTGTATACGTAAAGGAGCATTGTACCATTTGACGTTATACCTAAGAGACAATAAAAGACTAACCGATAGGAGAAGATTACGATTTTCTCGAAAGAACATTCGACACAATAATTTTGGTCTTAATTAGCCTTTAATTAGTCTTACGTAACGTTTTCTTTTTTTTTTACTTCTTAGTATTAATTTCATTTGCTATATTTTATGTCATTATTTGTTGAGTACTCTTACACAGTAACAAACATGTCCTCATTGTGATCCATAACTTGTTGCGCGTTATTGTTAGCAATTACTATGTAGAGCTTAAGGCTACCCAAACAAATGCAAGGTATTACCAGTTTCTCAAAATCGAATCCACTTGTTACTATCTGAAAAATCTGAGATATGTATCAAACGTCAGACACGTGTTAAACACACGAGTTTTACGAGACCTTGTACTTTGGCTCGTCTTAATTTTTATATTTAAATTTTTATATTTTAATATATCTAATTTAACTTAATTTATCAGAGTTGCTGATGGGATCCAAGCTATCTCAGCGCGAAATTATTTTATAGAACAATGTCACACTTGTGATAGAACGTGTAGGAACTCTTAGGAAGTAGACGAAACTTACACGAAAAAGATTAAGACTTATGGAGATTACTGTGCACAATAATAAGAGGAAGTAGAATACTTGCAGTTTGGAAATAAAATATCGTATAGACCTAAACAGAGAAGTCACTCTTGACGAAAATATTTCTGGTATATAATTAGATTTATAGTTGTATAACGATATTTGCGAAAGCTATATCGATGTCTCGACTTTTTACGGTGAGGGAGTTTACATTGAATTTTATTGAATTATTCCTCAGGAGAATCTCACACGTCACGATACGCCATGAACACTTGAAATACATGTCCGATTGATACCAACCACGTAGCTTTGCGATGCATATCTATGGCGCAAACTATCTGTTTATGAATCAGAGTCTCACTCCCCGCGCTGCCGACCTCCAGCTTGCAGATCATCATGGCCTGTTCCACGCGGTAACTGCAAAAAACTAATTACGCTGTATTACCGTTCGTGCAGTAATTTAAAAACGCATGCGACACGTAAGCTGAGATAAAATGCGCGAACGAGAATTCTGGGTGAAACATTCGCAGCCCCGTATAACTGACTTGAAACTTGTATATCTCCACCTATCATCACGTTGATTCTCTCACCTGGCGACTTTAAACATCCCGCAGATGTGTAGAAAATATGACATGCTTGTCGTCCCGACTGCTACCAGTGCAGTTGAACCCACACAAAAAGCTACGTTTGTGTGCAGCACGATGAAATAGTAATACTTTTCTTGGTCGATGAAGTACTCCGTAGGAATATGTATCCACGAATGAGGTCGAACTTCGTTCGCGGGCCATACGATGTCGAATATCCGCAACCAGAAAGGGCATAATATGAAGACAGACACACCGAACGTAGATATAACTAAAGGATAGTTCGAAGCAACTGTTACACAAGTTACACACAAGTCGTATTGTCTTTTAATATTTCAAAGTACATCATCACGTGTTTCGAACTCTTCCTCTTTCAGCCTCCTTTTTCCGCACTCTATTACAACAGATTCGATGGACACATTATACACAGTGATCTACTCCAAATTCCGCGCTCGTGTATCTTCAAATGTGTGAAAGATGAAATGGGGAACACACTACTTTAAGAGGAATTGTTCGAGACGATTCTTTAATTTCTTTAACGACGCATGAACACGTGGAAAAGTTTAAGTGCGTATTAAACACACAGTTTATGTCTCGATAGATCATCGTGATCATCAATATCATTCATATCAATAATCAACAGCGTGTTGACTTGCGATATTTGACTCGAAATTAGCTGTTAGATATTCTACCATGCACAAGAAACTAAAAGAGATTGTCTTACGCGTGAGTATGCCAGTGTGATATCTCGCCATATTCCCGTATTCTTCCATAATAGACATTTCGACCTCATCCTTCAGCTCATCGTAAATACGTTGAAGCAGTTCCAGCAAATATTTTATCTGCCATCGCAATAATTTTCCGTGACATTTAGTTTTGCGAAATTATGCGAGTAATTTTTATACAGTGAGGAGAGAATCGTAACGAGAAGTGCCTCTCAATGCGAGTAATTGTCAATATGGGAACGATCTACTTACAGTCTTTAGATGAACACAATATGAAGTATACTTGATCGCATAAATGATGAAGAGAAACACGATAGAGAGAACCTCGATGACAAACTGCGGGGTGCAATTTGCAGTAGCGAATGTCGCAAACTGCGATAAATAACAAATTTGTTGAAGCTATTGTGTCGCAAAAATATTACGTTTCATCGACAAAAGTTAAATCTTTAGATTATTAGTGCTCTCTTACGTATAACGATCGAACAGTATAGGCGCATAAATATAATTATTTGTATAAATAATTATATGACAATATATAAATTATCTTGATGTCATGCAATTGTAACTAAAGATCTGCTACAAAGTGCAATTGTGACAGCTCATTAATTGTGTAATAATTATTTGTTTTACGATAATTAAAAGTATCAACGTACCTGAGCTAGAATAAAACTCATTAGAGTGCCATTGAGCAAGATTTTCTGCAGCAGAGTGAATTTGGATTGTTCATAAGGCCACAAGCCAAGCAATAGCAAGAGAATTCGATGCACACTGAAATACCGGGTGCTTACGCAGATCATTTCTCCACGAGTATCTGTATATCGAGTGAATAAAGATTCGTCTTTCTTCTCTTCTCGATTATTTGTTGCTGAAATTCTTTCTTCTCTCATATATTTCCAAACAAATTCCTTAATTCGCAGTCTATGCGTAATGTAGAGTTAATAATAGAACTACGAATATATATTGGCAATAAGACCGTTAGATGGGGTTCTCGCAATTTGAGAATTTTTTATGAACATGAGTCCACCATTAAATAATCGACTTCATGCCAACGGTAGTTTGACAGATGCATTTTTCTCACAGAAAAATATTCTCGAGAAACCTTTCCACGCGAAAGTCGCGCAGTCGCAATCGTAACTTTTCGGTGTCATAATTTCACGTGTTACCGTCGAGTGTACATGCTTCTGAGCTATGTTCGAGTAATCTGCATTAAATGTCGGACTTCACCTTTTTGCTGCTTAAGTATTTATGTAATATTATCTTTACTAAACAGAATTGTGCGCTCCGATGATTGAACCGTATTTCACTTCAGACATTCGAGCGTTTTAATATCCATAAGTGATTATTACAATTGGTTCTTAACAGCTTGCATCAACTATTACAATAAGCTAAGTCTAGCTTATTTTTTTAAATTTGGAGATTTGTTGAACAAGATTCTTTTATGTGTTGTTCAATACAACTTCCTACAATTCACTCCTCTTACAATAACATTTCATCAAAATTACATTTATATTCACATTCACATTCACATGTGTATAAATTTACATTGAATATAATTTGATATATTATTAATTCTTATTTCTGTAATTCGCACAAAACTGTGCGAATTAATCTCGTAGATTTCTTAATTTTGCATAACTGACACAATTAAGAAGAGTGACTATCCTAAGTTAATCTTGAAATTAAATACATCATTTGAGAATTAAAATTATTTTTATCACATGGAACAAAGGACGGTGAAGTAAGACATCGAAATGCTCATTAACTGTAACGAAATGTGTTCTTATGTTTCATTCTGTTGGAAATATAATATACATTGATGAAATATTTATATCTTACCTTAGTGCAATTCTCTAAAGATGCGATGAATATTCCACCGAGATTCACGTGGAAAGGTTTAGTGCCCTTTTGTAACATGAATAAAATGGTTTTCTGTATATTTAACGGAGCCATGTACCACTTGACGTTATATCTGCGAAATGGTGAAAGACGATTGATCGACGATTGATCATCTTGCTTCTGAATAACCTGTAGTCTAAGGATTAATTTATCTTATCATTTGTTAAAATGCAGTGGCTCTTACGCAGTAGCGAACATGTCGTCGTTGTGATCTGTAATTTGTTGCGCGCAATTCATGGCTATAATTGTATATATGTAAAAGACTATCAATGTGATACATGGAAATGTTAATTTTACTATATTAATGTCAGACGACAGTAGTTGGAAAATCTGAAATATGAGTCTCACGGTAGTAATTAGGTTTTTATCTTGTTAACCAAAAGTATTAATAAAATTATAGTGTTTTAATATAAAAAATGTTTTAACCCTTTGCACTCCGCGCGTTTTCCTGTCACTGCCTACTCTGGCAACTCCGGCAGCACTTTTGCAGTGGAGCGTCTGGGAAAGAGAAATTTTACTTTGAACGGAAAAAATTACAAGTGCTTGTAATTTCAAAAAGCAACTGGAGGTATTGACGTTAATACTAGAATATCTCCACAGCGGAGCCAACGGAGCGCTAAGGGTTAATATAAAAAGACATTACCAAATTATATATTGTTTATGTCCGAAGCAATGCGGGGGAGATAAAAGACAAAACTTACTCGAAAAAGATTGAGGCTGCAGGAAGCTATTCCGGATATTATTAAAAAAAAATAGAATATCTCCATTTTGGAAGTATAGACATTTATAATCCTAAACAGAGAAGTCTTTTTTATATCTTTTTTATATGCTTCTTTATTTTTTACGCTTCGTAATACGAGAATAAAATCGCGCCACAAATTTTTCACTAAAGGAACGCTAATTAAATCTTCATCAAAATTTTTTTCTTTTTAAAACGAATTTCACGTTTTACGATAAGCCATCTATGTGTATTATATATGTAACTTCTGACGAATACCAACCACATAGCTTTGCGATGCATATCAACGCCATAAGAAATATTTTGTTGAACTAATTGTTGATTTCGCGTATTGCTGATTTCCAATGTATAGATCATCATAGCTTTCTTCACTCGGTAACTATAAATAATTAATGCGATATAATTCTTTATGAGTATTTTAATCGCACAAATATAAAAAATAAAAGAATATGAACGAGTTCTAAAGATCAGATAATCATCACAGTTCTGTGGAAGTAATCTGAGGTTAATAATTTTCGTTTATCACTTAAGTTTGAATAGTTCAGTGTCTTGTTAACTTCTCTCACCTGGAGATCTTGAACATTCCGCAAATTAATTGGAAGTACGTTAAATTCATTGTTCCTACTGCTAATAAGGCTGAATATCCTATACAATATGCTATGTTTGTGTGCAATAGAATCAAGTAGAAATATTTTTCTCGATCGACGAAGTATTCTGTTACAAACTGTAATTGCGTAAGCGATCCAGGTTTGTTTGTGGGCGATATGATGTCAAGAATTATCATCAAAAATGGGTAAGACAAGAAAATCAGAAGGCCGATAATGCCGATCGCTAAGAAATAATTTGAAAAGACTGTCATACAGATAGTTTATTAGAAACATCGACTAATAAAAATTAAAGAACATGAGTTATCTCACGTGCAAGGACATTGATGTAACGCTTTCCGGTTTTCCCGTATTCCTCCAAGATAGCTACTTCGCTCTTGTCTTTTAGCTCGTCGCAGGTATATTGAATTAGTTCTAATAAATATTTTACCTGCCGTACATATTTGTAACGTTTAAAAATATTGTTACATAGTCAGGACAATTATACACGAGATATTTGTATAATGGAACAGAAGTTTATTAACTAACTACTTACATAATTGAAGTTTAGACTATACATGTTATATTTTATCATGAAGCCTATGATAGGAAATACGCCAGAGAAAACTTCTATAGCGAACTGTGCAGTACATTTCGAAGTCAGAAATGATGAAAGCTGCGAACAAAATGAAAGCTATAGAAGTTTCCGCATGTTAGAAATTACTTCTGTATTTTGTTGGCAAAGTATGAATCATGAATGATTACATTCCTATAATATGATTAAATAGAAGCTGCATAAGACTGATTATTTATAAAAATTATGACAATATAAATTGTATTAATATTGATTTATTGTATAATATGTGAATGTGTTCACGAATAGTTATCACAATTAGTAATGTATGACAATTTATCGATTGTACAGTAATCCAATATTTTACAATGATTGGAAATATTGACATACCTGAAATAGAACCAAACTTAATAGAATACTTTGGAACAAGATCAGTTGCAGTCGAGTGATCTTGGATTGTTTGTAAGGCCATAGGCCAACCATGAGTAGAAGAAGACGATTCACTCTAAAATATCGAGTTCTTAAGCAGACCATTTCTTTACGAGTGTCGACATACGTTTGACCGCAAAGAGAAGGACGAAGGTCTGTCTACCCCCTTCTGTCTATTCCCTTGTGACGATTAATCGATCGGTCACTATTTCTTTCTTTCGGTGCATATTTTAGCGTAAGTTTCCTTCAGAGGATAAATGCAAGGTAAATTCAGGTCGTGTTTGATGCAAAAGGGGAAAAATACGAATATGAGATCGAATATTCGTAATTGTAGATGTTTTCGTGGGAAACATGTCCAAGTGTTTAAGCGGTCAATTTCACGCCGACGGTAATTGACGGGGGTGTGCCTTTTTCACAGAAAATATCCTTGAGAATTTTATCGGAATTTTATGAAAGCTTTGCGTATGTGTATGTGCGCAGTCGCAATCACCACACTTGCAACTCAACATGCCACAAATTTACACAGTCTTGTTGATACATTTGCGCAAGCAGCATTAGGTCTCTTTCTTCAGATTATCATTGATTAAACACATAATATAGTGCATCGAAGTGCGTACGATATATATCGTATCAAAAGTAAATAAATAAATAAATCTACCAAGAATTAAACATATCTTTGTTGCGTCAACGTTACGTTTCGTTTAATCTTGCAACAATTACACTGTAGTTTCATTCACACACATAAAATATTTCTTACGAACTTTGTTTTCAGATTTAACTATACAATTGAATCGTATATCGACTTTTATTTGTTTATACGTCATCGGCTCGTGGAATACACAAAGGTGAAGTAAGATATCGACATGCTCGTTAACTGCAACGTATATGACGTCTTCTTGTAATTTAAGAATTAAAGTGAAGATATATTATGTGATACACGATACTATTCATACCATCGTGAATCCTTCCAGAGATCCTGCAAATAGTCCTGCGATGGTTATGTAAAACGCTTTGGTACCCCTTTGCAGCAGGAACAATATCATTTTCTGTATATGTAATGGAGCTGTGTACCACTGAATGTTGTATCTGCAAAAGAGTAACAAAACCCATAATTTTACAATGATAAAATTCATAGATAATCTGTAGCACTTGCTCATTTTGTTTGTATTACAGAACATTTTCTGGCTATTTATTTCGTTTTATTTTATATTATGTATGTATGTTGTACATACTCCGTATGTATGTGTTTTTTCATTTAAAAATATATTTCTCTTTACATTATACATACGTATAATAGTATAGTTCACATGTACACGTATAATATATAAATATAATATATAAATGTTCCTTACACAGTAGCAAATACGTGTTCATTATGATCTATTATCTGTTGCGCGTTTAGATTAGAAATAAACATGTATACATAGTGTGAAGATAGAAATATGAAGGATATTAGCAACTTCTCGATGTTATATCCAGTTGACAGTTCATAAAAAACCTAAAACAAGTTCGATATCTGAAATTATTCACATTTTGTTACGATTCCGCTCACTTAATTCTAAATTCGGTTTCGTTTATTATACATGATTATATATTATTTGCACATAATTGCTCGTACTTACGCGATAAAGATTGAGGCTTAATGTAATTATTATGGTTATCAGCAAGATAAAGAAGAATATCTCGAATTTGGATAAAATGAGCTTTAAAAACCTTTAAAGATAAGATAAAGTTACCACTATCGTATAGTATGTATTATATTATATCATATATGTTATAACATGTCTTATTTATTGCACAAACATCGTAAAGAGTGCTAACTTTGTGGCCTTGCGATGCATATCTATGGCATAAACTAGTCTTTTATATATCAAACTCTTATATTCCGTGTCGCTTCTTTTCAAAGTACCGATCATGACCTGCTCCATGCGATAACTGAAATAAAAACTGATATACTGTAATTACACAATAATCCAACTGCGCGCAACAACTACGTGCTGAAGTAGAAAAGTCGCAACCGTCAAACCGTTCTTTTCAGTTGGTTCAATCTTTTTCGTGTCTCAAACGTCGATATCCGTAGCCGCGTAATTTTCTTACCTGGCAACCCGAAACATCCCGCAAGTATATTGCACATACGCTATGATAATTGTTCCTGTCGCTAATAACGTAGTCTCTCCTACGCAGAAGATTACGTTGGCGTGTAGCACGAACAAGTAGAAGTACCTTTCTTGATCGAGAAAGTATTCCATCGTGATTTGCAACGGGAGGTGCGGACGAGATTCGTTCGCGGGCCATACGACGTCGAGAATTCGCGGCCAGAACGGCAGAAGTATAAAAACAAACATGCTGTTTGTGACGAGCACTAAAAGTTCCAAGAATATGTCTTATCACATAATGACTTATAATGTACATTGCTTCTATAAAAAAATTCAAAACGGCGGAACATCTTACGCGTGAGCACATAGGTGTAACGTTTCGCCATAGTCCCGTACTTTTTTATGATAGCGATTTCGCTGTCGTCTGTTAGCTCGTCGTAAGTGCTTTGAATTATCTTCAGTGCAAGCTTCACCTATCGTTTGAATAATTTTCCGTATAACTAATGTTCTCATGGAATACGACAGAAATTGTTGTTTAGTAAAATTATAGCGTGTGAGACGCTCTCGAGTGCAAGTGAAAATCTAATACTTACAGTGCCCATATTAGACCAGAACGCGTAATACTTTATCGGAAAGGAAATGAAGAAAAATGCGACTGAGCACACCTCGATGATACATTGCGAAGTGCATTTCGGCGTCGCAAATTTTGCGAACTGTGAAAAATTCGATTTCGTTGAGACGATTGTGTGGCAAAATTTACTTCCATATCATATTGACAGGCTTTATCATAAATTATCAGTTACTTGTTTTCGCATAACTGAACGGAAAAAATGTGCATAAATATAATTATTTATTATAATCACGTTACGATTAAAAAGCATGTTTGTGGCCCAATATAATTATACTGCGCATGTTAATAATCATACAACAAAGTGAGGTAGCTTATTAATTAGCATGATATTAGATTTAAGCATTACGTAAATCTCAAAAGGAACATACCGGAAATACAATGGACGTTATCAAGACACTGTAGGATACAATCATTGGCAGTCGGGTGAATTTTGATCTCTCGAAGGGCCATAAGCCAATTGTTAACAAGAGAATCCGATTGAGACTGAGTTGCAACGGCTTCACGCAGATCATTTCTGCACGGCTACCGAGTTGCGTTTGACCGCGAAGAAAAAAAGGAAGCGCTGTTTATCCCCTCCTTTCTATGGATCAATCGAGCATTTTCTGACTTTTCTCTATCGCACAACTACTCACCGTAAAATTAACATGGGACGGCGCCAAACACCTGCGTACGTTCATTTTAACAATTTGCCTATTTCCAAAGAAGCTCGTAAATAAGAGATCGATTTCACAACAGCAGTAATTTGAGACGTGCACTTTTCTTACAGAGAAATGTTTCCTCGAGAAACTTTTCTGTGTGTTTCACTCAGTTGTGGCCGTTACTTGTCAGAGACACAATTCCACGTGGTTCCATAGAGTGTATATTCCAAATCTTTGTGCGCGTAAACAACAAGTTGAATGTCAAGATACATATTACTTTTTTGAGTTTGATCAAATTACATAACATTATTTTTCATAAAAAATTATTTTGTTTCGAAGACGGTATTATATACATACAATAACAATTATGTGACAATTGCATGCAATATATGTTATTACATCATAGCATATACGTCCATAAGTCCATAAGTATATTGCAACAGAAAATAATTTCATAATAATTTTTGTTGTTGATATTTAATTAAATAATAGATGCCATTTAATTAATAATATGTTAAAAGGTAATATATTTCTCGTCAACTTTATTTTCTTTTCAACTCTGTATGATATATATTCTCATCAATTTCTACATCATTGTAGAATATATAATTGTGAAGTAAGATGTCGACGTGCTTGCCAGCTAGAATGAAAATTCTAGTATCTTTTTCTCGTTGAATATACATTACTAACTCTAACATACTCTAAACATACATACTCTAAAAGAAAATAATTTTGATGCATGATAGAACACGTACCGTACTGAAACCTTTCAGAGATGCGACAAACAGTCCACCGATATTCATATGAAAAGTTTTAGTCCCCTTCTGCAGAAGAAATAATATTATTTTCTGGATACGTAATGGAGCGCAGTACCATTGAATACTGTACCTACGAAATAATGACTAAATATACAATCAATAACACACATAACGTGATTTGTTTCCGTATAATATTTCTTTCCCCTCCCTTTTATATTTATATTATTTTAATTTACATTTCGTAACTTTATGCTTTGCGTTATATAAAATCTCTTCCGCGTATAGCATAGTCGTAAAATATAAAAATGTGTCTTACAGGGTGGTAAATACTTCTTCATTGTGATCTATAACAATCTGTCCGCAATAATTAGAGAGGAACATATACACATACAGAGTAATTAAAATTAGGATAGGTGTTACTAGCTTCTCGAAATCACACTTGGTTGTCAACTCATGAAAGATCTGAAACACGTGTACAATGCGTTCAATTACATTTTTATTACGATTTTAATTTTCTTCTTGACTGTTTCATGTGATGCTCAGTCGATTTTACTCATTAACATACCTTCCCGGTACGGAACATGTCAGTATCCACCTGCCGCTAGGTGCAGGTTCTTAACCCTTTAACTGCTACGGTCGAGATAACTCGAGTGTGGAAAAAAATGACGGCCTTGCTACGATCGAGTTTACTCGATTTGGACTTTCAATGTGTAATACCCATTTAATTTAGTTTGTAAAAAACATTTGAATTGAGCGGGCATATAGTGCCATCTCTTATCATTATAAAATATTTTATAATTGTAAAAATAACTTAGCGAAGAGGGTCATACTGGTCATTTAATATCTCAGCAGTTAAAGGGTTAAAAATTGTATGAAAAAATAGTTATTTGATGCGCGTACATGCTACTTGAACATTCTGCCAAGTCCAATCATGAATATTTACGGCTAGATTTCGTTGTACCAAAAAGATAAATTATTATATACGTACCCATAAAAGATTAAGGCTCGTGGAAATTGTTGCGGATATTATTAAAAAAAAGAAACATGCATTAAGTTTCGACATAAAAAAATCTATAGACCTGTAAAGATAAGAAAAAATTACCACTATTGTATATAGTGTATATAGTGTACATTTTATCACATAGAACCCATTTTTGGACCTACAAGAACTCTATCCAATTATACAATTAACATTCGTTTCAAAAAATTTCTTATACGAAATAGTTTATATGTAACTTCTACGTGCATATATTATAAACTATATCTTCTTTTAGAGTATTTACATTCTGAATGATAAATATGTTGAAAACAAATTTTGAGTTTAAAATTTTACAGATATCAATTTGGAAGAATAAGTAACAAATAATCTTCCATACGTATTATAATATATATTTTATATACATTTTATAAGAAAGAGAAAGAGAGAGAAAGCATTATGAAATATATACTAACTTTATAGCATTTCGATGCATGTCTATTGCACAAATTATCTTCCTGCAAGTAAATTTCTCATTTTCCATATCAGCCATTTTTAACGCATTGGTCTTCAAGATCTGATCTATCCGATAACTGCAAATAATAAATGTTATTATCATACAATAAGTTCCATAGACATTAAAATATGATTTAATCCTTTGAAGCAGAAAAATTACGATTTTATGGTGAAATCAAATTCATTTGTATCTTAAATTCTAATATTATTTACCGCGTAAATTTTCTCACCTGGCAACTTTAAACATTCCACAGACGTAGTGTAAATATGCTATGATAATCGCCCCTGTCGCTAATAATATAGTCTCCCCAATGTAAAAGACTGCGTTTGTGTGAAATAAAATCAAATAGAAGTATTTTTCTTGATTGCAAAAGTACTCCGCCTTAAATTGCAACAATGAATGTGGACGAGATTCGTTTGTGGGCCATATGACATCCAGGAGTCGCGGCCAGAATGGCAAGAACATAAAACTAAATATGCCAACAATGCCGAACACTAAACATTTTAAAGAGTTTATAAATATAGTTCATATAACATGTAATGTTATAAAACCTTCAACTGTATCTCTAATAAAAATTTTGGTGTAACTAAAATTAAAATCGATTGTCTCACGTGTGATTATATAGTTGCAATGTTTCGCGAGGGTTCCGTATTTTTTTATGATGACAATTTCGTTCTCATCTTTTAGCTCGTTATATGTATGTTGCATTATTTTCAAGAAATACTTCACCTGTCATTTGAAGAATTTTTATATCGTATGTTTTGATTAAGATCGACAAAAAATTTTATTTTCGGTTGTTTAATGCGTAGTGCAGTATGTGATGTATTCTCTCTCTTTCTCTCTTCAATGTAAGAATAAATAGTTATAAAATATCTACTTACAGTATCGATATTAAAGCAAAACGTGATATATTTTATCATGAAGAAAATGAAGAAATTCACGACAGACAAAACTTCTATGACGAACTGCGAGGTGCATTTCGTCGTTAGAAATGATGCAAGCTATGGAAAACATTTTTTTTTAGATTATTGTCACAAAAACAATTTCCATGTTTTATTGACAAATGTATGATTTTATCATTATTTAATAGCTGTTGCTTTACGTGTAACAACAATAAAAAAGGTACACAAGTAGAATTGTTTACTATAATTACGTATATTCCAGTTGAAATATAAATTCTACAGCCATTAATAAGTTAATATAACGTTGTTATACTATTATATAACAAAACGTAGATTTATGTCAAGAATTGTTAATAAACTAGAAGATGTGGGATTTTATTTTTTACAAAATAATATCAATAATTACACAAGTACTAAAAAGGCTGACGTACTTGGCATACAATGGAGATTATCAGGATACTGTAGAACAAAATTAATTGCAATCGGACGAATATGGATTGCTTGAAAGGCCACAAACCAACTGCTAGCAAGAGAACTTGATTTAGATCGAGTTGCAACGACTTTACACAGATCATTTCTCCGTGAGTGCGTGATTGCGTCTGATCGCGAGGAAGTTGTCGAGGCTCCGTTCATCCCCTCTTTTCCAACAATCGATCGCATATTACATAATTTTTTCGCTTTAGCCAATTTATATGTCGGAAAATTAACGCAATTCTATAGTTATCACCTAAGTGGGCAAAACGTGCAATTTAATAAATTGTTTGGATGAAAGAAGTTCATAATAAAGCGATCGACCTCACGCCAGCAGTAATTTAACCCATGTGCAGTTTTCTTACAAAGAAAAATGTACTGGAGAAACTTTGCTAGTTGAAAATCATGCAGTCGCAGTCACCACTTGTCAGAATTATAATTCCACGTGGAAAGTTTTACGCAGGATGTATATGCTCCAGAGCTTTGTGCGCGGAGCAATAAACAATACGTTAAGTGTCAAGAATATATAACATTGTTTCGTATTGGGTTACATTATACATCATTCTCCATAAAAGATAATTTTGATTCGAAGACAATGTTATGTAATATTATATAAAAATTATATGCGACATATTCTATTACCGTACATATGTCGAAAAGCATATTGCAATAGCAAATAACTTCGTGATAATTGTTCTTGTTGATGTTTCGTTGATGTTTTGTTTCATTTTCATTTAATTAAGTGATAACTACATTCAGAAATAACATATTTCTTATTAATTCTGTTCTAATTTCTACGTCATTGTAGAATACATAATCATGAAGTAAGATACCGACGTGCTTACCAGCTGAAATAAAAATATTTTCCTATATTGATGAATATATATTGTTCTGGAAAAAGATAATATCCTGGTATATAGTAAAATTCGTACCGTACTGAGACCTTTCAGGGATCCGACAAATAATCCCCCAACATTCATATAAAAAGTTTTAGTCCCTTTCTGCAGAAGAAATAATATTATTTTCTGAATTCGTAATGGAGTGCTGTACCATTGAATGCTGTATCTACGAAATAATGACTAAATGTATAATCGATAACTTTAGGTCGATAAGATATAGGAGTAATTTTTAGTATACAGATACGTGTTCTGTTTTTATAATATTTCTTTTCCCATCCCTTTATATTTATATTTATATTATTTTATATTTATATTATTTTATTCTACATTTTGTCATTTTATATCTTGTGTTGTAAAATCTTTTTCATATATATCGTATATATCACATATATATATTGTAAAATATAAAAAAATGTTACTAGTTAAAAAAATCTTACACGGTGGCAAACATTTCTTCATTGTGATCTATAACAATCTGTCCGCAATAATTGGAGAAAATCATATACACATACAGAGTCAACAAAAATAGGATAGGTGTTATTAGCTTTTCGAAATCACATTCAGTTGTCAACTCATGAAAAATCTGAAACATGTGTATAATGCCTTCAATTTCTTACATTTTCATTACGATTTTAAATTTTTTGTCGACCGTTTCATGACGTGCTCGGTTGATTTTATTCACTGGCTTCATAGTTTTCTAGTACAAAGGATGATTGTATTCATCCATTATATATTTTATATACACTTTACAAGTATTACCACGGCTGAATATATTGTTTAGTACTGAATAAGTTAATTATTACATACGTACTCGATAAAGATTAAGGCTCGTGGAAATTGTTCCAAACGCTATTAAAAAAAATAAACATACATTAAGATCGGATATAAAAATCTTTGCAGACCTGCAAAAGAAAAAAATTACCGCTGATTATGATTGGGAAACTATAAGCTCCACTTTTTTGTTAAGAACAAATATAAATTATAAATTGTTCAAATAATTGATCAACAAAGTCGGTTGCGCCATCTCGTAATCCACAATAATATATCTTATACGCACTTTACAAATATCGAACACATACTAACTTTATAGCATTTCGATGCATATCTATTGCATGAACTATCATCTTGTAAGTTGAATTCTCATTCATCATGTCATTTATTTTCATGGTATTGATTTTCACAGCTTGCTCCATACGATAACTGCAAACAATTGAAATATTGTTATTACATAATAATCTAATTGCATAAACATTAGAATGCAACCTAATTTTTTAATTAAAATAGAAAAACCGTAATCTGATGAAATTTTCGATTTTTTTTACTTTCCATATGATAAAATTTATTTTACCCGTGACTTAAATTTTAATATACGATGCCATGTAAATTTTCTCACCTGGCGACTTTAAACATTCCACAGGCGTGATATAAATATGCTATGATAATCGCTCCTGTCGCTAATAATACAACCTCCCCAATGCAAAAGACTGCGTTTGTATGAAGTAAAATCAGATAAAAGTATTTTTCTTGATTGCAAAAGTACTCCGTCTTAATTTGCAACAATGGAAGTGAATGAGATTCGTTTGCAAGCCATACGACATTCAGAACTCGCGGCCAGAACGGGAGAAATATAAAATTAAATATCGCGGACATGCAGAGCACTAAAGATTTTAAAGAGTTGTTATATAAACGTAACTCATATAATATGTAACGTTATGAAACCTTAACTGTGCCTCTGTTAAAAATTTTGGTATAACTAAAATTAAAATCGATTGTCTCACATGTGATTATGTAGTTGCAATGTTTCGCAATAGTTCCGTACTTTTCTATAATAGCGATTTCGTTCTCATCTGTTAGTTCATTATAAGTATGTTGCATTATTTCTAAGAAACGTTTCACCTGTCAATGATTTTTATATCGAATACTTCTATTAAATTTGATTAAGAACTTTAATCAGTTGTTTAATGTGCATTGTAGCATGTGATGTACTCTAGTGTAAGAATAAATAATTATAAAAATATCTACTTACAATATCGGTATTAAAGCAAAACGTGATATATTTTATCATGAAGCAAATGAAGAAACTCACAGCAGATAAGATTTCCATCACGAACTGCAAGGTGCATTTCGACGTTAGAAATGTTGCAAGCTGTAAAAAAGATTTTTTGTTAGATTAGTGTCTTAAAAACGACTTCCATGTTTTATTGACAAACGGATCATTTTGTTATTATTTAATAGCTATTGCTTTACGTGTAACAACAAAAAGAAATTCTGCACAAACAGAATTGTTTACTATAATTATATTCCACTTGAAATATAAATTCTTTAGACATTAGTAGATTAGTATAATGTTGTATTGTTGTATAACGAAATGTAGATTTATGCCGAGAATTGTTAATAAATCACAAGACACGGGAGTTTATTATTTACGGAATAATATCAATAATTCAAATACATAAATATCGAAGAAGACGTACTTGAGCTACAAAAGAGGTTATCAGGATACCGTAGAACAAAATTAATTGCAATCGAACGAATATGGATTGCTCGTAAGGCCATAAACCGACCGCCAGTAAGAGAACTCGATTTAAATCGAGCTGCAACGACTTTACGCAGATCATCTCTCTTTGAGTACTAGCATGTGTCTGATCGCGAGGAAGTTGCCGAGGCTTTGTTTATCCCCTCTTTTCCAACGATTGATCGCATATTTCGTAATTTGTTCTTTATAGCAACACGCGACGTCGTAAAATTAAGGCCAATCTATAGCGAATAGCCGTATATGTGTATAAAGATGTACAATTTGACAATTTTCTCCTTTCGAAAGAAATATGTGGTTAAATAATTGATTTTATATCGGAAGAATATTCACGGATGTTCTTTTCTCGTGAAAAAAGAAAGACCGGTCACTTTCCGCAGCGATAATATTCCCTATCTTCATTTTTCCCTTCGTACTCATCCACAAATTATGTTCGATTCTTTGGTGGGGCGCCTCTTGCCTTAGAAACCGACATACCAGTTATCGATTTATCGTCGGCGAAGTACGCATCGTATGTCATGGTGAATATCCTCACTTTACATCTTTATAGCCTCTTTTCTGTTCTCGCAACATTTGTAATAGAATTCACGTCGATGATAATTTGACATATGTGTTTTCCTCACAGAGAATCATTCCTGAGGAACTCTTTTGAGGAAACGTTACGCAGTCGCAGTCTTCATTTTTTGTATCGCAATTGTTCGTTTCTTCAATCCTGCTTCAAACAATTTTTATGTAAGCAGCTTTTAAATTTTTTGAATTTTCTTTTAAATCCTTGTACGTTTCGACTTTCACGACTGGTTATCATAGACTACTTATCTTTAATTTTTATTATTATTATGCTTATTATTTTGCTTCTTTTATTGGATACTGAATTAAAAACATTTGATGATACTAAAAATATGAGTATTAATAAATTATTCTATTTAAGAATAATGTCATATATTTCGTAATGCACATATAAAATTAGGAGAAACATAGATGATAAAATCGATCAGGATTTAAAGAAATCTTTATTACTGAGACGTTGAACGTCATTTAATCCTATACTAATTATATCGAAGTCTACGTATTCTATCAATTTTAACTTATATGATATATATATTTAGAACTAATATCATTAGATGTTATGGCATCAGTTCATAACTCATAAATCATTGTCTCACAGAATATATAACAGCGAAGTAAGATATTGATGCGCTCGCCAACTATAACGAACAGAACAATTTATTTTAATGTATAATCTTAACAGCACAGGTACCCAGGGGATGTCCTAAGGACGTTCGAAGGACGTTTCAACGTTCTAGGAATATCCTTGGCACATTCCTCGGAGATCGTGTATTGTCAAGATACATCAAGATTTTTTCATAGAATTTTTACCGTGCTGAAACCCTCCAGAGATCCCACCATTAGTCCAACGAGATTCATGTTGAACGATTTAATACCCTTTTGGAGCAGGAATAATATTATTCTCTGTATATATAAGGGTGTTACATACCATTGAATATTATATCTACGAAAGAATAACCGAATCTAATTGAAGATTTAAAAAAATTAATAATGTTGAATAATACGCACTCAACACATATTTTTTCATGCATTTAGCTTATTTTACTTTATATCGGAATATTTTATTTTATAGCGGAAAACATTTTATATAGTACGTTATAAAAAATTTATTTGTATTTTGTAGGTATTTGATATACACACAGCAAACATAGCGCGTCTACATTCAGTTATACACAAATGTAAAAATGTTTCTTACGCTGTAATGAATAAGAGATCATTATGATCCTTAACTTGTTGTGCAGTATAGTTGGAAAGGAACATCAATACATAGTTGGTAGCCAAAAACACAGCAGGTGATATTAACTTTTCGATATCAACTCCAGATGATAAACCGTCAAAAACCTAACAATCATGTACGACAAAATGATACATTTCCTTACAATCTAATTAAGACCTGACGTGTTTTTGTACATTAAAATATGTCTCATGTCTTGTAACACCCGTTTTCAATCATCCAGTTTATACCACAAAATATCATTAAATTAAAAAAAAATAATATTTTCAGTGAATTCTATTTAATATTTACATAATATTATATTATTTTCCAGTGTATGTAATAAATTCATAGAAGTATTTATTCACTCGTGGCCGAATAAATAAAATCGTATCTTTATAGAAATATAAATAGAATTAGCAGCCAATGTATTTCACTAGCGAAGAAAATAATACTTACTCGATAGAGATTGAGACTCAAGGTAATCACTACGCCTGTCATTAGAAAGAAATAAGATACCTCGATTTTGGATAAGAAATATTTTACAAACCTTTAAAGTTGAGAGCGTATTATTATTATTTTTTATTTATTTACTCGAATTATATTCGAGTAGGACCACGCGAGATTCACTTCAAAGATAGATACTAACGCCAGAGCTTTGCGATGCATATCAATGCCACAGATTATCCTTTTCAAGCCAATGTTGTACGTATCGTTTATTTTTAGAGCGTCGTCCATCATAGCCTGTTCCATACGGTAACTGCAAACAACTGGTATTGCTGTAATTATACGACAATCAGACAATTTAGCCGCATGTAACGAGGGGCATTACGACTCGAGCAAATCTTGAAGTAAAAATCTCGCGGTTTTGTCGAACAGCTATAGGACTGTCCAATATCTATGTTTCTCATAATTTTAATCAATAATTTCCTCACCTAGCGATTTGAAACATCCCGCAGGCATATTGCCAACACGCAATAGTCATTGTTCCTACCGCCAGCAATGCAATCCAGCCTATGCAAAACGCGGAGTTTACATGCAGTAGAATTAAATAGAAGTATTTCTCCTGATTGACAAAGTACTCCGTAACGATGTATAGCGAGACATGTGATCGAGATTCGTTCATGGAGAACACGTTGTCGAGAAAACGCGGCCAAAACGGCAGAAGCATAACGGAAAAAATTCCAAACACGGACAGTACTGAAAAACGGTTTTAAAAAGCTATTATAAAATCGCGTACTCTTATAAAATGCATTGATAGCCTTAATATAAAGATGAAGAGTGATTATCTTACTCGTAAGCGCATAGGTATAACGTTTCGCGATAGTCCCGTATTTTTTTATGATCGCGATTTCTCCATCGTCCCTCAGCTCGTTGTAGGTATATTGGAGAACCTCCAGTAGATATTTCACCTGTCGTTTAAATGATTTTCTATGCCGTTTCTTTTAGCAAAGTTTGACATGGTCTGTCGTATATCGCAGAGTGCTTTGCAACGCAAGGTGTTCGTATTTCCCGAATAAGTAAATATCTGTGCGAATCTGCGTATACTCACAGTATCCATGTTAAAATTGAACATATTGTATTTAATTGCAAGGGTAATGAAGAAGAATGCGTTTGAGAGAATCTCAATGACCATCTGTGAATTGCATTCTGCCGTGATGAACGTCGTAAACTGCGGGAAAGAAAAGAAAAATTTCGCGTCGCAATAATAACTTATGGTGTACGATGGTAAAAGCTACAGAATCTTTTGATTCTTTAAAATCATTAGAGTCTTATGCGACTAATAACTGAACGAAATATTTACATATTTGAAGTAATCGTCTAAATAATCGTTATGAGTCACAATATGGATTGATCTCATTAATTGTACAATAAACATCTGAAGAGACCGACATACCTGAAATATAATACTGCTTATTAAGATAATGTAGAATACGATCAATTGCACTCTGGCAAATTTGGATTGCTTATAAGGCCATAAACCCACCATTAGCAAGAGAGCTCGATTTAGATCGAGTTGCAACGATTTTACGCAGATCATCTCTCTTTGAGTACCAGGATGCGTCTGATCGCGAAGAAGTTGTCAAGGCTCCGTTTATCCCCTCTTTTCCAACAATCGATCGCGCATTTCGTAATTTGTTCTTTATAGCAAACCGCGGCGCCGTAAAATTACGGCCAATCTATAACGAATAGCCTTATATATATAATGATGTGCAATTTGACAATTTTCTCCTTTCGAAAGAAATATGTGGTTAAATAATTGATTTTATATCGGAGGAACACCCACGGATGTTCCTTTCTCATGAAAAAAAAGATCGGTCACTTTCCGCAGCGATAATATTCCCTCTCTTCATTTTTCTCTTCGTAATCATCCGCAAATTATGTTCGATTCTTTGGTGGGGTGTCTTCTGCCTTAGAAACCGACATACCAGTTATCGATTCATCGACGAAGTACATATCGCATTTCATGCTGAATATCCTCACTTTATAGCCACTTTTATGTTCTCGCAATGTTTGTAATCCTGTTGCCTTACTGCTACTTTTTACCTACAGGTCATTCTCCTGTTTTAAATAACGTCTTTCCTTAAATAAATATTACTTACATTTTTCTTGAATACCTATCTTAATAAACGCGATGTTCTATTAAGATTAAGATACAATTGAATATTTAAGATGTTAAGATTAAGACACAATTGAATAGTTAAGATGAATATTTAAGATACATACCGTTAGATAATATTAAAATATTAGATAAAATTAAATTATATGATTTATTGTTTATATTGATTTTTTACAAGTGGAAAAATATTATATTATATTTCTCTTGTGTGTGGCTTAGTAAAATTTTCCATAATTTCTGGTAGCACTTAATTACAATGATATTTAAACAAAACCTAACTCGATAAATATTCCTCATCAAATATAATATTGTTCATTCTTAATTTTGTACTTTCTATAAAACCAGGAATTTATTATATATAGAAATTTTTAATCCGCGCACAAGCGGTTAACACTCCGGTCCAACATTTATTGTGCCGTTTGTTTTGACAGAGCGCTTGGATTATTTTCCATCGTAGATTCTTATTGTGTAGAATAAAGAACAGTGAAGTAAGACATTGAAGTACTCATCAACTATAATGAGACGCATATTCTTCAGTTTAATTTATCCGAAATATCCCGCATCGAAGAAATTGCGTGATATAATATATATCTCTTACCTTGGCGGCGCTTTCTAAGGATGCTGTGAATACTCCTCCAAGATTCACGAGAAAAGGTTTATTGCCCTTTTGCAGCATGAACAATATCATTTTTTGTATAGTTAAAGGAGCCTCATACCATTCAATATTATACCTACGAGATGATTGAGAAATTATCGGTCAACTTTACGTAGGAAAAAGTTAAGACTCGGGAGGGGGGAAGAACTTTAACATAACTATTTTGTTTTACGAAATATTTTAACTTTGTTTTTTCTCATGTTGATTAATATATATACATCTATATTGCTAGAGTTGTAGAAACATCTCTTACACAGTAGCAAATACGTGATCGTTGTGATCCATAATTTGTTGAGCACAATTGTTGGCGAGGATTACGTATATATAAAAGATATATAAAAATATAGTGGGCAATATCATTTTCCTTAAGTCAAATCCGACCGATATCTCCTGAAAAAGCTGAGATTCATGTTCCACGGTCAATTTCACACATTTCAATCGCGATCCTTACGAATTGCACCATATAATATCAAGCAGGTTTAATTAATTCGAATTCTTATTGTAGAAACTGTGCGAATCTTAACTGGATATGATATTGCTGGGTGTTATAAAATAGACAACGCATCTTACTCGAAAAAGATTGAGGCTCGAGGAAATTACTCCTGCCACTATTATAAGGAAGAAGGGCACTTCCATCTTAGATATATAAACTTTGATAAATCTAAATAAAAGAGTTACTTTTCATGAAGACACATTAAAGACAACATGTATAATATGCGATAAGTGAGTATTTTTCGAACTTGTTCACGTTAAACTGCATTTTTTTATAAGTGTAATTCAGAATCTCCAATATTATTGCTTTATGTATTTCTCTAAGTCAAATATGCACGTGTCGATTTGCACGAAGGATACCAACCTCATAGCTCTACGATGCATTTTCACAGCATAAACGATCCCTTTATGAATTAAATTTTGATTCCCAGCATTGTTTACGGTACAGATCATCATAATCTGCTCCATGCGATAACTGAAAATGACAAGCAGTTGTTATTCTATTCAGTTTACACACCAAGTAATTTAATCGCGCGGCTACGCTTAAGACGTGAGCAAATTTCGTGATGAAACAATGACGATTCTATCGAATATGAAAGCTTGAGAGCAGAAGAATTGAATTGAACTGAGCCAAATCTCGATTTTTATCGTTACGTGTTCTCACCTGCTGATCTTGAATATGCCGCAGATGAGTTGAATGTACGCAATGTTCATCGTGCCTATCGCCAGCATTACGAGCCCGCCTATGCAATATGCCGCATTCGCATGCAACAGAATGAAAAAGAAATACTTTTCCGGATCGATGAAATATTCTGTCATGATCTGCAGCTGCGGATGCGGTCGAGATTCGTTCGCAGGCAACACAATGTCGAGAATGGTCGGCCAAAATGAGAGCATCGTAAGAACAGTTATGCCGCAAACACCGAACACTAACGGACGGTTTAAAAGAATTATCGTGGCACAGGTGTTTTATTATGTACGTGAATAAACATTAAAACGATGCGTTGTCTTGCCTGTGAGCGCAATAGTATAACGTTTGCCGACATTCCCGTACTCCTCTATAATAGCTATTTCACCTTCGTCTTTCAGCTCATCAAACGTATATTGAAGTAGTTCCAACAAATACTTTATCTACCATTCATTTTTGCAAAGTTTAACAAGAAATGAAGCGCGATGAGGATTATTGTGAGATGTGTTCACATGAGTAATTCAGAATTTGTTAATCGATCACTTACAGTGTCCATATTAAGGCTATAGGAGTTGTATTTTATAATGTAGATAGTGAAAAAAGTTACAGGGGAAAGAATTTCAATGATAAACTGCGGAGTACATTCCGAGGTGAAAAATGTTGTAAGCTGTGAGAAAAAAGAATTCATTGAAGCGCCGCGTTGCAAAAGTAACTTTCATATCTCGTCAGCAAATGGAGAAACCTAAATCACTTATTTATGATAATTATATCATGATAAGAATGCACGTGTTATATTGTTATCATATATAATTATATCTAAATGGCTATGTGTGTATGTTATTACTGAAAATATAACGGTGTATAATTTTATTAATACCATAACAGTCAAATATTTTATAAAGAACTAAGAATATATATATTGAGACGTACCTGAAATATGATAGAACTGATTAAGACACCATAGAGACATACCAACCATAGGCGAATGATTTTGGATTGTTCGTAAGGCCATAAGCCAATTGTGCGCAAAAGAAAACGATTAAAGCTGAGATACCTGTTTACGCAGATCATTTCTCTACGAGTAACAAAACGCGTTTGACCGTACTTAAAGCAATGGGCGTGTCTATTCTCTCTGTTCAATCGATCGCTTAATCTGAAAGTTCTCTTTTATGGTTTTATATTTTAGGATAAATTCTCTAATTTACCTGATGTACCATGTATTACTCGAAGAAACGGGAAGTACAACCGCGAGACTATAAACTCGCAATTTGAAAATTTGCCATGAAAATGAGTCCTGCAATTTAAATAATCGACTTGGCGCCGATGGCAATTTGACATATGTACTTTTCCCACAAAGAAACATTCTAGAGACGCTTTTTTGAGGAGTTGTTGCGCAGTCACCATTTCTCTGCGTTACAATTGTTCGTTTTTTCAGCCCTGCATACATGTCTACTAAATTACATTTGCATGAGTAACTTTTAAACTCCAATTTTCGAATCTTTATCATGATGCACACATGATGATAATATCACTTTTTGTTAAAACTAATTTTATTATCAATCGAGCCATGTGCGTGTGGGTTAACAAATTATTCTATTTAAGGATAATGTCATATATTTCGTAACGTATGTATAAAATTAAAAGAAATATAGATAATAACATCGAACAGGATTTGAAAAAAATCTTCATTATACTGACGTTGAACGTCATTTTATCATATTATACTAACGACATCGATGTCACGTGTTTTATCAATTTCAACTTATATAATATATATGATAAATCTAGCATTAATATCATTAGACGTTGTACAGTATCAGTTCACTAATTCATAAATCATTGTCTCATGGAATAAATAACAGCAAAGTAGGATAGAGATGTGCTGGTCAACTATAACGAAGAGGACAATTTGTTTTAACGTATAAGATGCATTAATATATTTTTATAGAATTTTTACCATGTTAAAACTCTCCAGGGATCCTACCATTAGCCCGGCAAGATTCATGTTGAAAGGTTTAGTGCCCATTTGTAGCAAAAATAGTATTATTCTCTGTATATACAAGGGTGTTATGTACCATTGAATATTGTATCTACGAAAAAATAATTCAATTTAATCGGCAATTTTACAAAGTAAACGATGTTAAATAATTCCCAAGATATACTTTTGCATGTGCTTAAAATTTTATCTTATATCGAAATTACGCTCGCGCACAACTGTAAAAATATTTCTTACATTGTAATGAATAAAAGATTATTGTGATCCTTAACTTGTTGCGCGATATAGTTGACAAGGAACATCAATATATAGTTGGTAACCAAAAACACAGTAGGCGATATTAATTTTTCAATGTTAACTCCGGATGATAAGCCGTCAAAAATCTGAAACATGTACAACGAAACGATTTATTTTTCTATGATCTCATTAAAATATAACGCGTTTTTATACGTAGAGACATATACTTTCTCGTGCCTTGTAACGTCTGTTTTTGTTAATTCAATCCATAGTACATATTCTTCTTAAAAAATCTTAAATTAAATCTTAAATCTTAATCTTCCTTTTAAAAAAAAAGAAAAAATAGAGTCTCTAATAAATTTTATTTAATATTTTCATAATATCACATTATTCTTTATTGGATAAAGTGGGTTAGATAAGAATATTTTTTAACAATATTGCTCGTGAGTGAGTAAATAAAATCATCTCTATATAGAAATGGTAGTCAACGTATTTCAATAGAAGAAAGCAATACTTACTCGATAAAGATTGAGGCTCAAGACAATCACTACGCCTATCATTAGACAGAAATAAGATACCTCGACTTTGGATAAGAGATACTTTACAAACCTTTAAAGATAGGAGAATATTATTATTATTTTACTAATTATATCCAAATAAAATACATAATCGTGCAAAGTTCACTTCAGGGATGGATACCAACGTCAAAGCCTTGCGATGCATATCTATGCCACAAATTATCTTTTTCAAGTCAATGTCGTTTATACCGTTTACTTTTAGAGCATTGCCCATTATAGCTTGTTCCACACGGTAACTGCAAATAATTGATTTTGCTGTAATTATATGACAATTTAGTCACATGTAACGCAAGGCGTTATGACTCGAACAAATCTCACGATTTTGTCGAACAGCCGTTTTTAGATTGCCCAAGATCGATGTTTTTCACGATCATAATTCGTGTCAATAATTTCCTCACCTGGCAACTTGATACATCCCGCGGGCGTATTGCCAATACGTGATGGTCATTGTTCCTACCGCCAATAACGCAATCCAGCCTATGCAAAACGCCAAGTTTACATGCAGTAGAATTAAGTAGAAGTATTTCTCCTGATTGACAAAATACTCCGTAACGATGTATAGCGAGACATGTGATCGAGATTCGTTCATGGAGAACACATTGTCGAGAAAACACGGCCAAAACGGCAGAAGCATAACGGAAAAAATTCCAAACATGGACATTACTGAAGAACGGTTTTGAAAAGCTATTATAAGATCACATATTCTTTTAAAATGCATTGATTTAAAATGCCTTAATATAAAGATGAAGAGTGATTATCTTACTCGTAAGCACATAGGTATAACGTTTCGCGATAGTCCCGTATTTTTTTATGATCGCGATTTCTCCATCGTCCCTCAGTTCGTTGTAGGTATATTGGAGAACCTCCAGTAGATATTTCACCTGTCGTTTAAATGATTTTCTATGCCGTTTCTTTTAGCGAAGTTTGACATGGTCTGTCGTATATCACAGAGTGCTTTGCAACGCGAGGTGTTTCCCGAATGAGTAAACGTCTGTACGAATTTGCGTATACTCACAGTGTCCATGTTAAAACTGAACGTGTTGTACTCGATCGCGAGGGTAATGAAGAAGAATGCATTTGAGAAAATCTCGATGACCAATTGCGAATTGCATTCAGCAGTGATGAATGCTGTAAACTGCAGGAAAGAAAAGAGAGAACAAAAATTTCGTGTGACGAAAGTAACTTGCGTAACTTGATGCTCAATAGCAAACAGAGAGTCTAAAAATCATTAAATTCTCTAAAATCATTAGAGCCTAAGAAGCGTCGCTCTTATGCGAATAATAATTGGACGGAAAATTTACGTATTTGAAGTAATCGTCATGTCTAAATAATCGTTGCGACTAACAATATGGATTGATCTTATTAATTACATAATAAATATCTGAAGAGACCGACATACCTGAAATATAATACTGGTTACCAAGATAACGTAAAACACGATCAGTTGCACTCTAACAAATTTGGATTGTTCATAGGGCCATAAACCGACTGCCAGCAAGAGAATCCGATTGAGGTCGAGTTGTAGCGACTTTACGCAGATCATTTCTCTTCGAATACCGAGATGTGTTTAGCAGCGAGGAAGTTGCCGAGACATCACTCATCCCCTCTTCTTACCGATCGATGCAGCTCGCTACTTTTTTTGTGTAAATTTTACTGTCAAATTACGCACAACACGGTGTGAGAGTACCGTACCATGAGATTTGAATTACCCACAATTTAGTCATTTTCTCTTGAAAGAGCTCTATGTTTTTAAATGAGTCGTCGTTGAGGAAGCAATTTTGCGTGCAAAGAAGTACAACGGGTGTTTATTTCCCACGCGAAAAAAATAGCCTTGACTGTAATATTTGATAAAACGTGTGTATTGCTAGTATTTGTCGTTCTTTGCCGTCATTTTAGCGCGTGCATTCATACGTTATATTTGACCGTTATACCTGAGAGGAGACTTCCCTTTCTAAATGGATGGGCAATTGCTTTAGTACCGACAGTTTATGTACAAACGTATAAATGCGGGAAATGTCTCGCAGTGTGCGAACGAGAAAAAGCCGATGCCACGTGTATAAGAATCTTATTCTATATTTTCGACTCAATCACATTATATGAATCACGACTCGCTTTCTTGTTAATCGTATCGCACGCAACGTTATTGGTGGAAACATTAGTATATATCAGTATATATCGGTATAGTATATATCGGATATAGTATATATCGGTATAGTATATATCGGATATAGTATATATCGGTTGAAAACTGCATGATATCTCGTATTAATTTGTTGAGTTTGAAAGATTATATATTTTACGTCTTAGATAAGTTAGCACAAACTATGCTACGGCATACTCTTTTCTACGTCAATCAGAATTATGCTGTTGCTTTGTCACTAATCATTTACATTTTGCAACACTACTCTTACTTCATAAATTTTTGCCTTACTTTTGCGTAGAATATAGGACAGTGAAGTAGGATATCGAAGTATTCGTTAGCTGTAAAAAAAATCTCCCTCTGAATTATTTCGTCCGTATGAGACGCGTACGATTTTCTCGGACACATGCAGTTCCCTCACCATAGCGAAGCTTTTCAGAGAACCGTTGATGATACTACCCACGGTCAGGGTGAAATCCTTGGAACCTTTTTGCAAAAGGAATAATATCGACTTCTGCACGTGTAAAGGCGCTTTGTACCATTGAATGTTATATCTGCGAATCATTGGTTCAACGGCGAGTGAAGATAATTGGAAAAAATTATTTTCGACGCGTATGCGTTTGATGAATTGCTTATTTTGTCATAAGTATCTTTAACAGGTTCGTTATCGGGATTTGTTTCGGGAACTCGTCTCATAGACTACCTTACATTTGTATTTTTTTTGCCAAATATATAAAATAGAGGCTTGTTGATACTAATTTGATAATGTGGACATGGGAAAAAAAATGTTTACTGTCACACACATGCAATGCTCAGCTGTCGTGCGAAATCATTACGTCATACGTGTGTGACACCGATAGCGAACGAGTTAAACAGGCAAGTCTATTCGCTTATCAAAATCAGCGTTTCTCGAAAATGTGTCTTACACGGTGACGAATATCTGAGTATGGTGGTCCGTAAGATCTTGTCCAATGTAATTCACTAAGAACATGTATAGAATAATAGATATCGCCCATGCAACGGGTAAGATCAGTTCCATGATGTTAAATTCGGACGACATGATCTGAAAAATCTGGCACGCGAAAACTTCACGTTAGAAATACGCGGCAATCTGTCGAATTCGCTGAAACGTTTCGTGAAAAGCTGTCTTTTTTACACATTGCAGGTTGTGCAATCTATCGTAATTCCGCGCGTTTAATGAACAGAGAATTGTGCGCAATTGTGCGAAAAAATGCTGGAGAATGTGAGTCAAAACTTACGCGAAAGAGATTAAGGGTCAAAGTGATCACTACGGTCATTGTTAAGAAGCCAAACGCCACCTCAAATCTTGACATTAAAAACTTGGAGTACCTTCAAGTGCAAGCAAATTTTTCATTATACATATATAATTTGTGTATATACGTAATCGGCTAGATACCAACTTCATAGCTTTGCGATGAATATCCACAGCTCTGGTTATCCTTTCGGAAATTAAATTTTTATCGGTCAAGTCAACATTCCGCAGCGAGTTGTATCTCATTGAGTACTTTATACGATAACTGCAAGTATTTTTTATCTATTAGTAGATTTGCCTCTGAGGTGTCAAGCTAAAATGAACATCTGGTCTGTATAATTAAGCACAGACTTCAATCGAGAAATGAAAAAGATGTTGCGTGTTTCTAACAATGATTTTATCATACTTATTTTCTTACTTAGCGATTGTAAACATCCCGCAGACACATTCCTGGCACGCGAAGAGCAACGCCAGCGCTCCCACTAATGTGATGCCTGCTATGCAAAGAGCTATATTTATGTGCAGCAAGATTAAACAGAAATACCTTTGCTGATCCACAAAGTATTCCATTGGGAATAATATAATGCGCGGTCTGGACTCGTTTTGCGGTCGGACAAAATCAAGAATGCTCGACCAAGACTGAATCAAAATGAAAAAAGATTCGCCGCAAATAAAATGTACTGCAAAAAAAGTGCACAAATGTTGATGCCCTATACGATTGATTTTTATCTTGCGATATATTGATTCGATTTTCAGATAGTTTATGGTTTACGTTTACAAGTTACGTAAAGATTGAGAACAAATAGGACGATTTGCATCATGAAAAAATCTCAACATTTCATGAATCCTTACCTGTGAACCAAATAGTGTAACTTCTTGAGATATTTCCGTATTTTGCTATGATAGCAAGCTCGTTCTCGTCCTTCAGCTCGCTACATATTTTTTGAAGTTGTTCCAACAATATCTTCATCTGTGTAGTTTAAACAACTTCTTATGTCGAAGAATTTTATGTGTGAGAATATGTGTGCAAAAAATTAACTCACAGTTACCCTATTTACCCAGAATGAACTGTATTTAACTATGATATTTATAAATACGAACATAGAAGCGAGAACTTTAACGATTAGATCCGAAGTGCATTCTGCGGTCATAAACGTTGTGAACTGCAAACAACAATTTCGTCGAGAAGATCTCTATCACAAATCGATATCTCTTACAAATTATTATAAATCATTATTATGAATTATGAATCATTAGATAAATTAAAAAAATCATGATGAGTTATGAACTATGAGTCATGAATTATTGCATTAGCTTTCTAATACAACAATTGTTTAATGGACAGCATATAATTGTAGCTATTCATAATTGCGATGCAACACTCATAATGCAACAGCAATAAATGCAAACACTTATATTCTTTAAAATTTAGGAAAGTAGACGTTGAATTTATTTTATCACATAATAATACTGCTTCAACAATTGCACCGTACGTGAAACACGATGACAGTTAATAGAATACCAAATGAAAGAATATATTGAAGTTGAATGAGTCTCATATGTTGATGCGGCCATAAACCGACAGATCGCAGAAGAGTTTTACTGAAACTAAAGTATAAAGTTTCTATATCAATCATCTCACGATTTTCGACAAACATTTGCATCTCTCGAAGAATGCATCTCGAATGCATGTGCTCTTTCATGCTTATCACCAATATATTGCTCATTTTTCCTCCTTGTAGCACGAAATTGAGCGGAAATTGCCTAAATTAATACAAATATGAGGGAGGAAACAAATATGAGAGAAGAAACGCACGAAATAATATCGTGAGAACGTGCCAGCCGCATTTCACACACATCAAATTTGAAAGCATGCGATTAGGCGGTCGATATTTCAGGGAGGGAAAATCAACCCGCAGATGACACTTTCCCATAAAAGAAAGGCACCTCTGAGGAAACCTGTTGCACGGAGGCCGCGCAAGCGTATTCGATGTTTCAATGTTACATTCCAACATGTACACTTATACGTTACGTTTAATTTCTGAGCGAGAACTCGCCTCGCCAAGTTTCCATTGCTAATGCGTCATCTGTCAAAATGTCAGTACTAAAAAAGCTGCACTATTACTTTGGTGCATTTGAAAGATATTTTATGATCTCGTAGAAGTACAGCTATATTCGCTACAGATTCAGAAACGATCAAACACTAGAACGCTCAAGCGTTTGTAAAGTACATCGTTTGCTTTGTCGATTTACTTCGACGAACAGTCCTTTGCTTTATCCTTGTGTAGAATACAGGACGGAGAAGTACGATACTGACACGTTTGCCATCTATGAAGAAAGTACAGTTCCATATTATGTTAATCGAATGTGCAGTAGATATCGACGTACTCAGATAGAATTTCTTACCATGGCGAAGCACTCTAATGATGCGTTAATCAGTCCACCGATGCTCACCATGAAGTCTTTGACACCTCGTTGCAGTAGGAAGAGTATCAGCCTCTGTACGTTTAACGGTGTTTTATACCAACAAATGTTGTATCTGCGAATTATTAATTAGAAGATGGACTGATAACTCGAGAAAAGTGAGAAGACGAAAAATTAAGTAATTTTTGGGTATACGACTTCCAAAATCTGTGTAAACTCTCAATATATGAATGTCCTTCAAGAGCTATTACTATTTTATAAATGTTATCTCCATGAGAAAGTGTCTTACGCAGCAATAAATATCTGTCTATTGTGGTCTGTAAGATCCTGGCCGATGTAGTTGGCTAAGAACATATATACAGCTATTATCATCGCGGCTCCCGTAGGTAAGAACAATTCATTTATGTTGTATTCGGACGATATAATCAGGAAAATCTGAGACACCAATTTCATGATTAGAGATTAATGTGTAATATACGTTAGATGTCAAATTCAACGTGAGACAAGTTGTTTGGAATTTTATGGAAACGAATTTTATTTTTATCGATGCGTACTTAAAGTCGAAACTTACTTGAAAAAGATTCAGACTCAAACTGCACACTCCGGTCGCCACTAAGATACATAACATCACCTCAAATTCGTTCACCATATGTTTTGAGAACCTTAGGAGACGAGCGAATGATTCACTACTACATGTCGTGTACCTGTTATTAATTAAATACCAACTTCATAGCTCTCCGATGAATTTCCACGGCACTAACGATCTCCGCGATTGGATTTCTACATTGCAGTTTGGTCTTTTGTGTCGTATCGGACTTTATCGATTGCTTAATACGGTAACTAAAAATAACATATCGTTATTGTACAGCAATCTATCGAGTGGTGCATTCTTTTTTATTTTTATTGTTGCAAGAAGTTGCTTCTTCTGTTTCGCGTCTGGTACTGTCCAAAGCAAACCAAACTGAAAATTATATTTATTTCGCTTGAAAAAGGATTCTCAATCTGGAAATCCCATTTATTTGCTAGTCACTTCAATACTTACCTTCTTACCTGGCAATCGTGAACATTCCACAGATATATTTCTGAAATGAAAAGAATAGCGAGCCCGTCGACAGCAGAGCGACAGTGCCTATGCAAATAATTGTGTTCTGGTATAAGAGTATTAAGTAGTAATATCTGTGTTGATCCACGAAGTATTCCATAGGAAACAGCAGATTACGCAGTCTGGATTCATTTCTCGGTTGAACAAAGTCAAGAATACTCGGCCAGGATGACACCAAAATGAGGATGAGATTAAGACAAAAGATACTTACTAAAAATGCGATAGCATTGACATTTGAATGATTACCTTTTACTTTGTGATAAATAATCGGTATCATCTTCAAAATATTTAATAACCGCTTAAGAAACAACTCAATCAGTTGTACGTTAAAATATGTACGTATTTACGCGAATACAATTACAATCACAACGATAATAATAATGATGAATTTTGATTATTAGATATAATTACATAGCAAGAAATAATAAAAAATTATCTTACCCATAAACCACATGGCGTAACATCTTGAAACGTTTCCGTATCTTCTAATAATAGCAAGTTCATTGTTATCCTTTATCTCGTCACATATACGTTGAAGTTCTTCAAGTAAAACTTTCACCTGCCGTTTCAATAATTTCTTATACTGAAGATTATTACTACATAAAGTCTTTTTCTCACACATATAATGAAATCATTATTATTATTATATAAAGTCTGATTTAACAAAATTATTTACACAGACATTTATGCACGGTGAAATATCAACTCACGGTTACATTATTTGTATGAAATGAGAAATATTGCACCATGATGTCGATGAAAAGGAACGCGGAGGAAAGAACTTTGATGACAAGGTACACAGTACATTTCGCGGTGATAAACGTTGTGAACTGCAAACAACAAACGTCGTCGGGCACATTGCGATGAGGAACATCCTTAATTAATACATCATGAATCCTATTTAAAGCATCCTTCATAAAATAAATTTTTTTATAAAAAGAAAAAATATCTAGCTATTTTACACACACACGCACACACACACCGCCTCTGGCTAAATATAATATTATGTAGAAATAAAGATGCTCATAGTTAACTACAATACAATAAATTTATCACATAGTACAAAATGCAAATTTATCACACAATAATACTTCTTCAACAACATTGTTCCCTACGTGAAATATGATGGCGGTTGACAAAAAACCAAGCAAGAAGATGTACTGAATATAAGCGAGTCTTGTTTGCCAATACGGCCACAGACCGAGGGCTAGCAGAAAATATTTGTTGTAACTAAAATACTGATCTTCGATGTTGATCATGTCTACGTAACATTGGACATACGTTTGACTGGCATGTAAGGCTCGTCTCGCAGTAGCGTTCGTTCCTCTTTGTACTTCCCGTCGACCGATTAGGCAATTTGTCCACTTTACAGTATTAAATTAAGGCAAAATTGCTTAAATCAATGTAAATTTAACGAAGTTTCGTGTGAAATAATATCGTGAGAACGCGGCAGTTGCGTTTCACTAATATCAACGGGAAAAAGCGTGCGATTAAATAATCGATTTACCAAGGGAGAATTTCTTCCAGATGGTCATTTCCCATCAAAGATACCCCTTAGGAAACCTTGTTGCGCCAAGACTGCGCAAGCGTATTTGACGCTTCTCTACATTGCATTTACTTGTCTTTTATTTCATCATGTACGTTCATACGATGTGCTTCGACTCGACGCAGTTTTTCGCTGTTAATATACTATCAACCAGAACGTGAATGAGTATTAGAAGAGGATAAACTGCTATTTTATTATTGTTAGAATATATTTTATGTTTTCTAAGAAACTCCGCTACGTTTGGTACAGAATCGGAAATGGACAGGCTCATTATACGTTCAAACAATCGTGAAGTATAACGTTGCCTTGTTGTTCTCTGCTATGTATTTAGACGATACTTTTTCATCTTATTTTTGCGTAGAGTACAAAACGGTGAAATATGATATCGATATATTCGTCAGCTACGAAAGAGACTTTGTTCAGTTGAGAATGCAAGAGACGTCAACGCGCTGTGACAATCGAATTTCTTACCGAGGCAAAACATTCTAGCGATCCGTTGAGCCATCCAATGACCTTCACCGTGAATTCTTTGGTGCCTCGTTGCAATAGAAACAGTATCACCCTCTGCACGTTTATTGGTGCTTTATACCAGCAAACGTTGTACCTGCGAATTATTACTTGAACAAGGCAAATTGACAACTCGACGGAAGTAAGAAGACACGAAGCTAAGTAATTATCGGCGCTCAATTTTTAAGAGCTATATGTTAGCTTCCGCTTTTAATACAAACATCTTTGAAGAGTAATTATATATACTATCTGATATACATATATATATAGATGTCAATTTATGTAATAAATGCCATTCTTACAGGAACGTCTCTTACGCGGTAACGAATATATTTTTGTTATGATCCGTGAGATCCTGCGCGATGTAATTGGCTAAGAATAAGTATATAGCGATTAGAATTATATATCCAGCGGGCAATAACAATTCCTTGAAGTTATGATATCTGGACGACATGATCGAAAAGATCTGTGATATGAATATAAAGTTGTTAGAAGTTATGCATGTATATGTATCTCACGTACTCTCTCGATCTATTGTGGTTTTACGTTTCCAAAAGATTAATAAATCTCAAGTGCGATACTTCACGCTTGAAACACCGTCATTTAGAATTGCACGAACATGCGTACTGAAGAACGAAAGAAACTCACGCGGAAAAGATTAAGACTCAAACTGCTTACTCCGGCCAATATTAATACGCTCAACATCAATTGAAATTTATTCACCAGAAATCGGGAGAACCTTTAGAGGCAAGAAAATTTTGCATTACTACTTGTCGTGAATAACTAAATCCAGTGAATAACCTTAATAACTAAATCTAACCCACTTCATAGCATTCCGATGAATCTCCACGGCCCTAGCGATCTTTATTACGGCCAAATTTTGGCTGCACGAGTTGATCTTCTCTGACGCGTCGATTCTTATCGCGTGTTTGATACGGTAACTGCAAATAACCTATCGTTATTATATAGCTGTTATCGTTATTGTATAATCTGTGGACCGTATTTCTTTATCTTTACATCTCGTTGCAGAATGAGAAGCTATCACTTCAGTTTGGTTTGAAGTAACAAGCTCAATTTTCATTTGCATTGTTAAAAAGATGTTCTCAATTTTAATATTTTGCGCGTACGCTTACGACAGTTATCTCTGTACTTATTTGCTTACCTGGCGACTATAAACAATCCGCAGATGCACTTTTGACACGCGATAAATAATGTTCCTGTTGCCAGAGATGCAGTAATGCCTATGCAAACGGCTGCGTTCATGTGCAACATTATTAAGTAGAAATATCTCTGCTGATCCACAAGATATTCCATCGGGAACAGCAAGGTATGTTGCATGGATATGTTTCTCGGTTGAATAAAGTTGAGCATGTGTGACCAACACTGCATCAGGATAAATCCGAATTCGCCCAAAACGGCCAACGCTAAAAACGGAAGAACGCTAAAACAATTCAACGACTGCAACTTATTTTGTGATATTTGATCGATTTTTTTCTGTATATCCCTTTAACTATTTAACGATTGCTTAAGTATTAATTAATTAGTTAATTGTGCGCAGAAAAAGAGAAATATATATATACTAGTAATATCATAACAGTGATGATTATGGTCATTAATTAATTGTCATTAATAACGGACATTAAGTGATTTTATTTTACTTGTGAGCCAAAACGCATAACGTCTTGAAATATTTCCATATTTTTTAATAATAGCAAGTTCGTTCTTATCCTTCATCTTGTCGCATACGCGTTGAAGTTCTTCCAATACTATTTTGATCTGTAGTTTTAACAACTTATTATGCTAAAGATTATTATATAGGAACTATTATTTTTAATGGAATTTACATTGATACAAGCATAATGTAGCGTCAACTCACGGTTACTTTATTCATCCGAAACGTGGAATATTGAATCATAGAATTCAAGAAGAGGAACATGGAGGAGAATACTTCGACAACAATATCAACTGTGAATTCTGTGACGATAAACGTCGTCAACTACAACCAAAAAATTTTGCTATAGAGCGTATGCGATTAGTAAATTATGAATTATGTAAAATCCATCGCACTTTATATACAATTAATATTTAATAATTAATATCTACGCAGATATTATATAATGGTGACGCAAGGGTCGTAATATATTTATATATATATATATATATACATCAAGTATGTGAAAATGAAAAAGCCGGTAATTGCAATATAACAATTTGTTATGCAGTGATACTGCCTTACATGACACATGATGGCGATCAACAGTATACCGAAGAATAATACGTATTGAAGTTGAGTGATTCTAGTTTGCCTGTAAGGCCACAAGCCGATAGCTAGCAGAAGATTTTTACTGATATTAAAGTATTGAACCTCAATGCTGATCATTTCTATTCGGCGTTTGACACACGTATGACCGCGAAGGATCCGACGGAGTTGCGCGCGCGCATCTCTTCCTGTCTTCCAACAGTCGATAAAGCAATTTGTCTTTATAGCATTAAATTGTGCAAAAACTGCTTGTGTAGCGTAAATACGACAATGATTCGTGTAAAATGACACCGTGAAAGCTCGACAGTCGCGTTCGCGAAGTAACGTCGTCGGAAAGTAACGTTCAATTAACCGATCGATTTCTCAGGGGAGGAAATTCTTCCAGGTGGATTTTCTCACAAAAGAATGACCCTTACAAGAGTTATTATCCCACGAAGATCGCGCAGACATATACTCGTATTTCTTCATATTGCTTCACGAGTCTCGATTCGACACGAGCACTCATATCTTTGATCTCTGAGTTGAAGCTCGTCCCATACAATTTTAGATGCTGATGTATCATTGCTGCGATATCGGTAAATATTGAGGAAATACCTGTATCTGTGCTACGTTAACATGTTAGATAAAATAATTCGGTATGTATAATGATATATTTCACTCGACGCAACAATTACAATTAGAGATATTTTAGTCTAGAATATAATGAACAAGCTAGCGTCCTCTTTTTGATTAATAGCTAGAAGTAGAAGTGCAGAAAACTTCAGTTTTGGTCATTTTGGTAACTTTCTATGCTGCTAAGCCGCTAATAGACTATGTTGCTAATAGATTTACATGTCATCATCGTGTTGAATAAATAACGGTAAAATAAGATATCGAGGCACTCAACAGCTACAAAGAGAAATACGTTTTTTAATGATTGCGCTTTTGAGTTGCCACTCTATTCGTTTAAGAAAAATCGATATATATATATATATATATATCTTTAGATTAATATTTTAAATTTGCAAAATCGCAGTATTCGTTTAATAAATAAACCAATAAAGACACAAATATAATAATCGAAGAAGAATCTGAGAGGAGGATGTGAAAATAGCAAACTAATGTTTGTGGCGCTATTCGCATCATTTTGAAAACCCGCTATGATCGATAAAACTTTTTTTAAAATTCTATTGGCATAAAAAATATTGTTTTTTGACCGAATGCTTTTCACTGACCCTTAAATACGTAACGTAAATGTTTGTTACCGTTGTAAAACCTTCTAAGGATCCCACAAACAGTCCGCGGATGTTTATACTGTAAACCTTAGTGCCCCGCTGCAGCAAAAACAATATCATCTTCTGCATTTGTAATGAAGTCATGTACCACTGAATATTGTACCTACGAAACGACGGTAAAATAAATGATCGGACGAAACTGATAGATAAAAAAACTTCGGTGAATGTGCAACTTTTTTAATATGTATCTCGTAATCTTACGAACTCTATTTAATTTTCGCTTCTATGATCGACCTATCGTTTGTGTTCGCGAATTTCATGTGAAAGTGTCTCTTACACCATGGTGAACACTTGATTATAATGATCTATCACTTGTTGGCCGCTGTAGTTGCCTATGAACTGATACAAGTACTGAACAATCAGCAATATAACGGATATCGTCAATTCTTCTATATTGCATCCGCTCGTCAACGTCATATAAATCTGAAACATATTGAACGTGTTAACGAGCCTGCTTTTGCATCATATGCGTAAATATATAATTTCGCAAGAAACGACGCTCACTCGCATGAAGTTGAGACTTGTGGAAATCACAACGGTAAATATGAGTAGAGAAAACCATAGATTGAAAGTGGACATGAAAATATCAGCGAATCTTTAAAAAAGAACATACACACACATACGTCACTGCATGTATATCATATATGTAATTGATACAGATTGATACTAACTGTAAAATTTCACGATGAATATCTACTGCATAAATTATTCTTTTATAGGCTAGATTTTCGTTCCACTGTTTCTGAGCAGATCGCGGCACGTTCAGTTTTATAGCGTGCTGAATGCGGTAACTGTGAATAAATTAGTAATTTCTCAACGAACGTATCTTGGAATGTTATGACTATACAATATCGATATGTTTATCTATGATGAAGATTAACTAACGATCAAATTACTCTATAGAACACTTTTTCGTGAAATTGGACGTTAACAATACCGAAGGATAACTAAATTGTTATAGCTTATTATTATAGCTAAATTACGTTAAATAGAAGAAAGGATAAAAAGAAATAGTAGAATGGATAAATAGATTAAATTATATTACGGAACATTTTTCGCAAATTTATAAACTCAGTCATCACTTTTGCCTGAAAATGTGCCACACATATTCGCTTTTCACCTGGTAATCTTCAACATCCCGCAGATATGCTGAACGTATACTAACAGCATTGCACCCGTGCTAACCATTGTGAAGCCACATATGCTAATGGTCGCATTCATATGAAACAAAATTAAGTAAATATATCTCTCTGGATCGAGAAAATACCCGTTTAAAATCTGCAGTAAGTAGATCGGTCGAGTCTCGTTTGTGGGTAGAATTACATTGAGAATGCGTGGCCAAAATTGCAACAAACAAATGATAAATAAGCCACATATAAAAAACACTGGAAAGAAAAAATAACAGAAAGAAAAGAGACGATTTGTAAAGCTGAAATTCAGGACTAAAACTTTCGTACTTATTAATTACGTTTGGATATGAAGCAAAAATCGCATATGAAAAATGTCATAATACGTCGCTTTACCTGTAAATATAATGGTAACACGTTTTATCTTATTTCCATATTCGTCCATGATAGCGATTTCGTTCTCATCTGTTAGCCTGTTATAACGATACTGAATTTGACCCGTCAAGCATCTTATCTATTATTTAGAACATTTCATTATAATTTTTTTGTAAGATTTTTCGTTGTAAAAAACTTGAAGAGAAGAAAGTAATTGTTATTGTATGCAAAATAGGATTTATTTGTAAGGATTTATTTATTCGAATAAGTGGAACCAGAATGACAAATTTCGTCGACTTACAGCTCGGCTGTTGACGTAGAACATAACGTAACTTATGATGCCAATTGAAGAGAAAAACGAAATGAAGAGAATCTTGACAACAACTTCTGCCGTGTATTCCGAAGTAAAAAATACACTCAACTATAGACACAATCACATATCCTTCATAATTTCTAGGCTACTATTACTAAATGTGTACATAATATATTTCAGCGTATTCTGTTTTATATAACAAAATATTTTTGACCCAGAAAAAGTGTATTAGAAAATTACTTTTGTTTATCTGTCTTACAAGATTTTGTCTCATAAAATATAAATTATTAATTACTTGCTATCATATCGTGATTGTAAGAAAAAGTTTATAATAATAATATTAACCCGCATTTATAATATAATTAATTTAATTAGTATGTTTAATGTGATCGCAAATGAAAAATGTTGCTACGTATTGTATTGCAATATAAATTAACTCATAATGATAGTATTATGAAACTACCGACATATACTTGAGACAGAATGAAGGTCGTCGGGATACCGAAAAACAGAATGAACTGGAATTGGCTGAATTTTGATCGCTGATAGGGCCATAAGCCAATTGCGTGTAGCAGATGTTGATTGAGGATGAAGTATGTTGGATATCGCGTGCAAATCATTCTTGCACGGATGTTGAAACACGTTTAGCTTTGAGGAAAGTCGATGGAAATTCATACAACTTCCACTCCTGTTAGTCGAACAAATATTTTATGGTCTAGCTCTTTTTTCATCGTATCGAATAATGTAAATTGACCAATTTTTAATATAACAAAATTGTCGCGAAATATCACCGTGAGAAAGCAACATATGTTTTTTGCCAACGTTGGGGTAAAAGTTGCGATTAAGTAATTGACTTTCCGGCGGTAGACATGTGTCCAGAGTCCAGATGGTCTTTTCCCACAAAATAAAGGCACTCACGAGAGATCTTGTCCCGCAATAGATCGCGCAAGCGTATTCGTATTTTTTCACTACTTCGTGTTACATTCTATTACGAACACTCGTTTGTTACGCTTCGTTTCATAGTTGACGCTCGACTCGATCGGTTCTTGATACTGATATTATTTTTCGTTCTACTATCAGATAGTACTTAGAAAGTGTATGTACCTTCATCTCTTTCATACGCCAGATAAAATAATTTACAGTATGCAGTATGTAGTAATATAATATATTTCATTCGTGGCACAGCAAATGAAAGTTTTACGTTTTGGAATAAAACGAATGAACTAAACACATCTTCATTGAATGTACCTGATACCTAGAAGTAGAGAAATGAAAAAAAATAGTAGTTTTATTTACTTTAATAACTCTATTTCACTAATTACAGGACTACATTGTTAGTAGATCTCATCACGTCATTATCGTATTGAATAGATAACAGTGAAATAAGTTATCGAGGCGCTCATTAACTGCAACGAAATGTATTCTCTTAATAATCTTATTTTGAAAATACCAGGCCATTCCAAAATTCCAACAAATTTCAGGTCAATTTTCAAGTCAATAATTCGAATTATCCAAGATTATATATCTTGTTAATTGTTAAACGCTCACGTAAACATTCACATAATAAACGAACAGAATATTTCATCGACTTTTGTACTTTGATACTACTTTTATAGTCTCCACATCGCTATTATTGTCAAAATCGCTAGTTATTACTAAAAAGAAATCTTATCGAATTTGAGAATGATTTTTTTTTAATACGAATGGCATTTTGGAATAAAAGGCTTGTGTTGTTTGTTACACATTATATGTGATATTTTCTTACAGATGCGAAGCCTTCTAAGGAACCCACGAAGACAGAACCTAGCTGCAAATGATAGGGCTTAGTTCCTCTCTGCAGCATAAACAATATCATTTTCTGCACATGCAAAGGAGTCACGTACCATTGTATATTGTATCTACGAATTGACGATAGAATGAACGGTCAACAAAACCGAAAACACAGTACAAATTTTCGCGAGAACTTAACCATTTTTCACTAGACCTAAGTTAAAATCTTACAAACTCTAATTCTATTATAATTCTTCTATTTCCCGTGTTCCCGTGTTCATATATAGTTCGCATGCGATTCTGCAAATATTGCATTCCTTACATGGAGGTGAATACGTGATTATTATGATCCGCAACTTCTTGAGCGACGTAATTGGCCATAAACATATAAAAATACTGACAGAATAAGAAGATAACTTGGATTGTCAGTTCTACGACATTGTATCCAGACGATAATATCAAAAAAATCTGAAACATGTCTTATTCTTCCGTAAGTTTCTGCGCTTTTGCATTATATGCGTAGTTGTGTATTTTCATAATAGATAACACCCACTTGTATTAAATTGAGACTCATGGAAATCACACCGGCTCCTATCAGTAAGAAGAACCATAAGGCGAACGTAGACATTAATGATTCGGAGAACCTTCAAAACGTAAAACGATACATTATTGCACTCGATTTACGTGTATAATTAGATCAATACCAACTGCAAGGTTTTGCGATGAATATCTACTGCATAAATAATCCTTTCGTAGATCGGATTCTTTTTCTGTAGATTAATAGGTTGCTTCACATTTGGCCTCATTGCATACTGGATGCGATAGCTGTTTCAAGAATTTGAGAAACAATATCGATGATTTCTGGAAATATCGCGTTTTTCGCGATACTGGAATGCTTATTTGTAATGATTTTTAATACAGAAAATACTTATTACATACAGGATAAAATTACGTGTATTATAAGTTCGAAATATTATTTGCGTTAATCACACAAGTGCAATATATACAATATATACAAGTACATATAATCGTACATATAATCGTATATATAACACATTCTCATATATAATACTTCTTTTCGATATTTTCGGACGGGTACGATTTTGTATGTTATTATATATTTCTCGCGAATTGTGATCACTGACTCGATATTTGTTCTCAAACACATTATTTACCTGGCAATCTTCAACATCCCACAAATATATTGACCATATGCTAGCAACATCGTTCCAGTGCTAAGCGTCGTGAGGCAAGCTATGAAAAAAGCCGCATTTGTATACAGCACAATTAAGTACAGGTATTTCTGATTATCAATGTAGTACTCGCTTATAAATCGCAACGAATTGATCGGCCGGGTCTTGTTCGCAGACTGAATTACGTCGAGAATGCATGGCCAAAATTGCGATAGAAGTAAAACATATATAGTACAAATGAAGAGAACTGAAAAGATAGAGTGAGCAGTACGGAAAAATCTGTACACATTGATCTGTACACATTGATCATGGAACATAAGATTTAATAATAAACATTGAACGTAGAACCCGGAATGTGCAAGTCAACTTTTGATATATGTATGATCAATGCGTTAAAATAACCAAAACTTATAGTCTCACCTATGCACATAGAAGTGAAGTGTTTCGTTCTGTTCCCGTACTTGTTCATGATAGCGATCTCACCCTCATCTTTTAATTTGTCATAGTTATGTTGAATTTGCTGGGTCAGAGACTTTACCTGTTGTTTTACCGCTAGATATATATCTTCTCTTAACAGTAACGCGCGTTTAAACTTTTAAATTTCCTCTATTTAAGAATTATCGTCAGGAAAGGTTTAAGTTAATGTTGTAAGAAAATCATTATATCATCGTAGAAACCAATTCTTCAAAGTTTATTCGTTTTTTATTCAGACTATTGGAAAGAACGGCAGATATTCGTAGACTTACCGCATCGATGTTGACATAGAACGAAGTGTAATTTATCACGCAAGTACTGAAGAAAAATGCAATAAAGAGGATTTTAAGTACCAGGTCTGTTGTGCATCGTAAAATAACCAATGTACCTAACTGCATATATAGTTACATATTTCATATAATTTTCATAATTTGTGTGTATGTGTGTGTACACATCATATTTGATCTATTTCCTCTTGTGTCAATAAACAGTTCTATCATTATAAAGTTGTTAAAAAAATTCTCTTTCAACAATCATGTCATGAGTTTTAAATTATTAATTGCATCTTAAACTATCGTGATTAAAGAAGTTCCTAAGTATCATTATTTACATTTATATTATAATTAATTCTATGTTATATTATTTGATATAAATAAGTACAAATAAAAAGAATATTTTCGAATTTCACTGCAAGTTTGATTGACGCATAATAACAGTATTATGAAATCACGTACTTGAAGCAGAATAAAGCTCAACAGGATACTGAACAACAGAACAAACTGCAATGAAATAAGTTTCGATCGTTGATAGGGCCACAAGCCAATTGCGAGCAGGAGAACTCGATTCAAATTGAGGTATGCTGGAATACGCTGCTTGCTGGTCATACCTTCACTAGTATCAAAACACGTTTGACGCCAAGCAGCCCCCCTCCTACTCTCCTCTTTTCTTGGTCGCATAATTATCTTATATCTTATTCGACGTACATTATAGCGCGAAATGGCTAATTTTTCGAACAATACAAAATGATCGCGAAATAACCCCGTGAAACACATGACATATGCATGACATATTTCTCCCACGGCTAGAGATGTTACATTTGTAATTAGACGATCAATTTTCCAGAAGAAAATATTTCCCCACATGTTTTTTCCCGATAATAGGGGACTTTCACGAAATAACTCGTCGCGCAAAAACCGCGCCAGTATATTTGTATATCCTTATGACTTTACGTGTTTCATTCTAATTCGAGCTCTCATAAGTTTGACTATCTTACAGTTATCTCTCCTACTCAGTTTCTGATTACTGATGTGTCATCTCTCACGATATTAGTAAATATTCAGAAAGTCTATGTATTTGCGTCTCTTTAATAAGATGAGATAAGACAATGCAGTGTATGTTAAGATATATTATCTTCGACATAACAATTTCTTTACGATTTAGAATGAAACAATGTCAGCCAGATAAGTCGCTCTCAATTGAATATTGATAACTGGGAGTAGAAATAAAGAATAATGCGAATTTAATTATTTTAATAATTCTTCGCTCTACTCAGTTGCTAACGAAGTGCGTTGTTGGTAGATATTATCACTGTATTGAATAAATAACAGTGAAGTAAGATATCGTGGCGCTCACTAACTGTAATATGATATTTGTTATATTAATTAATGTGCTCTAGATGAGACAATTTATTTTAAAATGTCGACAATTTTTAGATTATTATTTCGGACTTGAAAACATAGGATGTTTTTCATAAATGAAATATAACATGTACATAATCATGACTAAAAAAAAACTTATGGTTATTGTGCATAACGAATATGTGTTAACGATAAGAACAATAATTATGGTAGCAACGATGCTACTTTTATAGTCTCGACTTAACACTATTAACAACAATATTTTTAATTGTTATAAAATGTTTTTATTCGTACTGTATGTTTTTATCAGTACTTCCTTTTTAAGTAATACGGTATTTTGGAATGGAAAACTAATATTGCCCTTTAGTAACATAATGCGTATTTTTTCCTTACCGATGTGAAGCCTTCTGAAGAACCTACGAAGATGGAGCCTAGCTGCAAATGATAGGGCTTAGTTCCTCTCTGCAGCATAAACAATATCATTTTCTGCACATGCAAAGGAGTCACGTACCATTGTATATTGTATCTACAAATTGACGATAGAATAAACGATCAGCAAAATCGAAAATTAGGTACAAATCTTCGCGAGAATATAACCATTTCTTATTATACGTAAATTATAATTTTACGAACTCTACTTTTATTATAAATCTTCTATTACCCGCGTTTGTACATAGTTTGTATACGATTCTGCAAATATTGTATTCCTTACACAGTGGTGAACACGTGATTATTGTGATCCGCGACTTCTTGAGCGACATAATTGGCCATAAACATATAAAAATATTGAATGAACAAGAGGATAACTTGTATTGTCAATTCTACGACGTTATGTCCAGACGTCAATGTCAAAAAGATCTGAAACGTGTCATATTCTTCTATAAATGCGCCTTTGCATTATATGCGTAGGTGTATATTTTCATAATAGGCGACGCTCACTTGCATTAAATTGAGACTCATAGAAATCACACCGGCGCCTATCAGCAAGAAGAACCATAAGGCGAACGTGGACATTAATGTTTCGGAGAACCTTCAAAATGTAAAATAATACATTATTGTACTCAACTTACGTGTATAATTAGACCAATACCAACTGCAAAGTTTTGCGATGAATATCTATTGCGTAAATAATCCTTTCGTAGGTCGGATTCTTTTCCTGTAAGTTGATAGGTTGCATCATATTTGGCCTTATTGCATGCTGCATGCGATAGCTGTTTCAACAATTTGGGAAACAATTTCAGTGATTTCTTGAAATATCGCGTTTATCTCTTATTACTGGAATGCTTATTTATAATATTTTAATACGGATAAATACTTATTACATATTGCAGGATATATCTACGTATTACAGAAGATCGAACTATTATTCGCGTATGTTACACAAGTATAACATATATAATACATACAAGTGCGTATAATCATACATATACCGCATTCTTATATACTACTTTCCGATATTTTCGGACCAATATGATTTTACACGTTATTATACATTTCTCGTGAATTGTGACCATTGATTCCATATTTGTTCGCAAACACGTCATTTACCTAGCAATCCTGAACATCCCACAAATATATTGACCGTATGCTAGCAACATCGTTCCAGTGCTAAGCATCGTGAGGCCAGCTATGCAAAAAGCCGCATTCGTATGCAGCAGGATTAAGTACAAGTATCTCTCTTTATCGAGGCAATACTCGTTTATAATTCGCAGGATATTGATCGGCCGGGTCTTGTTCGCAGGCTGAATTATGTCGAGAATGCATGGCCAAAATTGCGATAGAAAGAAAATATATAGGGAACAAATGAGGAGAACTGAAAGAATAGTGAGCAATGCGTAAAAATGCGGTGTATATATTGCACATGCAACACAAGGTGTAATAATAAACATTGAATCTGGTAGAACCTGGAATGTGCCAGTCAACTTTCGATTTAATGTATAATCAATGCGTTAGAATAATTTGCCTCACCCATGGACAGAGAAGTGCGGTATTTTGTTCTGTTTCCGTACTTGTTCATGATAGCGATCTCGCCCTCATCTTTTAATTCGTCATAGTTACGTCGAATTTGCTCGATCAAAGACTTTACCTGTTGTTTTACCGCTAGATATATATCTCTTAAACACCAACGCGCGTTTAAACTTTTAAATTTCCTCTATATAAGAGTTATCGTTAGGAAAGGTTTGAATTGATGTTATAAGAAAATTATGATGTAATATGATCATAGAAACCAATTCTTCAAACCTTATTCGTTTTTACTCAGACTATTGGAAAGAACGGCAGATATTCGTAGACTTACCGCATCGATGTTGACATAGAACGAAGTGTAATTTATCACGCAAGTACCGAAGAGAAATGCAATAAAGAGGATTTTAAGTACCAGGTCTGTTGTGCATCGTGAAACAACCAATGTACCCAACTGCATATGTAGTTACATATTTCATATAATTTTCATGATTTGTGTGTGTGTGTGTACACATCATGTTTGATATATTTCCTCTTGTGTGAATAAACGGTTCTATCGTCATAAAGTTACGTTAAAAAAATTCTTTTTATCATGTCATGAGTTTTAAATTATCAATTGCATCTTAAACCATCGTGATTAAATATCCCTAAATATAATTACTTACATAACATAACTAATTCCATATTATATTATGTTCGATATAAATACAGGTAAAAAGAATTTCTTTAAATTCCATTGCAAGTTAAATTGAAGCATAATAACAGTATAATGAAATCACGTACTTGAGACATAATAAAGGTCAACAGGATACTGTAAAACAGAATGAACTGCAATGAAATAAGTTTTGATTGTTGATAGGGCCACAAGCCAATCGCGAGCAGGAGAACTCGATTCAAATTGAGGTATGCTGGAATACGCTGCTTGCTGATCATTCCTTCGCTAGTATCAAAACACGTTTAACGTCGAGCAAGTCAAAGAACGTCCCCTCACCCTCCTCTTCTCTTGGTCGCATCATTATCTTATAACTTACCTCTTATTCGACGTACATTATAGCGCGAAATAGCTAATTTTTCGAACAATACAAAATGATCGCGAAATAACCCCGTGAGACGCATTATATATGCATAAAATATTTCTCCAACGGCTAGAGGTGCTACGTTTGCAATTAGACGATCAATTTTCAAAAAGAAAATATTTCCCTACATGCTTTTTCTCATAATAGGGGGCTTTCACGAAATAACTCGTCGCACGAAAATTGGTCGAGCATCGTCGTATATCTTCATGACGTGTTTCATTTCAGTGCGAGCTCTCATATTTGACTATCTTATAGTTATCCCTCCTACTCAGCTTCCAATTGTTGATGTGTCATCCCTCGCGATATTAGTAAGTACTCAGAAAGTTTATGTATTTGCGTCTCTTTAATAAGATCAAATAAGACAATTCATTGCATGTCAGGATATATTATCTTTGAAGTAGCAATCCTTTACGATTTAGAATGAAACATGTAAGTCACTTAAGCCCCACCTGATTAAATATTGGTAACTAGGAGTAGAAATAAAGAATAATGCGAATTTAATTATTTTAATAACTCTTTGCTCTACTTAGTTGCTAATGAAATGCGTTGTTGGTAGATATTATTGCTGTGTTGAATAAATAACAGCGAAGTAAGATATAGTGGCACTCGTTAACTGCAATGTGACATTTGTTACATTAATTATCGTAACACGTGACACTCTATTCCAAAAGGTCGATCATTTTTAAATTATTATTTTGGACTTAAAAACATGGGATATTTTTCATAAATGGAGTATAACATCTATACAATCATGATGATAAAAGAAATTCCTGGTTATTGTCCATAACAAATATGTGTCAAGGATAAGAACAATAATTACAATACCAGCGATGCTATTTTTATAGTCTCGACTTGGCAATATTAACGACAATGTTTTTAGTTGTTATAAAATGTTTTTATCAGTATTTTCTTTTTAAATAATACGATATTTTGATACGAGAAACTAATATTGCTTTTTAGCAACACAATCTTTTCTTACCGATGCGAAGCCTTCTAAGGAACCCACGAAAACAGAGCCTAACTGCAAATAATAGGGTTTAGCTCCTCTCCGCAGCAGGAACAGTATCATCTTCTGCACATGCAAAGGAGTCACGTACCATTGTATATTGTATCTAGGAATTGACGATAGAATAAACGATCAGCAAAATCGAAAACTCGGTATAAATCTTCGCGAGAATGTAACCATCTTTCACTAGATGTAAATTATAGTCTTACGAACTCTATTTCTATTAAAATTCTTCTTTTACCCGCGTTCACATAAAGTTCGCATGCGATTCTGCGAATATGACATTCCTTACACGGTGGTGAACACGTGATTATTGTGATCCGCGACTTCTTGAGCGACATAATTGGCCATAAACATATAAAAATATTGAATGAACAAGAGGATAACTTGTATTGTCAATTCTACGACATTATGTCCAGACGTCAATGTCAAAAAGATCTGAAACGTGTCATATTCTTCTATAAATGCGCCTTTGCATTATATGCGTAGGTGTATATTTTCATAATAGGCGACGCTCACTTGCATTAAATTGAGACTCATAGAAATCACACCGGCGCCTATCAGTAAGAAGAACCATAAGGCGAACGTGGACATTAATGTTTCGGAGAACCTTCAAAATGTAAAAGGATACATTATTATACTCGACTTATGTGTATAATTAGATCAATACCAACTGCAAAGTTTTGCGATGAATATCTACTGCGTAAATAATCCTTTCGTAGATCGGATTCTTTTTCTGTAGATTACTAGGTTGCACCACATTTGGCCTCATTGCATACTGGATGCGATAGCTGTTTCACGAATTTGAGAAATAATTCCGGTGATTTATTGAAACATCGCGTATATCGCGGTATTAGAATGCTTATTTATAACAGAGTTGTAATACAGATAAATACTTATTATATATTACAGGATAAAACTATGTGTATTAGAAATTCGAAGTATTATATGCGTGAGTTACACAAGTACAATATATACAATACATATAAGTACATATAATCATATATATACCACATTTTCATATACTTCTTTTCGATATACTTCCAGATGTGTACGATTTTACACGTTATTATATATTTCTCGCGTATTGTGACTATTGACTCGATATTTGTTCTCAAACATATTATTTACCTGGCAATCCTGAACATCCCACAAATATATTGACCATATGCTAGCAACATCGTTCCAGTGCTAAGCATTGTGAGGCCAGCTATGCAAAAAGCCGCATTCGTATGCAGCACAATTAAGTACAGGTATTTCTGATTATCAATGTAGTACTCGCTTATAAATCGCAACGAATTGATCGGCCGGGTCTTGTTCGCAGGCTGAATTACGTCGAGAATGCATGGCCAAAATTGCGATAGAAGTAAAACATATATAGTACAAATGAAGAGAACTGAAAAGATAGAGTGAACAGTACGGAAAAATCTGTACACATTGATCTGTACACATTGATCATGGAACATAAGATTTAATAATAAACATTGAATGTAGAACCCGGAATGTGCAAGTCAACTTTTGATATATGTATGATCAATGCGTTAAAATAACCAAAACTTATAGTCTCACCTATGCACATAGAAGTGAAGTATTTCGTTCTGTTCCCGTACTTGTTCATGATAGCGATCTCGCCCTCATCCTTTAATTCGTCATAGTTATGTTGAATTTGCTGGGTCAGAGACTTTACCTGTTGTTTTACCGCTAGATATATATCTTCTCTTAACATTAACGCGCATTTAAACATTTAAATTTCCTCTATGCCTAAGAATTATCGTCAGGAAAGGTTTGAATAAATGTTGTATGAAAATCATTATATACTGCTCAAAAGAATTGTGGCATAGATAATTTATTGCTGAAAATTGACCAACTTTGACTAGCAATTACTTCGCAAAAAATTTGAACTTTATGACGATGCAAACGGCGTCCTCGAAAAAAAATTGTCCACATCCGTACATTCCGTCAAACTTTGCAATTTTTAGTATACCAAATATGCCCTCAGATGTCAGGGGTTACAGGGGAAAGAGTACATCGCATGCAAAAAATGGAGATACATTCTTAAAGTAGGGACTTCAAGCTTCATTTTGAAAAAAAAATCATTAGTCTACAATAATTTTTTGCGAAGTAATCGCCAGTCAAGTAAAGTTGGCAATTTTAACCAAATTTTAGCCAAATTTCGGTAATAAATTATCTATGCCATAATTCTTTTGAGCAGTGTATAATCGTAGAAACTAATTCTTCAAGGATTATTCGTCTTCTACTCAGGCTAGTAGAAAGAACGATAGGTATTCGTAAACTTACCGCATCGCCGTTGACATAGAATGAAGCGTAATTTATCACGAAGACACCGAAAAGAAACACAATGAAGAGAATTTTAAGTACCAAATCTGTTGTGCATCGCGAAATAACCAATGTACCAAGCTGCATATATAATTATTTATCTTATATAATTTTTATGATTTGTGTGTATACGTGTGTGTATGTGTGTATACGCACTATATTTAAATATATTTCGGTTTGTATGAATAAATAGTTCTTCCGTCACAAAGTTGCATTAAAAGAATTCTCTTTATCATGTCATGAGTTTTAAATTATTAATTGCATCTTAAACTATCGTGATTAAAGGAGAAGTCCCTAAATATAATTATTTATATTTATAATATAATTGATTTCATGTTATATATTATGTTTGATACAAATAAGTATAAATAAAAAGAATTTCTTTGAATTTCACTGCAAGTTAGATTGACGGCGTAATAACAGTACCATGAAATCACATACTTGAGACAGAATAAAGGTCAACAGGATACTAAACAACAGAACGAACTGCAATGAAATAAGTTTCGATTGTTGATATGGCCACAAGCCAACTGCGAGCAGAAGAACTCGGTTTAAATTGAGAGATGCTGGAATATGTTGCTTGCTGATCATTCCTTCGCTAGTATCAAAATACATTTGACGTCGAGCAAGTCAAAGAACGTCCCCTCACCCTCCTCTTCTCTTGATCGCGTAATTATCTTATAACTTACTTTTTATTCAACGTATATTATAGCGCGAAATGGCATATTTTTCGAACAATACAAAATGATCGCGAAATATCTCCATGAGACGCATGACATATGCATAACGTATCTCTCCAACGACTAGAGATGCTACATTTGCGATTAGATGAGCAATTTTCCAGAAAAAATATTTCTCCAGATGTTTCTTTCCCATAATAGAGAGCTTTTACGAAATAACTCGTCGTCCGAAAATCGTGCAAGCATTTTCGTATATTCTTATGACTTTACGTGTTTCATTCCAGTGCGAGCTCTCATAGGTGACAGTTATCTCTCTTACTCAGTTTCTGATTGCTGATGTGTCGTTTTTTACAATATTTGTTAATACTCAGAAAGTTTATGTATTTGTGTCTCTTTAACAAGATTAGATAAGACAATTCACTGCACGTCGGAATATATTTTCTTCGACATAGCAATTCCTTTATAATTTAGGATGAAACGTATAAACCAGGTAAGTCCCTCCCAATTGAATATTGATAACTGGGAATAGAAATGAAGAATAATGCGAATTTATTTTAATAACTCTTCGCCCTGCTCAGTCGTTAATGAGCTGCCTTATTGGTAGATACTATTGCCGCGTTGAATAAATAACAGTGAAGTAAGATATCGTGGCGCTCATTAACTGCAATATGACATTTGTTGCATTAATTATCGCGCTTTACACGAAACGATCTATTTCAAAGTGTCGACAACTTTCAGATTATTATTTTGAACTTAAAAACATGAGATATCTGCCATAAATGGAGTATAACATATACACAATCATAATTACTAAAAAAAAAACTTATAGTAATTATCCATAAGGCAACGAATATGTGTTAATGATAAGAATAATAATTACAATAGTAGCGATGCTATTTTTATAGTCTCGACTTGGCACTATTAACGACAATATTTTTAATTATTATAAAATGCTTTTATCAATACTACTTTTTTAAATAACACGGTATTTTGGAATGGAAGACTAGTATTACCCTTTAGCAACATAATACATAATGTTTTCTTACCGATGCGAAGCCTTCTAAGGATCCTACGAAGAGAATGCCAAGCTGCAGATAATAAGGTTTGGTTCCTCTCTGCAGCAGAAACAATATCATCTTCTGCATATGTAAGGGAGTCACGTACCACTGTATATTGTATCTACGAATTGACAATGGAATGAACGATCTGCAAAATCTAAAACTTTTTCACTATACGTAAGTTATAATCTTACGAACTCTACTTCTATTAAAATTCTTCTATTATCCGCGTTCATACATAGTTTGCATGCGATTCTGCGAATATCGCATTTCTTACATAGTGGTGAACACGTGATTGTTGTGATCCGTGACTTCTTGAGCGACATAGTTGGCTAGGAACATATAAGTATATTGAACAAACAAGAAGACAACTTGTATGGTCAGTTCCTCAACATTATGTCCAGATGACAATGTTATAAAGATCTGAAACGCGTTATACATTTCTGTAAGTGTACCTCTGCATTACGTAGTACTGTATATGCGTAGATATTTTCATAATAGACGACGCTCACTTGCATTAAATTGAGACTCATAGAAATCACACCGGCGCCTATCAGTAAGAAGAACCATAAGGCGAACGTGGACATTAATGATTCCGAGAACCTTCAAAACGTAAAAGGATATATTATTGCACTCGACTTATGTGTCTAAATAGATCAATACTAACTGCAAAGTTTTACGATGAATATCTACTGCGTAAACCATCTTTACGTAGGTGAAATTCTTTTTGTGAGGACTAATAGGTCTTGATCCGTTTATTCTCGTCGCATGCTTGATATGATAACTGCAAACAGTTGGAGAAACAATTTAGACGAAGATATGTCGAAATATCGACTATCGATGAAATAAAGCTTCACATCGTAAAAATAAATTATTGTTGGTGTGAATCATACACGCCAATATATATAGCGTATTTTTATCTATTTGTCTACAATAATTTTGGATGAACATAATTTCCCCGCAAATTGTAGACATTGCATCATTTTTTATCACAAACATGTCGTTTTTGTGTGCTTTACCTGACAATTTTGAACATTCCGCAGATATGCAGACCAAATGACAATAGCATTACCCCAGTACTAAGTAGCGTGAGGCTGCTTATAAACATAGCTATGTTGGCATGCAACAGAATTATATAGAAATGCTTCTCTTGGCCAATGAAATATTCGCTTATAAAACGCAGCCTATGTATCGATCGTGTCGTATTTGCGGGCGTAAACATATTGAAAATGCATGGCCACAATTGCAATAGGAAACAAATAGATGATAAGAATATGAAAAGCACTGAAAAAAAGAAAAACATACAAATTTGTTTTATAAAATGCAATTTATTTATTGTTCAAATAATATTGTTCAAAGGTTTTAATGAGCATCGGACTTAAGAATTAGGAATTTGTTAATTGACTGAATGTTGTAACACAAACCGGGCGTTAGGAAGATCATAATGTGTCTTCTCACCTGTGAACACAGTGGTGTAATATTTTGCCTTGTTGCCGTATTTATTCAAAATAGCGGTTTCTCTCTCATCTTTTAACTTGTCATAATTACGCTGAATTTGTTCAATCAGAGATTTCACCTGTCATTTCAACGTTCCATATTCCTTAACTTTTAAAACTAACGTTTAATCTCATAATTCTCTATATCTAAGATTTATCGTTGCAAGAAATTAAAAAAAAGGGAAAACAATCGTTTGTTGTAAAAACTGATTTTTGTCAAACTTTATTCTTCGTATATTAAACGAAAGCAAATGAATGATTGTATACGTTACTCACCGCTTCACTATTAATGTAGAACGAAATATATTTTATCACACTCGTAACGGTGAAAAAAGAGACAAAAAGAATGTTAAGAACAAGATCCGTCGTGCATTGCAAAGTGATAAACACACCTAGCTGCATATACAATTACTTATTTAAAATCATTCTTAGAATAGTATATGTAACATATTTTAATCGTAGCTTATTTTGTGTGTTGTTTAAGTTGCAAAATGTTTAATAAACAAGAAGTTGTGTTTGACAGAATACTTTTTTATCCGACTATCACGTCGTGATTTCTAATTTATTGTTTGCTTCTTAATCTATAATAATTGAGAGAACAGTCCCAAAATGTAATAATCTGCACTTGCAATATGACTGATTTAACAATATTATGTTTAATATGATTGCAAAGATTAGGCATTTTTATGTAGAATATATTGCGCGATATAAATTGATGCGTAATAACAGTATTATGAAACCACCGACATACTTGAGACAAAATATATGTTAACAGGATACCGAAGACAAAAACGAACTGACATCGAACAATCTTTAATCGCTGATAGGGCCACAAACCAAGCACGAGCAGGAGAACTCGATTCAGTTTCAAGTGCGTTTGTATGTACTGCATCATCACTGCTCACTAGATCATCATTGCTCGACTATCAAAACGCGTCTGACGTCAAATAGGTCAAGAAAAGTTCGCTCACCTTCTCTTCTCCTAGTCGGATAAATATTTTATAATTTACCCTTCTTTAGCGTATACTTTATCGCAAATTGGTTAATTTTTTGAGTAATACAAAACGTTCGAGAGATAATACCATGAGAACGTCACACTTGTGTTTTACCAGCATTACCGCTACTATACTCGCAATTCGGCGATCGATTTTCCGAAGAGAGATATTTTTTTCATGTATTTCGTTCCTATAATGTAGGAGCTCTCGCGAAATATCTTGTCCCGCGAACTCATGCAAGCGTATTTGCATATTTTTATAATTTCACGTGTTACAAACTGGAAAAAAGAGAAAAGAAATATATTTTGTGACTTAATTCGCTCTGGTTTCTATATCGTTGTCACGTCCTTAGAATACATTTAATTTCGAAGAAGGAAACAGGGAACGTGAAATATCTTCGGGCATTCTCAAGTTTGAGCATATTAATCCTTAATTGCAAACAACTTATATACACTTCTGAGAAAATAGTGATTTTTATATTATCAATACAATTCTGATTTTTCAAGTATATTTTGATAAATCGAATTCTTTCGAAAATGATACGAATTATTTAAAATAAATATCGAATAATCAACCGATACTTTAGTTAATTTCCGACGTTATGCCAATTGAAAAAAGAAAGAAGAAATAGAGAAAAGAAAGAAAAAAAAAGATTCGAACGATATTATATCGTGCGCTTTTTTACTTGATAATCGCATGTTTCTATCTCGTTGATTGGACTTCAAAGGAGTCTCGCGTATTACGGCTGCAGAATCGATCCATTCGTTCGTTCCGCCCGATTTGCGCAAGTCGTGATTTCCTAATAAAGAAGACGCGTCAGATCGCAGTCCGGCGAATTTCGCGCAAACGCATGCGACAAACGGCGATCCTGGTGACAGGAGGGCGGCTCTATCAGGATTGCATCCTTCGTGAGCAAGTCCTGTCGCGGGGGTGCGCAAACCCCGTGCGCGCGACCCTGCACGGTGGCGACCTGTCCGCCTCCATGCGTCCTTGATCCGGAAATATGCTTCGCGTTTGAGGCAATTACGGGCATTAGCGTGGGCGCCGCTGCGGCTTTAATTTGACTGCGCCTCGCCCCCGGTCGGAGTGCTTTTGAACTCGCTAAATGCGGTTATATTCGCCGTTCATCGCCGTCGTCGATATTAAACGGCGGACAGTGTGTCTAATGCATTTCACACTGCTTATTTGGCACACGTGAGATAACGATGTAATGTTGCGTAACGAAATTTATTTTGCGTTAATGTGAAAACCAATGGAATGTAAAGCTCAATGTTACGGAAAGTAAACTGGAAGGAAACCTGTAACATCACTTTTTATAAAATAACTGAGTATAATTATTCACACCTACACATGTTCGAATTTTTCGTTTTTACCCGTCCGGAACAAATCTCAATATCGTCATACGTAAATGTAGTTAAATTTAATTTCAATTTAATTGGGAAATTTGGGAGAGGGCGATAGGGGTGTGTGTATTCCTGGAAAGATAGAAAGTTATACTACAGTATATAGTACATATCAATATAATATTGGGTTAAATATTATGTGTGTGAACGTATTTCGATGCAGGAAAACTGTACGCGTGAGGAATAACTTTTGACTTTCGCTTGGGGATGATAGCCGTGGCTTGAACTCTATCCGAAAAGGCTGACGCACCATCTACGTCATCTTTACTTGTGCCAGGGATGGATTAAACGATACCTAGCAGCATCTGGATTTGCAATCAATAATACCCATATATCACGAGAGAATATTATGTCCCGAAAGAATTCTATGATCCTTCGAAAATCTCCATGTCTGAATAATATTGGCTCAAATTCTGAGACAAGTAAATCTCCTATGAAACTTGCTCCGAGCAATGTATATTTAGAAGTTCCGTTCTAAATTCTCCAATTTAATTTGTCTCTCTTTCCCTTTGCCTTAAGAAATTAAGAAAATAAAAGAATCTTTGTTGCGGCAGAATTTTTATATGATAAAATTGAGTAACTTTGTGCTAGCAACATGCACAAAAATCTCTCCTGCCGTAGATTGTGTCTCAGTCGCAAAAATAACTCGTATATAACTCGCAAATAACGTAGAGATCATTCAAGACATAAATTCGAAGAAATTATATCCGTCCCTGCCGCTTCTGTGACGCCAAAACTGACGACACTCTGGCCGCGTTACGTCATCGTCCCCATCGTGTTACGTAACATTACTTCGTCATAACCGATTTCGTCGTCATTTATACACGACGTTACGTGTCGTGACGTTGCGAAGATGGGATGCTTCGTATGCTAGGATCGCAGGATTTTCCAGGAGCATACCCCGTTTTCCCTGCCTCGCTCCCTCGTCGTCAAGGGCTACGCACCCTCGTATTACATTATCTTATGATCGTAAGTAGTGATACGGATAGGGATGTTCTCCCTTATTTATACGTATATATATCTATGCAGAAATTGTCACGTAGACATTATTTTATTTCCATAAAGTTGGTGTCCTGATTAAAAGAACAAACTAAAAGACTAAAAATAAAAAAAATATTTCTCTTAAGAATTCTCTTAAGATTTCTAGATGTAAACTTTAATGTAAAATAAGATGAAATATATTAAGAGACCTTCGAATAGTAAAATATCGAGAAGTTGAATGATTTATTTTTATTTATTTCTTCGTTCATCTATCTTTTACAAGAATAATTTGGACTTGTTACACATGTATATGTACATGTCTGTGATTTTGTTAAATGAAAGAATATTTAGGCTCTGGTGCGCGAATATGATCGAAAACACTTGAATCGGGTTCATCGTCAGGATCAAATTCCACATCCGTTGGATCTATCGTAGGGGGTGGCTTTGGAATTCTGGGTTTCGCGATTGGTGCCGGTTGCATCAGACAGGCTTCTGCTTTTTCCCTTACAAGTTTTTTCCCACACTTCGCGTTTATTATTGTCGCCGTCTCTCCCGCATATTTCATTATAGATTCTATATTCTCCTCGTATTCTCGAAGCTACGTTCAGCGTAGTAAGGAAGTTATTAGTATAGTAAGTAAATAATAATAATAAGATTCATGTGTAAAGTTCAATTTACAATTATATCATCATACAAAATGAATACAAAAAAAGTGTTGATGGATTTCTTAAAAATGTGGTTGATTCAGTTTTATAGTAACATTTGCAAACACGTAGATTTATAACATACCGAAGATAATAGAAAACAATAGCTGTTACTCGGTAGAATGAAAATAAATTAGTTTTAATAAAATTACTTAGTCTATTTTTATATCACGAAATCCATCAAAACTTTTGCACTCATCCAATATACAAAGTTCTCTTTTTAATACACAATTGACATTTAAAAAAATATTACATATTCGTAAAATAAAAAGTAATTATGATAATAGAGAAAGAAAGATATGTATATTTTACATTTCATATTTATATATTCATTGCCAAGTTTGAAGTTATAATTACAAAAAGGTCGCGCGAGTTTACTGAAAAAATAACGCTCACATCTCGCTCGACAACCTCTTCACGATCTTTCGGATGAACATTTAATTTGAAGCCCATAACCATTGGCGAAAAATCACTCGAGATGAGATCATGCTCACTCCCGGTAACGACGTTGTATCGGCGATTTAGGAGTCTCAGTCTGCACGTTTCAGAGTCCACATCGAGAACGAGTATCCTGAACATATTTTTGAAAATAGCTTCGGTTACTACTGGAGATTTTTAAAATTATTGTAAACATTCATCGGATGATACCTGTTAGGAGGTGTAGGAATCATATCTAACAACTTGAAGTCCTCTACAGTTATAGGATAGCCAGTCAAAATCCATCCTCTCTTGAGACATTCGGATCCAAGTACGTATTTCTGAAAGTACCAGTGAACAATCGTAGAACGATGGACAATCGATAGAACGTTGAAACTGAACTTGAAACATTAAACACGTATAATTTCGAGTAATCAAATAAATACAAGGTATCTAAATATTTAGAGAAATATTTAGAGAAAAATTAGGGAAAAGTTAACATGGAATTACTCGTTACTATTTTATTTCAATATTCAAGAAGCTACCAAAAAAGACGTTATTTTATTGATGATGTACCTCGATGATTTGTATTTTTATCTTTGGTATTGGTCCGCATTTATGGTCGCATATTCGCAGAATTTCATCTAGAGCCGACTCTCGCAAACACGTCTGCTTCAGGATATAATTAAAGTCGACTGCAAGGATATGGAATTTATCCGGTAAAAATTTGTACAATATATGTATCCAGAAAGATATCAATTAATTATTAATTATGGAATTACCGTGCACAAGATTAAATTTCGCAGATATATGCTTCGCTAAGGAGCGACAACCTGAACCTCGAGGACCTATGAGAACGATGCGAAAGAGCGATGGTGCACCGTAGTGTTTTCTAATTTTCGTCCGTTGCACACAATCCATAGCCAATTCTCGAATCGTTCTATTACCAGCCTGCACTTCCTGAAGAGAAATTATTCGTTGATCTAATATTTCGAAAAATTTACTTAGTTCAATGTAAAGTAAAACATTGTCTTCGGTTTCCCACGAAAGAAATTGCAAGAATCAACCTACAATTAAAAGATCGGCGTAAGCTTCACGTAGACCTCGAAGAATTCTCTCATATTCGAGTTGTTCCTTATTCTTCAACAACAAGCGTGATTTGTGAGGAGTTTGGTCACACTTGCCAGCCTTTTCTGAACGAAGGAAAAATTATCATTTATTATTAATTCATAATTAACAGTCAAGACTTAATATTTATTCCTGTTGATATTTCTTCAAGAGAAAAATATGGAAAACTGACAACATCAATGTCATCTTTTTAAAAATGAGAACAGATCGAAATAAATCGTATTGGAATCACTTTTCTCATCTTCAGTTTTCGGTAATACGATTTGTATGACATGAGTTGGTATCACACCGACGCGTTGCAACGCCCGTGCTTCTTTTTTGCTTCTCGGTATGTCTGTATGAAGAAAAGAATTATTCAAACATCTCTCACAATAAATCGAAAGCCATTTCATTCGACAGAATAAACATTTTTCCAATTCAAGTATACAGAATTACCGACTAACGCCCATCCGGTCTCGTGAAGTATCCCCGACATCAAAGTTTCCTTCAATCTCATTACGATCTCATCGCCGTTGAAGCATTGAGACATTTTCTTTTGAAATATACGGTTTTTATTGAGGCACATCCAATATCCAAGTATATGACAAAATTAAAATAAATGTACGATTTTTTACGGTTTCTTAAAAAATTGTTCAATAATAAACGTACTTCGGTGGATGATGAGGCGCAAAGATCTTCTAAAGTGATAGGACGAACACCTATTTCTTCCTGAAGAACATTCGCGAGAGCCATTCTGTCTGCGCATTAGCAGAAATAGTTTTATTTCATTTATTTTGAAAAAAAGAAAGATATACACTTATATTTTGGGAATATTCTCAGAATATATAATTTTTTCATTCTTTCCCCATGCTTAGCACGTTTTACGAATATATTATAAATATTAGTGGGAACAAATATATAATATAATGTTCTATCACAAAGATATTTTCATAATTACTAATATACTAATATATCAGTCGTATGCGCTTTTTGATGAATTACCGAAGCTTGGAGGAGCTATAAGTATAACTCTGGGAATATCTCGTTTTCGTAAGGCATGTTGAATACATTGTTTCATAAACACCACAGGATCTTCTGGTTGCTGGATAAGTAACTGCGTTACTAATTCCTACGGATGTTATATTTCCATAAGAATATAGAATTTTGACAAAAGAATGGAAATAACATAATATATAACAGTATATAACTTAAATAACATATAATATTAACGAAATATATTCCCGGACAAATAATTAACATAACGTGATCTTATTACGTAAAAGAATTCATATAATCTGTATTTTTCCATATAAGGCACAAAATCCAAAGGAATGGTCAACGGTCTTCTTGTTATTCCTTCAAAATCGGACATTCTCGCACTGTATATCGTTGATTAATATTAGGTTAATTAATATTCGTTATGACTCGTTTTTTTATTTTATATTCAAGTAATATGCGATTTTCAATTGTATATTGCCGAGAATCATTTTTCTTTATCATATTATATAACAAATTATATTACAAATTTTGCATTTGAATTCTTGCAATATTTAGTTCAACATACAATTCACCGATATGTTATTATTTTTTCACAATAAAAGCCATTAATATTAAATTATACGAGTGACATTTAAAATTAAAAATTTCCACAGTTTGCCATCAAATTGCATTGCATGGATATACATTTATACATAGAAGCGCTGTTTCGTATTCTTGCCGCATGAGGTCACTAAAGTCAGTTTACGGTTTGCTCTTGGCTGTTGTAGATTCTTAACCTCGCTTATTTACTCATAGGAGAAAAGAGTAGCATTGAATTACATTATTTAACTAATCAGACAGTTTTTCTTAATATTTCTGTCTATTATCTAGGATTGTAGTGCCGGATTAAAGAGCGGGAGTAATTCTTGCCAGTCTTCTCTTATTATTTGTATGTGACATTAGATTAGCGATAAATTGTCTTCCCTTCCTATACCATTCCCTTATAACGAAACGAATTTCTAACATTTTCTGTTTATAAAAACGGATAGAAATAGAATTCCTTCTGTTTATTTCACAAAACCACGTGAGAAACTCAGCCACAAAGTGACATTCGTCTAGCTTTACACCTATCAAAAAATGAATAGAGGTATATTTTCATTATATCAAATGTCAAATGATTTCTTTACGCTTCCGACATATATTCACACTAGATCAAAATCTAAAACAATGAATATACAATTCATTTCTATGAATATATAATTAACTGTTTCCACATTTTAGAGTAGTATTATCACGATTATTTGTTAATCACAGTTAGATAATGAAGAATGTTGTATGTATGTTGTAGCTAAGAGGAAGTTATCTCAGACTGTTGAAAACACAAGAAAGAAGAATGTGGACACCTTTCCATTTCACAGTCAACCTGGTCCAAGCAGACAAATTGTAGATATATCACAACTTGACGATGAAGATATCATACATAAAAAACAGTCACATAGTTCAAGAGACATATCGACACAGAAAATACAGGAGGAAGAAGACATGCAAATAATTAGTAGAGTAATAAAATATCTACTCATGGCAAATGGAACAAAACATCCAATACCAAAGACCCATATTATTAAACACATACTGGGTAGTACATACTCTAAGAAATATCTTCAAATCATGAAAGAAGTAGAGTCACAATTATCCAAGGTATGTTTAATTATCCTGCAAAGAAAATTATTTACAAAATCAAGTTATATTTGAATTTGTAAGATTTGAAAAGATCCTTTACAGATATTTGGATACAAATTGCTGCTGGTTGAAGAAAATAAATATATAATGGTGAATGAGATAAGCAATCATCTTCCACATCTCAATTTCAAAAAAAGCACACAAATTTTGTTGTTTCTTATACTTGTACATATTTTCATGTTTGGTGAATCTTCGAAAGAAGGTAATTTTATTTACCTGAAGATCTTGTTTGTTCCTTGCTGCAAACAATATTAATATTCACTAAAGTTTGATAAATAACTTTATTTAATTAAAAATGAGAGATGGTGCACAAATTTCACATAATAATAGTTGAAATGTTTTCTCAGAGATATTGTGGGACTTTCTTCGCAATCTAGGCATCATAACTCGCGACAACTATATACACGAGTACTTTGGTGATGTTAAGCAGTTGGTGACAGTTGTGAGTGACAGCTCAAATCCAAGACATGTAATTGATACAAAGCATACTCAATGGTATTTACATTTTTGTACAGGACTTTGTAAACCAGAGGTATCTACAGAAAGTAATGATAGATAAAAATGATTCGACAAAGATCGAGTACAAGTGGGGTTGTCGTGCACTGAATGAGGTCACATACCGTTCTGCTTTGGAGTTTGTTGCAAATGTAAATAACATTTTATTATATTTCATGATATATCTATTTCTACTTATTTATTTTATTAATTTATCAGTTTTTATTATTGTTATATGTACATGCAATTTCACCATATATGTGCATATTGCAAAATTCAAAAATATCAATTTCAATACTTAAAAATATTTCTTGCAAAATGAGAATATATTATAACTATTTATAAATAGTTGATAAAAATAAGAATATATCGGTTGCAGATATATGATGTATCTTCTGTGGACAAGTGGAAGTTGCAGTACAAAGCTGTGATGGATCAAGAACAAAAAACAAAAGTACGACAATCATAAAAGACTGCCAGCATTCGAAGAACATCGCGTATAATATTATTCCAGTGAACGTATGTATTTGTTACTTTATGTTTAATCGCGAAAGCATCGTGAAAAACTTCACAACAGCGCGAAAGCGTGTTACTTATAAAATATGTGTTGTAAGAATTTATATATTAATAGATTTTCGTATGATGCAAGTGTTCAGTTGATATCTCGACGCAATGAAAATTAAACAACTTCGTATAAAAAGTCTAATTTACAAGTGTTTACCACATATCACATGCAGTATATCCCACTCAGCACTGAATCCTGTGTCCCTTGGAGCGAACGTTAATTAAACCACGTTATATACTTTTGGGTCGATCTATTTACATTCACTCCAACAGATTCCCCGTCCCTGAAAGAGCAGCCTTAAAGCTGCAAGGGATTAGAATTCATGCGAGGTCTCAAGTTCAAGCGAAAGTGCGGAATAATTCGAATCACGTCCATTAGCACGAGTCGCACGTGTTTTAATCTGTTATTTTCTACTTTCGCGGAAATATCTTGACCTCAATTCATGCAACGGATATCTGGATGTTTACGTATATAACAGATAGATCTTTCGCATGGTAATTACATTATTTTACTGGTTGCAACGAGCAATAATTTTAATTTATGTGAATCAATATCGAAATTAGACGAAAATTGTTTCATCCCTGACAACCCGTTTCTCAGGCCTGCGACAATTCTACAGATTCAAACACGATTATCTTCACAATCGTTCTCAAGATCGTTATCGCGATCGTTCCCGCAGAACTTGGTTGGTTCAGATCCGCCTCGAGCTACCTTCTAACCGCGGCAAGAAACACTTTTACAAATTCCAGTCGATTCTTCCTACATTCGCACGGACAGAATGCAGAAAATAAAATCAGTGTGTTTCAGGTGAATCTCTGAGAATCCTATTCGGCCGGCGAGTAGTCAAATTTCCCCCGGACGGAGTTACTGGGCCACGTCCGTACATTTACCTCAGCTTTTACGCCCTTATGCAAGCAACGGCGAGAAGCAGCACAGGGAGGAGGGTGATTGCGTGCGCGACCCTTCATGTTCGCGCGTCTCACCGCGCCGCACCGCCGAACGGAATCTGTGTCGCGCCAGGTCGGTCGCGGTCGCCTGGATCGGCGGCGCGCCACTCCTGTCAGTGTCCACCCAGCCTCGCTGCTCGGCGGCCGCCGAGCGCCGCTCGCTCGCCTACGCGTGTCTGCCTCGTAGGTCGTCGTCGTCGTCGTCGTCGTCATCGTTGCCGTCGTCACTACCACCACTACTACCATCATCACCACCAACACTACCACCGTCATCGTCGCGTCGCCACGCGACGCGTCGCGATTCTCATCGCGGCGAAGCCACCACGCGTGCATGCGAATTCGCGTCTTCGCGCGCGCCCCGTGCAACAACACACTGCCCCGCTGTTCGAGTACGCGGTCGATAGCTCGGGGAAACTCCGACTTTTGAGTACGTTGCACTTTCCCCGCGGGGAAATACGGGACTAGGACCGTTGGTAGCGGCGCGGTTTTCATCTTTTAGGCGGAACACAGCGACCCGATTTTCTTATCTTGCGACGGATACGCGGTGGTTTTCCTTTTTCTTTTATTTAACGAGTGTCACGCGTATAAATGGTATGTTGTTTTTTTTTATTCACGTGTAGACACGAATTTCTTTTTACACGTGTGAGAGGAGTATGTATCTTATTAGAAATATCAGTCGCATACAGGCAGGAAAGACCGCGCGAGTGCAGGTGGTTATGATATTTTTCGCTCGCGATTTTCCCTCGGTATCGATTGCTCCGTGGATATCGATTATAGGTCGCGCGACGTTCATTTCGGGGGACGCGCCCTTTCGACGCGTCGCATAGATTGTCATTCGAAAGAATTATTGGAAATTTCCTCTCAGAACTTCAGCGATATCTCATTTCCGCTTGTCACTTTTGTAAAGCATTGCTTCGAGAAATTGGCATACATAGAATTTCGTTGAAGGGTACCGTTCGTGTATTTGAACTATTGACCGACGGTGTATATCGCGCGCTCGTTGCCGAGTAACGCACAGTGATGCTCCCGATACTTCGTTACTGTCGAAATATACCTCTTCTTGTGAATAATGATCGAAGAACCTATATTGTGTGTCTGTACATAACATTTTGTATAAACGTTGGCATCAATTGATTCATTGTACTTATTGAATATTTATGACTTTATGACTTTGCAAATACGTATTTTTGAGCGCATTTGAAAAATTTTACTCGTTTCGTATATAATATATATAATTATAATATCTTAATTACATATACGATTTTTTCTGACCTACGATTGCGATCTTTCTTCCTGCTTAAAAAAAATAAAAAACGTTGTTTTGCAAAAATAAAGTGTCTTCGGGTTTTTCTTAATAATGTTATAACTATGAAAGATACGAGTAAACGAATTTTTCACACGCGATCATGCTGTTATGTAACGAAATGGTTTCGTGTCCTTTTAGATTTAAACGTCCCTAATAGCGCAGCGCGCGCAGAAATTTTGACGACTAACGATTCTGCGGACCAACCGATCGTCTGTGATATTTCGAGGAGAATCTCGTTGAGTACTTTCACGAGAGAACTCGACACATCGAAGCGCGCGACTTCGCTAAGGGTAAGTTGGAAAATTAATATGAATCAGTCATTGTCGATCATCAGCGCTCGATTGTTGCTGATACAAATCACGCTAATAATAATTAAGTTTCAATAAAATGGTTGATATCGAGTTGATATTTTATAATAATAGCTTTGGATATGTATATATGTGTTAATAAAATTGATGGACAGTAGAGAGAAAGAGAGAGAGAGAGAGAGAGAGAGAAAGAGAGAGAGAGAGAGCGAGAGAGAGAAAGAGAGAGAGAGCGAGAGAGAGAGAGAGAGATAGAAGCATAATGTGTGAACAATTGCGTCAGCAGAATTGACGATTTTAATTAATAAGTTGGTCCTCATTATTTCATAGAACTTACTTTGCTATCGGTATTACCGTTAATTATTAATTATAATATTTTTATATCTATGGATAAAAGTAATATTAATTTCCGGATAAAAAACTAAATTTCAGAGTAGGGCGAATGGGAGATTTTTGACAGGGTTTATAGCCGAAGTAAATAGCTCAGTCTCCACTTGTTGTGACGCGATGTGTCGCGCGATCGATATGCTTTCCGGACGACTGTAAAAGTTTGATGGAGAGCACTTTCTTGTAGAACTGTCGCGTTAACACAATTTCGTCCTAAATACGGTTACAAGTTTAAGTCGCTCTTCGTGTATGAGGCATTACGCGCGAAAGTCCGTAAGAAGATGTCATGAGTGACAGACAGTCGCGAGGGAAAATGTCAATTCGCGGCTACCTGGCACTCTCGAAATTGAAAATACCTTCCTGCCCTAGTAGCCGTATCACTTTTCTTTCTGTTCGTCGTAGCAGGATTTTAAGAGCCGCGACCTCGATATTTCGCGCCGCGAAACATGCTGCATGCGCTGACAAATGATCGGACGTTGAGGAACGACGCGTTTATTCGCTCCTGTTATCGATTCGGAATCGTGAAAGCGGTATTAATAGCGAGGATTCCCGGCGCTTAATAATGCATCCCCGTGTATCTATCGCGACTTGGACTCATAATAATTTGTTTCGATTGAAATGAGACCGATAGGGCAAAAGGTCAGTGGAAAAAATCTAAGATCCCATCCCAAGAACTCAAAAGAGACGCTTTATCGGCGAAACGTTTCGGAGAGCTAATTAAGAAAGTTTTTCTTTCTACTCTCTCTCTCTCTCTCTCTCTCTCTCTCTGTCTCTCGTTTTTCCTTTGTCGAGGTAAACGCTGACGATTACAAAGTCGGAAGGCATGATGTTCCTTTTCTCTCTCCACATCGTCGAAATGGAGACGACCGTCTCGTGAAGAACGACGGAACAAATAAATTAATTATCTGAGAAAGAATACCCTCGAATCTGACACTTAAAACAATCTTCTATGGACACAGTCTGAATGATTGCACGAGTTATCGAATCGAGAAGGTTTTTCTTCCTCAAACATCTCTTTGCATTTCCGAAGAATAAAAAAACAGCCACGCCTTCCACCTTTAATCGTAGCTCGGACGAAGCTCGCGAAAGAGACGTTTGAATGACATCCAATTAGAAGCCGTTATTGATCGTTATGAACCGGAACGGCATTACTCGAAAGAACCACAAAACCACCACGACAAAAATCTCTCTCCTTCTCGATATTTACACATTGAATCAAAACGTTACGCGAGGACACTGTCGAAATAGCTGGAAATTAATAGGTCCCAACGAGCGTGGTTCGCGAAGTTACAAAGTCGCGAGGAAGTAGGTTGCTCTAAAATAAACGCGAACGGCTGAAAAGGGATTTCAGACTCGCAGGGGACCAAAGCAACCGAGCTGACAACATTGCCGTTTCGCGCTCGAACCTGCACGACCAAGCGACACGATGTTCAACCTCTACCAGAGCCTAAACAAGAAGGATGACAACGACGGGCCAAAGGGCCGCGAGTCGGAGGTGACCGGTCATGACCGGTTCTGTCAACACCGCAATGGCAGTTCGAGCAGCCGTCGACGACGTCGCGCCGTCAGCCGCAGGACCCAGAGTGCCACTGAATTAAACGCCAGGGCGATGATGTCGGCGCGGGGCTCACTGCGACGCGGCCGCAGCGTGAGCACCGAAGACGACGAGAGCGAGGACGACAAGGGTCATCAGCTGGCGAACAAGCTCGACAACCTGGCGAAGTTGCTCTTTAGCCGGGTGTCGGCGGCGCGAGGATACAAGGACCAGGGTGACGTCAAGTGGGTATAAGAAAAGTGAACACGCGCGTATACACTCCGGTAGTTTCAAGCCCGCGATTGGGAAAGCTCGGGCTAGGCTTGGAGTTAACAACTAGCCGTGCGATCGCCAAGTTGGTCTCTGACGAGGTTTCCGTTAAGATCAGGGGCTCTCGAAACAAATACAGTGGCGTATAGGATAAGTTTAAAACTAGCTGTATAGTTTACAATCTGATTGGGCTGAGTGTAGAGTCTCGGGCGCCTGACCTATAAAATGAAAAGTTGTAAGTGGAGAATTGCTGAAGAATTGAGTCATGTGATTAGAAAGTTGTAGAACCATAGACCTGCGGAGACCAACTCTTAGGATCGCAGAGCCGCCGAATTATAGAGTCATATGCTGGGGATATGGGGGGAGCCAACTTTCCGGAAACTTAGGAAGAACTTCGCCGACGAAAGAAGCAACGTCGACGGGTGGAATGCAAATCAGTCCTAACGTTTTATTCCTGTAGAAAGCGAATCGTGCGGCGATCAAGTTTATATCTTCTGGAGAATCGCGTGCAGCGAGTCATGCATCGTTCCTCCGGATTTGCATCGGTTTATTACTTGTTGCGTCACAGGGAGGAATCTCGTCGAACGTCGACGTCGCCGTTTGGACGACGATTTTCCACCTTCGATCGCCCCGTTTATTCGCGAATATTACCGTGCCCTGTCAAATCGTTTACCGCAGCACGCGGTTATTCGCGATACGCGTCTTCGAGTATACGCCGGCCTCTGTTTGTAAACCGAGAACAGACCTGTCGTGAGCCGCTGGGAGTTCAACACGCTGCGCCTTCGCGAATGTCCGCTTTATCTCCTTCATCTTCGCGAGTTCATCGACACGTGATCGTTATATGATAGTCGCGAAAGTATTCGGTGTCGATATAATGGACCCGGAGCACCGAGATCCCTCGACGGAAATCCATCCCCGGATGGACGGAAACTTCCGAGTCGCTGTGCGCAGGTAATGACATACACAAAAGTACAGAATGTCTCGGAGTCTCTTCGTCGGGATTTTCTCTGTAATCAACTTGAGACAGAGATCTGGAATTGGATATGCGATTTAAAAAATAACAAAATCACGGAACTATAGTTGCAGAAAAGAGATATAGAACAGTCGCAGAGTAAAAGAATCACACGATTGTGAAGTCATAAATTCGAGGAGAGACAACTGTAGAGTCATGAAACCACGAAATTTTAGTTTAGAGTTACAGAGTTGTATAGTTTATAGTTACATGATCATGTGGTTGTAAAGTATACCGCATCAATAAGAAGCCTCGGTTCATATCGACCGAATAAGAGACCAGATGAAAATTCGGTGACCAGAAACGGTATTTTTTCCGTCATCCGAAAACATTCGTTTGAACGCTCGGTTGCATTAAAACTCGGTTGAGATAACTGAGAGCAATTAGTCGAACAGAAACCTCCTGCGGGGATCCTTGTGTCCCTACACAAACCTCCTGCGGGGATCCTTGTGTCCCTACACAAACGAGTTTCTCCTCTGATCTCTATTCTCCTCAGAAAAATTCAGTTACACTAACAAAATTATTTCTCTTTCGTGTGAGAAGGACGGTTCCGGATTTTCCAGAGTTCCAGAATTGTACACGGAGAGAAAAAGTTCTGGTTGTCGCTAACGTGCATTTTAATGACAACGAATGTACTAAATCCGTAATGTCTTAGTCCGTTCATTGTTACGTTAATTCAACCGATCTTCTTTCCCCGTGTATGATCGTAAAATCATAGTCGCAGGAAGTCGTTCGTCACTCTCCGTCGTCTGCTGATGAAGAGCAACGACGGCGATGTTTTCTGGAACATTCTGTATAGATCACCGCGATAGTCACGCTAATTCGATTATCTCGTAGTGGCGTAAGCCGCGTAAAGCTTGACTATAAATGTATTACGACGTACGGTTGTTGTGTATAGTTCTTTTTATTGGATGAAATCCCTTGCAGTCGTAGAGCAACGTGGCGGATTAGTGGCACACGACCGCAGCGTAATCCGTGGCTCGCGAATCTAATCCACTTTTGGGGCCGTTCGCGACACAATGATAATGCACAGGAAATGTACGGGCGAACGGTATCGACCACGCGGAACTGTGCGGTATCTTTCGACAGGTAGAACGTCTCTTATGTATTATGTACGAGGTGCATAAAGAACGATGTCGCATTCTTGGGTCATATTGGGAGGATCCTATTCGGGGAAAAATGCACGCATGTCGATGAAGTTTTCATCGATGAACAACCGGCGACACTACTTTTAGATTTAACGACATGGATCATTATGCGCGGCTGCTGCATTTGAAATCGATTTTTCCTCGGCGAAAACGTCGAGGTTTCGTGTCGTGGCGGCAAGAACGAGAAGAAGCATTAGCAGCTTTTCGCGGGCTAAACTCGGAGGGAACCGGTAGATAACGAAATCGTATCCCTCCCCAGTTAATTTCAAGTGGATCTCACTTTGATGGGATCTTAATCTGAAGATTAACTGCGAAGATACGTAATGTTGGGAGTTAGAGAGTGATGATGAGCGATGATCCTCTTCGATATTTTCGCTGGAAAAGGATCGATTTCAGATTACTCGATGAATTCAACATTGAAACTTCGAAGAACGGGATTGTAAAGTGGAATCGAAGGGTGAATTTTCACTCTACTCTTGCCATTACCTTCGTATTTATATTGTAAATGAGATCGCGCGCGAATATCCGACAGGAACGGCCGTTACACGGCACTGAATCACGGGTCGAAGGTAGCCGAGGACGGGGTCGAGTATGTGGAGATGGAGAAGAGATCCAGAGATCGTGCTTTATCAATCTGCCGGGATTACATCGAGAAAACGCCGCGTTTCGCCCTCATCAAGCAACTCAATAACATCGGTGAGCCGACACCCACTCTTGATTCTGTCCGCTCGAAACGAAAGCCGCTCAAGTGCCACACTGAGACCCGCCGGGTGTCCTGAAACTGTCACGTTTCCCTCCAACCGCGAAATCCCACAGCGAAACTCTAACATAACCGAAAGAAAATAATAGAAACAGTAAAATGGTACATAAATCAATAATAAAGAAGATGCAGGAATACAAAATAATGAACAGGCAGAGGAAATGGCTCGATCGAGCAATGAAGATCAAAGATCAATAATTCTGCTTATGCTATTTTCTGTTAAGGGATTTCTTTGGTATTTTCACTTCTTGTTATTCAGTTTTTCTACATTGACAATTGCTTAAAAAAGTCGTCATTATGATGCATTCTAACAGGAAAAAAATTTTTATCTACGTACATGCTAATGAAACTAATGAAACTTTTTATTAATAAAAAGCTAGAAGATAAAAGATATGTACCTTAGGATCAAGGATGGACAAGTACTGGTTCATGGTGAGGGATACATCGCTGAAGACCGACAGGCTGCTGACTCTGGTGCCGTTGAATATGAATTGCCCGCTGAGTGTGTGCCCGTCCACCAAGGATATTCTAAACCACCTGTTTTTAGCCTTGCAACACCCCTATATCTGCCCTGTGTTCACTGTCGATTTCGTCGAGTACGAGGACCAAACGTACATAGTTTTGGTGCAGCCGATCAATCAAGGTAGCCTCAAGGATCTGGTATACAACGTGAGTACTTTATTCCCAACGTGGATGCGGCTTCTCCTTCGCGAGATATTGAAGAACACATACATCTCCCAAGTCGTAGTCGTTTCTTCATTAGTGAGTGATTCGAGCGGTACTATCTTCCTCTTTTTACTTCTCTTCATCTTCATCAAGTATCATTAAACATCCTGGCAATTAAACGTCAGAGTGAAGTTCTCTCCGTTCTAGTAAAGTCTGTTTAGAATTAAATGAGAATCGAGATCCTGCCATTTATTCGCAACCATGTAAATTAATTCATGCTATTTATTTTTCGCCGCTCACTCACAATAACCCGGGAAGCTAGCTGGGATTGTAGCTCTTCGATGTTTCGTTTATTGACCCCTGAGAAAAGAGGAATATCCTGAGAATATATATATATATATATATATCTATATATATATATACAGGGTGTTTCAGGAGGTTATAGTATGGACCATTTTGAGTAAAAAAGTTTATATTAACATGCGTCCAATTATCAATAGGTATGGAGTTACAGCCGTTTGAATGTTAAGCATCAACGAAATCTGCCACAAATGAATAAAAATATAAAAATGAATTATTTTTGCAAAAAACTTACAATAATTAATGAAGACCACATGAGGAACTTTCTGGTGAAATTCGTGATTCACAATCAGTCGAATAATTCACAGCAGTTCAAAGTATATTTTCAAAAATCCCACCACCGTCTTCAATGCACTTTTCAGCTCTCTGTGCAACAGAATGTGTAGCTCGTCTGAGAACTGTGCGCGGCTATTTCAAAGGTCAAACGGCTGTAACTCCACACCTATTTTGGAAAATTGGACACATGTTAATATGAACTTTTTTACTCAAAATGGTCCATACTATAACCTTCTGAAATATGTACCTTTCCTCCTGAAACACCCTATATATATCATGTGTCGTTCGACAGGTCGAGCGAAATTGCTGGAATGAAGACTGGAGTCACAAGTACGCGTCGCGAGGCAAAGGACTGACCTTACCGCAGGTGCAACGAATGGGACGTCAGATATTGGAAGCGCTGATTTTCCTGAAGGAACGCGGATTCCCCACGGTGACGCATTTGCATTCGGGAAACGTGGTGATCCAGAACGGCGTCGCGAGGCTAGCCGGCTTGGAGAATACTCTTCTGGGCTTCACCAGCCGCATACATCCCATCGTCACGTCCCGATTAACGCAGTCCAGCTCGATCGATATCATATGTTTCGGTGGGTTCGCGGAAAGTTTTTAATAGAATTTTTGATTGCTTCCTTCGCTGTAGGAAATTTTCTGTCAGTACACGCCGTTTTTAATTGGATTTTAAATCGCTTCCGTAGTACATTATATTTCCGGTAAAAATATAATTACCATTCCACAAATTTTCTTTTTTTCTCTTGCTGTGAGTTTTATAAATTCGATTATCCAGAATTCCATTTTGTCCGCAGTAATTTTTTAAATATATTTCGCGAAGAGAAGAAAGACTCGTCGCATGAGTTTAAAATTCATCGAATATATAATTGTTGCTTTTTGTGACTGATTTCACACAGATATTTTACCATATCTTTCTCTCTTTCTCTCTCTCTTTACTCGTACACATATCTCAACAATATTCTGTTTTATGTCAGGACATATGCTGTTTGAAATGTGCGCCGGCTACGAGCTGTGCACCTTCAGACCATCTGCCGTCCAGTTGTCAGACATCGAGATGTATCCGCAGGTATCGATCAACCACGATCACGTTGCGTTCCATAATTGTCTTGCAATCAATTCATCCACACTTGAATCTTGCAGGTAGTGAGATTTCTGGAATTAATATTCGCGGAATCAGACAATCACTTCACCAGCATAGAAGAGCTGCTTATCCACGATCTCTTCAGGAACATCGACTTACGCGAAATGCGATGTGCGGCTGTAACGGTAAGTTACGGTGAAAAATGCACTTCGCACGAATCGTCGCTTTCGATTTTCCGCATTTATAATGCGATTTTATTGCGATTATATCATATGATCCATTTTCATATTGCGATTTCGTTTCAGGTATTTCGTCCAACGCTGACACCCTCCATAATAAGCCTGCTCGATGGCATTAAACGGCAAGACGCTGGTAAAAGGTGGGTTCCCTCTCGGTTCCACTAACAATAAATTGCTGTATAATATAATCAAGTATAATATGAGCGTCCGTATCTGTTCGTACGGATTCGGTTGACGTACTCGCAAATAATTTGTTTTGCATGCGCAGCTGGCATAAGACACGCTCTATAAGCGATGTCCATTTAACGCGCAGATTTTGGTAATAAATGATCAATCACTTAATTTCGTTGATTAATGAACATACAAGTTTACGTAGTGATGCGTAGAAACGGTCGAGTATTCAATTGCGCTCCTTCTTGCAGAATCGCGAGCGTCGACAATGCGGACATGACGTCACTGAGGAGCCTCGATTACACCGACGACTCTCTACTCACGCAGATATACAACGAGCTTTCACAAACAGCTTTATAATGTGGGAACAAAGTTCTATACATACATACATACATATACATGTGTGTGTGTGTGTGTGTGTGTATAATACATATACACTATATATTTTATCTTGAGTAAGAATGCACGTTCCTATTGTACCTTGCAATATGCCAAGGAATAAATGATTATCCCGTCGCTAATTTTTGTGTACAGAAATGCGCTTACATATGGCGGATTTGTAAATGTAACAACATAAGAGTCAATTTCGCACGTTTTATTTGCGTTCAACGCAACCGACGATATGTCCCTTGAAATAATTCTTCCCGATAGCTTTGTAGCAAATAAATGCAAACCCGTCCCGCAAAAATCGCAAAATTTCAGCAATGAATAAACAGCGGGAGTAAACGGCAATAAAGGAAGTTGGAAGGAACGTAAGTCCCGTTAAGTGGTCACTTCTTTATTAATTGTTCTTAAAAGGAAGTAGAAAAAGTACTGACATCCCCTAACATTATTTGAGCTTGCATCATGACAGAGATGACGTCGCACCGATTTTATTTGCCCATATGAGCAAGCGGTTCACAAAAGCACAGACCAATACTCCTTGGAAGTAAAATCCTTAACGCCTGTCTCCAAAAAGTATACGTTGAGATGACAGATAAACATAATGCAATCCTGACTTATTCAACTGGCTGATGTTTCTGATTGCAAACGACACGCTAAAAATTATTTAATGCGTTATGAACCACCAGTTTCCAGCTCACTTCCAGGCGTCTCAGGTTCTTCGTCGTTATAGATATTCTCCGCCATCTGCCAAACTTGCATTATGTTATCTTCGGATACTGAACATATAACCCAAGGTTCGTTCGGATTCCATGAAAAGTCACTGATTTTAGCGGTATGACCGCCGTGTATGAACTGCAAAAATTAAGCATGTAACATGAAATAAACATATACAAATAGATATCCGTTAACCATATCGTCCAGAAACAATATCACTTATTATTCGTATAATTACCAAAAGTTCGGGCGGGCCATCCTCTGCATCTTCAGTAGACTGCTCTTCCCCGATTTTACTAAGATCCCAGACATGAAGTCGCCTATCTGTGCCACTACTCGCCAGTATCGTCTCATTGTGCGGCGACCATTGGACTTGGAAAATTTCGTCCTTATGCGACTCGAACGAATGAAGCTTGAGTTTGAGATTGCGCAAATCCCAGAGAGCTACCGTCTTGTCCGCACTGCCAGTAGCAAGTATGAATTCGGAATACGGATTAAAGCTGAGGCAGTTCACTTCTGCGGTATGAGCGTCGACTGTATGGCTCGGTTTACTGGTGTTGTTGCATCTATATAAAGTTTAAAAATATTAGACATTAAACTTTTCAGACTGCATCGTAATTAGCAATTAGATAACGATTATATCGAAAATTCACTCATAGTTAATAAAACACAAGAATAGTGAATTGCCTTCACCTAGTATCCCAAATCATGAGCTTTTGATCATCAGCTACTGATCCGAACAATGATTCATGTAGTAAATGCCAGGCAACATCTTCAACCACAGCAGTATGTCCTGTGAAGATGGTTTTAGCATCGATGACGCGATTCTCCTTTGGAGTGGCATTAATATCCCATAAACAGATAGTGTGATCGTCGGACGCGCTCAGCAAATATCCATTAAGATTAGGATTCCATGAGAGACCATAGCCCTCTTTTTGATGACCACGTAGCCTGGTTAAACACACAATTAATACATTGTAATACTCACGTCATGTGTGCGATTCGCAAAATTTATCGTATATTCCGGTTGATGTGATAATTAATAGCCCATATATTATAAACACATATATTGATACAATCGGATTATGTTTACATTTGAATATATCTATTTAATGAATCGCGTGCACGCGCAAATACCTCAAGTCTGGATGACATTCTCCATTCGGGTCTGGTTTACTGGGATGTTTGGTATAGTCAAAGACAAGCACGTCACTGGATGGAGTCTTAGTAGCAATGACACATGGATTCTGTGGCATGTAACGTGCCCTGTTGACCTCGCCCTCGTGATTTATCTTGATTTCTATCTCAATTTTTCCACTAACAGAACCAAATCCTCCAAACTCGCCCTTTTCATTATCATAATGAGATGCATCAAACTGCGCATCTTCATTGGGTAATTGTACACTGGCAATAAGCAAATGATTCTGCTCATCTGAAGTATGTGTTCCTAAGATCAGTCGGTGTACAGAGTAATCTTTTCCTTCAGGTCTTGTAACATCCGGTAGCCATTGAGCAGTCAAAGAAGGCCATTCCAAGGCATGTGTCATAACAAGGTCATACAAAAATGGAGTATTTTTCTTCCATATTTTGTATTCCTCGTTAATAACACGTTCCTCCACCGCATCATCAAATGTTTCTAAAAAGGAGCAATAGTGCTAAATTTCTATTTAGAAATTCTATGTCATGGAGAACATATAAAAGTATAAAAGACATAAACCATACTTTGTTTAATTTAAGTAATGTAGGATTAAGTTAAATAATTCGATCGAGTAGCCTTATATTACATAGACCAAAAATAAAATTAAGATTAAACATCAAGAAAAGTATTAGGTATATGTGTTACTTCAATATCTATTAAATAAAATTGGTATTCAAAGGAACAATTCTCTAATTATGAGTAATATGTACACTTAATTACAAAAATTTTCTTTCTGTAATTTTACAATTTCCTATGTACAAATGTACATTATTCTATATTAATTGTATGCACCATAATAAAAAAATACAGTGTATATTTTAAAGTTAATATAACATGTATCTATACCACTTTCAAATTAATATTTTAACGTTGCACGCCGTTATAGATATCTCACACAAGATTGAATAAACAGTCATTATCATCATTGCTATTGTCATTTTTGTTCGATATTTTGTTCGATATACAAAATGATAATTTCTTTTCAAAACACTTACTACTAGAATCTACGTTCAAGTAAGGATAATGTTGAGTCGAATCCATTTATTATTTTTTTTTTAAACGTGGCCACTGCGAATTTGTCAGAACCATCGACGCAGTGGTAGCGCGCTCGCGAATGTTAACCGCACTCTACACAACGTGCTCGAAAGCCGGCACGCGAAAGTTTCGGCATCGCCGCGAAATGAACCGCCTTTCGAATTTGTTTGCAAACTTTTCTCGGAAACAATTAAGGAGAAAATTGTACGCGAGGGAAGGAAGAGGTTGTTTATCGCCAGAACGAAGGGCGTCCTTTCGAGACATACTTGAATGACTATTTATGTTTATTCACCGGAAGGCAATTCGAGCGGGAGCATTCGACGTATCAACAATAATATGCGCATACTTACCACCGTCCTTATCTGTCATCATTTATTCTGCGTACGATACGTTAGACCGTTAATAGATCCAACACAAGCAGGATATCACCACAGAAAATCCGACCCGCCAAAAATCTACGAAGAACAGCCGAATGCCGACTTGGACGAGACGCTACTCGAGCCGCCGCGAAACGAAAGCCGCGTTTATATGAAACGATCGAAACGCTCACTGAGTTTCAGTGCTTTGTTAATCTGATTGGTGCGTATTTTCAGGTTTTGACAATTCTACAAGACGCACGAATCAAATGGAAATCACTGATGAAGAGAACTTTGCTTAATGTATAATTGTAAACAGATTCTTAAATTTTTTTTGTAATTTTTGAAAGACGAAAATTGTAAAGACGCAGAATACAACGACTGACGACGAGGTAATACTAAAGACTGTCAATTCTGAGTAAATTGTCGTATTAGCAAGAGGGCCCCAAGGAGCCCGGAGGTAATTAAAGAGTGATGATAATATCGACTGTTTTAATTAAAGTACCAACGAGGTAATATAAAGACTGACAGTCCTGGGTAAATTTTCGCATCAACCAAAGGGGCCCGAAAGGGCCCGGAGGTAATTGAAGCGCAATGACAATACCGTTTGCTCTAGCTACGTCACCGACCAGGTAATATAAAGACTGACAACCCTGGGTAAATTTTCGTATCAACCAAGAGAGCTCCAAAGGGCTCACAGGTAATTGAAGAGCGATGATAATACCGACCGAAAAAAATTTTTTTTAATCTAAACAATTTTTTCGGGCACTTCCAATGGTCGTAGAAAGTCGGACGAGGTGTCATTTTCTTTGTCTTGACAAGTACTACCAAATGCGATTCTATAAGTTCATAAAAAACGCCTAGTTCAGATTTTCATTAATTTTATACATCCATTTTATACATAAAAATTAAAATCTGAACCAAAAGCTTTCTAAACGGATTTTTTTCTTAATCCAAAGGATCAGATAACTTATTTCCGGAAACATTTAATGCTTTTCATTTTAAAATAATTAATATATTAAGATATTTTGTTTAGGAATAGGATGTCATTCTAGTATAAAAAAATTAAACTGAAAATTAATTTGTCCTTATTTTTTGTTCATTCAGGAACGTAACAACATGCTCTGCCAGTTCTCTGTAGGCCTGTGCTTGCTTACTTTTCGGTATTGACAATACAATTGGTTTTCCACTGTCTGAACCTTCTGCAATGCTTTCATGCATTGGTATTTGCTGTAAGATATTTATACCTGCAAAATGCAAAAAAAAAACAAGTCGTTAATATATTTTCAAATATATGAATGACTATTTAGAATTTAATTGATTCTATTTATTACCCAACTCTTTGGCCAATGACAATGTGTCATTATTGAAAAGAGGTACCTCAGTCATGCACTTTGGACACATGACTGTGCTCATGTTCTCCACTATGCCAGCAACAGGTATATCTAGCTTCTTGAACATGTTTGCACCTCTTCTGGTTACTTCCAATGCGACTTTCTGCGGTGTTGTTACTAGCAGTGCACCAGAGATGAAGAGATTCTGGATAAGAGAAAGATGTGTATCACCTGTTCCAGGTGGTGTGTCAATCACTAGATAATCAAGTGGTCCCCATGCTACTTGATTCACCAACTTGTTCAATGCATCCATCACCATAAGTCCTCTCCAAATTACTGGTGATTTCTCATCAATTAAGAAGCCCATTGACATACTGTAAGTAAAATATATAACATATACTTATTTCATTCTTGCTTATATGGATCATTAGAAATAATTGATAATTATTACCATTTTATGCCATAATTTATGAGTGGTTCCATGAGCTTCTCATAATTTATAATTGGTGATTCATGTATATTCATCATTACAGGTATAGAAGGTCCGAAAACATCAGCATCTAACAATCCAACAGACCTTTTTGGCTCTATGATTTTTAATGCAATTGCCAGATTAACTGCAGTTGTTGATTTCCCAACTCCACCTTTGCCAGAGGCAACTAGAAGAATTTGTTTCACATCTTTTATTTGCTTTCTATTTGGTAGCCCACGTGCCATGATTTCTCTTTGCCTAGCTTGTAAGTTTTTCTGTTTTGTCTTGCTTGGATCAACTGAAGTGTTGTACTGAAATAAATATGAGAGAAACATAAATAATTTGAAATCTTTATTGATTTAAAAAGTTTATATTTTTTAGTTCATCTGCTGTTTACAGTTGCGTACAACTTTGTCTTTGGTTAGATAAAGTTTAGGTCACATTTAGGATCATTCTTTTTTTGGAGGACTTTGGGTACACAAGTTTATAAGTGTAATCAAGTACTCACTTTATTGTGTTGCCACAGGTACTGAAGGAATTTTAAATGTTTATTTAAACACGGTTTTGCAATGTTGAACATCTTAACAAAGATTAACTTAACCTCCAATGTGCAATATTCTATATAGCGTACTAAATTGCCATATTTCTTATAAAGAAAACACTATTTTACTTAGAGTAATTTATAAAAAATTTTCAAGATTTATCTTTCCATTTTCCTAAAGCATAAATTATCAATAGTGTTTTGAAAGTCTGTCGTGAGATCGTCTCGCCTCTTTCAGGCATGTTGAGAGCTTCCATCTGTTAACGTCGGAGGCGTTGATACGCTCGTGCCGTGCAGAAATGTGCGGGAGCGAATCACTCGGAAGGTGAAGATGTCGACCAGCTAGTTTCAACGGCATCTTTGATACGGTATTGCCGACTTCGTCGCTAAATTAGCTAATTTCTGTTTTTCTCCCACTTCTTTGTCGCATATTCATTCACACAGTCGCATGTATGCACGCGCATATCGTCCATCTGTCGTCATTCGGTGAGCGATATTCCGACCGCCACATTGCACCTAACTTAACCTGTATTTGTTATCTCGGACGACGGTGTCACGGCGAGCAATGATAATTTCTGCATGAATCGTCATTTATCGTTATGGTGCGTTATTATCTTCCTCGAAAGAAACGTTATCATCGGTTGTGTTCGGAATGAAAATAAACGTTCGGTGCTGCATCACTTACAGCTCGAAGGTCATTAAAGGACCGCTGCTCTTGTTCATTAAGCTTAGGTTAGGTTACCTCGGTTCTCTCTGTGCTCCATAACGCGTTGCGCTTATTAAGCGTATGTACTTTTAGTACGTTGTAAAGTATGGCGTCCGTTTAGTCAATTCTCCGCCGAACGCAACCGTCGCGTCGCGACGCGTTCCGATTAATTTGATGATCGTTTAATATCTACTACGACGAAACGTGCGTACGCGATCATTCACAATCATCGCCTTTGTCGTCTGCTATACTTGCAATTAGCATGATAGCGCAACCACACTTAGCCGAATTAAAGTGATCTCTGATAAAAGATATTAAAAGAAGAGTCGATCTTAAGTTTTTCTTGAAGAGTTTCAATGTCTCCTTTGAATGGGATGATACTAATAATATGATAAATTCTCCAGGTGAATGGTGTCGTATTTAGCGACAGGGAACACGGAATATGGGCCTAAAGGCGGCCGTTCAGGCTCTTAAGTAAGCTCCGGCTATGATCACATGCAGACCTTTGCTTTTTCTCTGATGTTTGTATCAATATGTAATATATATTTGACAGGAAAGCAGAACCATTGAAGGACAAAGTCCAACGTTGTAAGGACCTACTAAATGACAATGATGCTTGGGTATGTCAACAGCAGTTGCAGAAGATATATCAGCAGGTTCTCATATTGGACCTGGAGTATGCCTTGGATAGGAAAGTCGAGCAGGATCTGTGGAATCTTGGATTTAAGAATTATATAGCAACATTACAGTCCCAAGCCAAGGACAGGAAGAATCCCAAACGTGGTGAATCCCAAGCGTTACTCAGTTGGTGCTTGGAGGCAGCTAGCGGCTTCTACTTGACTCTCCTGCAAGAAATCTGCACCATCTTTGACTTGGATCTGCCCTTTAGAAGGTATATTTCTGCTAACTCATTCTGTGTGTTGCATATGAATGTATTCACTCATTTGAATATATTCAAATGTACAAGAGTACCGATAACGTGTCATCTCATGTATATCAATGTCGATCTTTTTACAGGAAGGGTTATGTTTACGGCTGTACGTCTCCGTGGAAGGCAGTTGAAAAATTGTCCGCGCCCCATAAGTCATCTTGCTTTTATGCTTGCCAATATTGCCTTGTACATTTGGGCGATATCGCGCGCTACAGAAATGAGAGCAAACAGGCTGAGATGTTCTATAGACACGCTGTCTCATTGTCACCGTCGAGCGGACAGCCATACAATCAATTGGCGCTCTTAGAGGCGTCCCGTGGCGACAAACTGGGAACGGTTTTTCACTATGCACGCTCGGTAGCCGTTAAGCATCCATTTCCTGTAGCGACGGCCAATCTCGCCAAGACACTATCGTCCGCCTTGAACGACAAGTCTTTCAATATCGACGGCAAGACCAAGCTGAACTCGCAGGAATATATCGCCGTCTTTCTCAAATTACACGGGATAATCCACAACTTCGGAGACCTGAAAGTCGCGTGCACGTACAGCAGGCTGTTGACGGAGACGTTGACCGCGTTAGTAGCCACTGAGAGTTTCAGCTCGTGGATGCTCATTCAGATGCTGGTAATCAACTTGTACGCCCTACAACATGCCACCGGCATCGGCACCGATAGCATGGAATTGCTGAAAAACGAACATTTGACTCATGACGAGAAGCTCGCCCGCGATTGCATACTGGATCTAATCGCGGGCACTTTGTCCGCCCTGCTATTACCCGTCTACACGATAAAGGACTCTATCATCGAGTACTTTGCGTTGCCTTCTAGTGAGTATCACCTCGACATTTATTCTTGATGATTATGTTAGCGATGGTAATCAACGAGGGCTATTTGGTTTTTGCAGTAAAACTGTGCCTTGATTGGATCCGCATAAAACCCACGGTTTTAGAGGAGACCGCTTTCACGTCGAGATTGCAAATTTGGCCCAGCCTCTGTATGCTGTTGAATGCTCTACAGAACTATGTGGTGGATTTTAAACATAGCGAATGTAAGTATTTGCCAGAGCGGTCATACTTTCATGAGCGATGTTTTTGTCGTTCAAAATGCATCTTGTGATCTTTCAACGATTTATATTTATAGATTTATAAATTATATTTATAAATGTATACATATCGCTTGTGTGTGTGAAGAGAACACAACTTGTCTACTATACAATATAATAATGTAAGAACATAGAATGAAATCGCGAATATGCGATTCTGGAATTGCAGATGCTGCAGTACCACTGCCAGAGGACCGCGATCTTCAAGGTTTTCTGCCATTGGAGAAGAGCTTCGAAAATCTCAGATTCACAAACACCGACCTGGAGGGCGACGTCATGACGTTGAACAAGCTACGTGCTGTTCGTATTCTACATCTAGGCCGTTGCCTCGCTCAACATCAGGTCAACGGCTCGACGCCGATTTCGATCACGACCGAGGAGAAAACTGGGGACAACAGATTTACTTCGATGAGCAACGGCGCAGGTCTCAGCAATGAGTTGATGAAAGAACTTGAGGAACTCAGTATGAATAAGGACAAGCAATTGAACGCTTCTGTAAGTCCAGTATCATCAGAAGCAGCTAGCAGCAAATGCTCCGTGGAAACCGATGTTGAAATTGCTAGTGAGTACAATTCATAATTTATAATATTTATATTATTCTTATGATGTTCAAATGCAGTCTAAGCTGAGTGAGTTAAACTTGTTCGTGCAAGTTTCTTGCTGGCTTAGTGTGTATTTAGGAGAAAATAGAAAATTAATTAAATTATGATTTGTACAGTATATTTAAAGTATGAAAAGTATACATATATATTATGATTTATCACTATATATACGATTAAATAATAGTTAATAATAATTTATAACAATTAATGAAAAATAATAACTGTTACTTACATGAAGATGCGACTGAATTTATTTCAGTAGCATTTATTTCAATAGTATACCGATTTTTTAAATTCCATTCGGTAACATTGATTGTTCTTCTTTGTCTTAATATAGCCGACAGAAAGGTTTTCCAAGGCATTCTTAAGCCGCAAGGCTCTTTAGAAAGGAATCGAGACTCTTTAACAAACATTGCCGCCGAAACCAGCAGTGCTGAGGCAAATGTTTTGCCGTGCGTAAGAAAACCGCGGCAAAACATTGCGATGCAAGCAATCATGCGACGCGCGGAGACCGAGCAGAAGCAGGTGACGTTCAAGAATGTATCGCCGGTGATCGTGGAAGAGGATAACGACAGGAAAGCGAAAGCGGCTGTTCCGTCAGTCGGTGCTTGTATTACCACACCGAAGCCAATTCCGATTCCGGAAATGGTCAAGCCTAATGACACCACCGCTGTAAACGCACTCGTTACTACTCAGACTCGATCATTAGTAATGTCCCTTGCCTCACCCGCCATTGGTCAAAATCAGTCCGCGTCGATTCAAAGTCAACAGAGAGTCCCGAAGTTGCCGCCCAACATCCCAATGCCCGCTCAGATGAGCCAGTTGGCAGCAAAGGAGCAAGCTCAACAAATTTTGTCACAGATGCACGTTCAGCAGGCGCAGCAGCCAGCTCCGTCGTTGGGCGGACCGGCTTGCTACGCGAACCAGTCATTCAACGTGCAGAATCCGCAGTTTGCTAAGAACTTCATGGCAAGTCGGCCGACGGTGAGCGCGTCACGCTATCAGATACAAGGACAACTGAATAACGGTCAACAACCGACAGCTGCGATGTCGCAAGCCATCGGGGCAGCAGTACATCACGCAATCAATCCGAACCGGCAACTACATCAGAGAATGTCTCACAGTCCGGCGCAGCTGCTGCAGCAACAGCAGCAGCAAAACATGCGACTCGGTTCTCCAGCTCAACAGGGTATGTTGCAGCAAGGTATAAACTTGCAAACGGCCAATATGGGCCTACAACCGGGCATGAGCGTGGAACAGCAAAGCCACGCAATGGGGCTGCAAGTGCAGCAGCAGCAACAGCAACAGCAACAGCAGCAGCAGAACATGATGCAGGGCAACGGCAGGTTGACAAACACCATGCATAATCAGTTGAACGTGAACGGCGTCGCGACTATGGCGAATATGTCGATGATGCCGATGTTGTCCGGTTATAAGAAGGATCCCACGCAGCAACAGCAGCAGCAACAAGTGACGACTCTGGCGAACTCGCCAAGCCCGACGGGCGCGTCGAACTTCCAACTGAGCTTCAGTCAGGGTAATTTCGGACAGAGCGCCTTCGGTTGCCAAGCGTTGTCGCCGAATCAGCCGTCCCCGTCGTTCTACAAAAAAAACACCGAGATGGTGGACTTCGCATTCCCCAACCAGGTCAACATGACAAAGAGTCAATCACAGCAACAGCAACAACAGTCGCCGGCGAGCAATTACAACATGTTCTGCAATTACGAGCCTACAGAGCATTTCAATCTGTGGAAAGACAATCGGCCGCCGCAGCCGCCGATTACATGGTGGGGCCCTTCAACTAGTAACGCAAGCCAGATGCACATGAAGGATTCGACCGGTGTCGATAACGTGTTCTCCAACTGGAGCGACTCGCCCAACTCTGGAAACCTAGCGAGCAGGGTGCCGCTAACGCCGGGCAAAAATTATCAGCAGCAGAATGGCAGACATCTTGTGGCCGGCAACAGTTTCGAGGATTCCAGACTGTTTGAAGTAAGTACTGTCGTTTTCTGCATGGCAGAACGCACGGTAAAAACAAATTTGTTGGAGAACTTTCTGTTGCCTGGGAAGCAGGCGAAACTCGGTGATGAAAATAGAAAGATTCTTGTAAGAAGTTTCTACTCAGTCAGTTGCTGTCAATTATTTCAACCTCAATGCAGTCTCAATGCAGCTAAATGTATTTAGACGAATATTTTCAGTTGCGGTAACTATTTCTAAGCTATTATTGAGACATTATTTCTCGTCAACGAGATTTTGTCAAGTTTCGTCTGGTTTTCATTCAGTTTCGTATAGTATGTGACTTCGAAGTCGGGATTATTTTATGCGTCGATTTCGGAATCGAATACTATAATTATACGATAACATTCTTGATATTTTGTCTAGTTGGATCAGAAGCCATCGCAAGCTGTGACTACCGGGAATACTTACTCCTTGTTCAGCGGTAATACATGGAGCACCGTCAACACGCCAATTTCGAGCTCGACTAATCAGGAACAGATGAAAGCGCGGTCCTTGTGGTCGGGACCAGGTCCATCTCCGTTGGAGCGACTCTTGGAACAGCAGAAATCACTGCGCGAGGGCGGTACTACTTGAAAGGTCACGTCGAAACTACTGAGACGGCCAGACAGAGTGTAATTTCAGCGTATGCCGATTTAAAACGACCATATGGGCGTGTGTGGCGATGGGGATCTCCGCACATGTGTAATGAAACAAAAAAAATCACTTATCGTTCGAAAGGAAGACGCGCAAAATTCTCGAAAATCAATGTAGGAGCAGCGAACGAGAAATCGGCTGAAGCCTCTTTGTTGCGTCTCCTCGTCCTCGAGGCATTATGACATGCGTAGGGGAAGTATAAGCCTCATCACATTGTTCTTTTTTTAACCGTATGTATGAGCTCCAAAGAGAAGAATTCTCGGAACGTAATTCTTGCAGCGAATTTCTCGCAAACTGAGCAACTTGTGAACGAAAGGGAACAAGAGAGAAAGAGAGAGGGAGGGGGGATGAGGAAAACAACGAGCAAAAGCGAGAAATTGACGATTAAATGAATTGCAATTTAATTTGCACGGGATTAAATAGGCAACAAAAAAAAGCAAAAAAAGTACTATTAGAGGTGCAAGGTGCAAGTAGTTCTAGCGTATGTTAATTAGTGCGCAAGAAATTAAGGGAAATGTAGACGCTAACTACGAATGAAACGGCCGCGTGCGTGTTTCTGTATCGACGACATATCTAGGAGATACCGGTAAGTCACACGAGTATAATTTCAAACCGGAGCAACTTGATCAGCAGCGTTTTCACCGAACGTCGCGCGTCGTTTCATCGCGACTTCTCGTGGCAACACGTTTGCGTCGACTATGTAAATTAGAGCGAATGATGATTACGAACAAACATTTGTTCTTGTTTCTTTTGTTTTATGTAATGACTTTATTCCACATTAAAATATTAACAACGAGTTCTGTTTGTATCACACATAAGTTGTAGCATACGTCATGTTCGAAGTGTAACATCACGAGGTATGCCCCTTCGTTTCGTCATGGCGAAGTCCTTGAAACTTTCATTCCCATTCAAGAGACTTCTGATATTATATTAAAAAAGGAGAAAAATATATATCTATAGGAAGTTTTAGGCAACATAGCACATACAGAAAGTATTTCTTTTTCGTATCTTCCATCTCATTTTCCGTGAAGGTTGGAGCTGCTTAATCGCGTGGCACTGAAAAATCATCTCAATATCGTATAGTCACACTGATAACCAAATTTATGCTGCGATAAAACATCTGTCTTTCCTTTTTCATATTTTTCAACCGCTAATTAGGCAGCTCCTTACAAACTCACGTAACATAAATACTTATACTTTAAGGACCAATGTCAGTTTCTTCCATTTTCGATTTAGAAGTCTTGGAATTTGTAAGCATTTCAAGATGACTCATACTATGTCTATATAGTATTTACATTTGTTAATTAATTGTCAATATTTAACTATAACAATAACATTTCAATCTGCGGTTGAGCGCAGAATTTTTTTTAGATTTTAATTTTTTAACGTTTACAAGCTCTAAGACTTCCTTGTAAATGAAAACTGAAGAAACAGAAACGTTGGATTTTCTCTTTCGTCAATCTATACTTATTATAAATATATTTTTAAATTTGCTTGACTGTGTATGTCCTCGCAACGGCGCATTTCATTGACGTAATGAACGGCCAAATAATTAAAGCTATCCAGTCGAAAGACTCGAATCATTTCTAAAAATATTGAACACAGTCAAGAAGATTCACAGCTTTATCATTCTCTGTCGGAAACATATATCGGGTTTATCGTGTAAAAATAGTTACATTCTTCTGGTGTGCGTAATTATCGCAAATTATCGCATCTTCTGGTATATGATCGTGTGTCATACATTTACGACTGTTTTAGATTCTGTTAATAAAGGGGGGAGGGCAAGGGAGATAAAAATCGATTCAATGTACCGCGTCAGTTTCATCGAAAGCACGAAGATTGCGAACATCATTTAATGCCGGATTTTCCTGTACGGTGTTCATTCTACGATGTTCATTTTTACGATTAATTGTGAGTTCGCAACGAAAACTATGGTTACATGTTATGCGACGCATATTGCCATCATGCACGTGCAAACAATCTTCCAGAAGAACCTCCTTCCGTACTCGACACGATTTCACCTATTTGAAGGCACGAAATTAATTATTTTGACATGCCTATATTTCGAACGTTATTATTACTGTTATATCCACTGTATCATTGTTGAAAATAATCCCTTTAAAGAATAATCTTCATAGTGACCTTACACAATTGTTCATAAAGTAACTATAAAATTAGTAACAAAGTGATTTCAAACTAACTTTATAGTTGCTCTGTAAGCAATTACATTTTGCAGTAAGAAACTTCACTATCTTTATAACTGCATCATCACTTAATTGTCAAGTTGAACATTTTTAACTTATCTATTTTGTAATTATAGAGTTATAAAGATAGTGATCTTGGTTGACAATATACTATCTATATAAATTGGATAAAAAACAGCAGTATACAATTTACATAGATGTATTCTTACCACTGTACTGTAGCGAACCCCCTGAGGTCCACTTCCCACCTTCAATGTATATATGAATTGTTTAGCAGCTTCATTGCAATTAACAATTTGTACCGCACCTATTAAACCACCTTTATGATTTATAGACAAGTACAGGAAAAACAGACCCATGCCTCTGATAAAAAAGGCAAAATCTAAATCTTGTGACATGTACTCCAGATTCCAGGTCTTGTTGAATATGTTACACCTATTGGAGAACTGAAAATCATATAGGATTACATGCAACCAAGGAAAGAAAAGCATAATAGTTTTGAAAAACTCTACAACCGAGATTCATATAATCAATGAAATTAACGAACAGTACCTCATGAAATGAATCTTTATGATAATATCTCAAATGGCTAATCATTCTTCCATGTGGTAGCTCTACAATACAAGTTCCAATACGACATGGATATTGTCCTTTTCCTACTTTAGGTGAAAGAATGTTTAATTTTTGTCTCTGATCATGCTGAAGCTCATGTTGCGGTAATTTTTCTTTAAATGAGGTCTCAGTTTGACATGCGATTGATGCATGAATTATAGAAGGTCTGCAAGTGTTCTCGGTCTGAGTAGCTACACATACTTTACCCTTTAAAATTCTTCTATTAAGTGCATGATAAGGATGCAATAGAGACAACTAGAAATAATACTTTTGATTAATATTTTGCCATTAAATTGATAATTTCATATCTTTCACAGGAAAGATATCTAAGATAAGTATCAGACTTAATATGTTGTTATCTTTTTCATTTCTTTATTATCTTACTTTTATATCTTATAAATCTTTCCTTATTATCTTACTTTTATATCTTATGAATATAATCATTGAAACTAAAGCTAATGATGATATAAGTTATACCTTAATCTCTTCTAATTTGGCTGAGATATGTTCGACAGCTAAATTCCTTGTGTTAATAAACTGTGACTTACACAAAGGACATGAAGACACTTGTGTCTTACATGTAGTACAAATATGATGTCCATTGACACATTGGTTTTTGGTATTAGGTGTTGTCTCTAAACATACTGGACATTGAAGCAATTCCTCCAGTGTGTCACACCACTGAAATCAGAAATCAGAGTATTATGAAATAATCATTTATGATTTAATAATTATTAACGCGAAAACCTCGCATATATCATGACAGATTGTTTGTAACTCGTACTACACCGCATAATAACGCAAATTTGATTTACATTTCTATTTAAAATAAAGATTTTAAATTTTTATCTAGTTACGTTACATCACGGTTCTGAGAATCCTCGTACATCCAACGAAATAAAAATCATCAGGATCACAACGAAACAAAAATCACAGGATTTGATAAAATTATCTATCAATTTATCCATTAATTCGCTAGCAAAGTGTATAATGTAGTGACTACATTATGCAATTACAAAACGTGCTAGAGAGAAAGAAAGAACCGGCGTGTGTGTTACATATTTTTTTATATACAATTTTCAATTATACCATAAATCGAATTTCTTCCATTTCTATTTCGTAGTATCAATTCTAAAACGCAAGTATAATGTAAAATCGTGCCGAACAAATGATAAAGTTTTCCTCACAAACACTAATATGCACAACTCCGTATACGTCAATTTACTTCAAGATATAACGAGTTCGCCAATTTTCTCACCGGTATTTCCCTTTCTTTTGTTTAATCCAGCGTTGAGTGTGATTTGTTCCTTTTAAATGTACTAGTTGCACTTTCTGTGTCGAAAGTGAAATAGATAAGTATATACACAATATACAGTCGCCGACATAAAGGTTGTCATTTTTTTTTAATGACTTTCGGGACGCATCCCGACTCGAGAAAAATGGCCGCGTTCAGTAGAACAAAGTGATCAGAGAGCGCTTAGTGATTATTGTCTGCGATTGGAGCATTCTTTTAGATTCTTCATAGACCCAGAAATATTTACCAATCAGGAGCGAGATTTAGTGGAAAATCTAGTAATGTTGTCCAACTGTTGTTTATCCAATACACATGTTTATGTTTTTAAAACAATACGAACTTAATTAAGAGAATTAAGCTGCATTACGATAATTACGATTTTGTTATACATTTATATGTGATTTATTGTTTCAGCAACAGCCATCTTCTATAACAGAAACAGTGGGTGCATTCAGTATTACAACCGCTCACTGAGCGCTAAGTGAGCTCTTGCATCTGATTGGTGTATATTTTTAAATCTAAAGGAATATACCAATCAGATGTAAAAGCTCATTGAGCGCTCAGTGAGCGGTTGTAGTACTGAATGCACCCAATGGCTGCATTCAGCAGACTCAACAGTTGGACAACATTACTAGATTTTCCATTGAATCTCGCTCCTGATTGGTAAATACTTTTGAGTCTATGAAGAATCTAAAAAAATGCTCCAATCACAGACAATAATCACTAAGAGCTCTCTGATCACTTTGTTCTACTGAACGTGGCCAATGATATTAGATACAGAAGCAACTGTTATATAACAGCTGCTTATTATTATAATATGTCCCATCGCGTATATTTCATTTCTCGCCTTTCGTTGTGAGTCACTGCGCAGGCGTACTCCGCAGGCGGAGCAGTGACTCTCATTCTTCTCGAGTCGAGATGCGTTCCGAAAGTTGCAAAAAAACGGGCACGCACTATTATGTATCCGCGATCGCACGTATACACAGTACAAAATTAATTAATAATGTTCGATATTGAAATTATTAATGACCTAACATAGTCTATATACATATGGAACGTAATTGTTAACATAATTATATGGCAATATGTAATAACAATGAGACTGGAGATCAAAAGTCGCTATTTCTTGTCCGATTCGACATATATTAACGAAATATAAATATAATATTATGATTTTTATATATATAAAAACTAGAAGCTTCAAACTATAAAATGGTTTCCAAACTATTGCATTATCGACATTTTTGCTGATGTTATGGTACATTGAACATTACATATTTTCCATGATCAACAATTTATTTCTAAGTTGTGTTATACTACTTGAAGCAATCAAAGTATGTCTGCTTTTGAGTTTTTGAGTTGTACTTCCTCAATTCATTATTCAAGATGGTAACGACTTATAGCGGAAACTTTAAGAATTAATTTTCTAAGAACTGACGGGTTTAATATATCGATTAACGGGCAAAAATAACAGATATATTATATGTATATTAAATTACCCCTGGCAACAGTGCGGGCAGTTCAGAATTCGATTTTCCGATAATGCCGCAAGATTCATGCTATTATCTTGACAATATCTTTAATTAATTCTTCGAATATCAGAATTGTACCAAACGTTTTGCATAATTAAATCCTCATAAACTTATAAAGATATGACTTGTATCTTCTTTTATTATGTTTAATGTAACTTTGATTTGATTTGAGGAACCGAGTAAACACGGATGCGGTTTGCTCGGTTTCTCCTTATTTCGAGCCTAGATTAATATACTACTGCATATAATGCTGCAACTTATATTCGGTGACTCATCAGTTTCGGATCGATCCGATCCGTAACGAAATACGTGCTGCCAGTGTCGCAGTTATTAGTGATATCTTGCATTGGAATGCAAGGACGAGATATTTTTATTATACTCGAGTGTATTTTAAATCATTTTGTTGCAGCCTGATATCACAATTGCGATTTATGGGGTGTATAACTGGACAAAATTTATTAACCATTTATTTTATATTTGAATTTTCTGAAGTAAATATGTAATTTAAAAGCATAATATATTCTCGGTCACATATCTATTTATTCTTACATTAGCAGGCAATTGTACAATAACTTACAATATTTAAGTCAATACATATATACAAATTCGTGTATATTCAAATGTGAATGAGTAACGATTAAAGTATTACACGAATACTCTTTTCTTCTACTTCCGAATGATGCCTTCTTTATTTTAAATTACACTTTTAAACTCAATTTCTTCCCTATTCTCTTTCCTTTTCCGTGTTTGTCTCGGTCGCAGCAAATTATTTGTTTGTCATATTTACATATATGTACGTGAGTATTTAACGGAACAAACAGTCTTACGCCGCGGTAAAACCGAAAGACTAAAATTCTGCTTTATCATTTTCTGCTGTATCATTTTCGAGCAAACGTACGAAATATGTTAAATGCGTTACGTCGTTCTTTGCTCATTCGCATGATTTGATAGTCTCTTCGGCTAAAAATATTAAAAAAAAAGAATGAAAGAAAGGGTAAAGTCAATAGTTTTGCAATTGGCTCGACTATTGTTCTTCGTGATTCGTTGCAAGCAAGAGGCAAAGAAGAGCACGTCGTCACGAAAATGCGTGGCAACTTATTTTTATTAAAAGCCTTCTTCGACGTTCAACGATTGGAAAAACCTTTCTGCTCGCTCGATTGAAATGCAAGTGAACATTTTGAACGATTCAAATGCTCAAGGTCGTCGATTACGCGCTCCTCACAGTTTTTCGCCGCTGAGGTTGAGCACGTTGTAATACGAGTGATCCGGAAACCTGTCGAGTTCGATGTAATCGGTCTCATCGAGTAAGAGACCCTCGGTTAGGCTGACGAGCTCGGCGAAGGATGGCCTACATGCAGGATCCTTGTCCCAACAGTAATACATAATATTATAAAGTTCTCTCTTACAATGTTCGGGCCTGTCCAGTCTGTAGCCCTCTTTGATCCGCCGCATCACCTACAAACGTGAACGTCAACATGAGCGTTTCTCCTCTAAACAGTTTTGTTCGTTGCTGAAACTTTCTCGATGAAAATTCAGTCGTGATCCGTTCAATCCAATAGAATTAAATATTACTAAATTTCTCTGAGAAATTATTCATTATTTGCTCTTGAATCGGTTGGCAATCTCTCTCTCTCTCCGCTAATTTATTCCTTCACAACTTGATCGCGTTTAATGTTGTTTTATTTTAATGTACGTGTTTGACACGTACCTCTGCGGCGGCCAAGCCAGGGTAAGGTGTCGATCCCAATGTTACTATCTCCCAGATCAGGACTCCGAAACTCCAGATGTCCGATTTGACAGAGAATATATTGTCGTATAGACTCTCAGGTGCCATCCATCTGATCGGCAATCTGCCTTCGGATTTCCTCTCGTAGATTTGATTAGCCGCCACGTCCCTGGCAAAGCCGAAGTCGGCCACCTTGCATGCTCGGTTCTCGTCGATCAGAATGTTCCTAGCTGCCAAGTCCCGGTGAATAATACCCTTCGACGCCAGGTACTCCATGCCTTTGGCGATCTGCAAGCAATTAAAGTTCGAATGGCAAACGTTAAGGAAAGATCTAATTATTCGTTGGCGATTCTTCCATAAACAAACAACAGGATGTAATATAAAATAGCGACACTCAAGATTCCCATTTCGCGCTTTGGAATTTTTTCATTTTATTTCCTGTAAGCTAGCACAGTATGTGCTTTTAATCGATCTTCAACGTATATATAATAATGCACTTTGTCAGTTCGAGAACGATCTGAGCTGGTTATCGATTGTCATGAAAAAAAAATTCACAACTCCATTAGTGCTCACCTGATACACAAATCCAGTGAGGTCTCTGGAAGTTAATCCCGCTCCTCCGTGATTTCTTTCCTCCCTAGAGGCCCTGAGGAAACTCTGCAGCTTCCCGCCGCTCACGTACTCCAGGATGACGAACATGGGCTCGCGTTCGGTGCAACAGCCCAGAAGTCGCACCACGTTCGGGTGAGGGTCCAAGTTTTTCATGACCCGCAGTTCCTGCGCGAGGTCCAGTCGCTCCCGTTCGGTAGCGTTTTCCTTCAAGGTCTTCACCGCAACGATCGTCGCACCGGCTTTGCCATCAATGTCGAGAGCCTCGCATTTCCACACTTGACCGAAGCAACCCTCGCCGAGAATGTTGAAAACCTGAGAATTAGTGAGTGATAGGTTATTCGTTTACGTGAAATGAGATAAATTTACACGATGAACCCATCGCTGGTGGATTTTATTTATAGCCGAATAATTAGAAGCAGTTGCTCAGTGGTTGAGTAACGCGTAACAATGAATTATCGACTACAAAGTTTACTGACGCTTAAACACGACGATGATTACTTTCAATCTATGCCTGGGAAATTCCCACTTGTCTTCTTGTTTGCTTTGAATGCCTGCCTGAGACTCCTTCTCCCACGGCTGGTAACGATTGTTGTGAGCTTTCGGGCCGCGCCATCTCTTCAGGACGAGAGAAGGGTCATCGGATAGATTAGATACGCTAACTGACACCTGTTCTTTCTGAAAATAGTGGGGGGCACTCGGTCATATTATCTCATTTCACCAAGAATGACGTAAAGATGAAAATCGGTCGGCCGAGGTCTTTTGTAATTAATATTTTTTATCTGTTAAAGGAGTTTTGTTTCAAGTACCGTGTCTTCCTTGGACTTGCGACTGATGCAGAATTTATGCCTCAAAGACCAAGCGGCTATACCGACGCTGAGGATAATGGCACATCCTGCCGCCACCGGTACCAGAGTCGCTGCCATGTCATGCGAAGGTGGTACAGCGGAGGGTGC